TTTGTAAATATATAAGCATATAATCTAGCAATTGCCAGGTGAAAGTAAATAAACAACGTATTGTAAAAAATAAAATCCAAGTTTTTTTAAAATTTTTTAAAAATAAAAATTTTTTTTGCATTTAACTTTATTAAACCCTTGTTTTACTGTAATCGTTATTATATGCATTAAGAACCCACAAAAACTGATTATTAGCTTAAAATTATCTAATTATAGTTGTTGCAAACGCCAGGTGAAATTATTTTAGAACTTCCAAGTAATTTATTGTTTTCTTAGTTTGTAATCTTTAGTTATCAATTTTTGGTCTGGGTGCGCCAAAAGTCCGTTGACTAACTTTACCGGTCGATTTCTTTATGTTGCACGCAATTTATATAATTTTTTTACATGTCTATGACTATGTTATAACTAGTGCTATATGTTACTACTTTTAGTTGTTGTTTTAAGTATATTGATTGTTTTAATAAATATATGACTAAAATAATGAGTCAACGGACTTTTGGCGCACCTTGTACCTTGGTAAGATAATTCGTCTTGGTAGAGTCAACCTCTATATCGACAAACTAAGGCTAGGTTAAATACACAGTAAATGTTTTTATTGTGTTTGCTAGCAGTCAAGACTAGGGCTAGGCCTGGAAGCTCCAAAGTATAAAGAGTAATGCTGGGGATAAAGACTAAACGTTGGAGGCTGGGCATAACGGCTAGACCAAGATTAGGGCTTACAATGAGGTTAGTGGGTGCCTGGCGGCTGTGAACTATAAGCATAGCGGCTAGATTTGACGACTACAGTCGAGAGCTGAATTAAGGGCTAGGGATGGGGTTTAAGGGTGGAGGTTATTTCTAGGCATGGCGGCTAGAAGTAAGGACTAGAACTGGATGTGGGGATTGGACACAAAAGGCTAGAACCTAAGCATGACGACTAGAGCTGAAAACTAGGGCTGGGACTAAGCGCGGCGCTAGCAGAGAGCTAGAAGGTAAGCTTAGCAGCCGGGGCTGAGGGTTCGGGATGTAGGCCTGAGGGCTTGTTCTGGAAGCTATGGTTGAGGGCTGGAGGCTAGGCATGGCAGATAGAGTGAAGTGGTGGGGCTAAAAGACAGGGTTGGGCGTTAAGGCTAAAGGTTAGGACTGGGTGTTTTGATATAACATTTGCTTTACACTTTCCTTAAGATAAGCCTTTCGTTGCGGGACCTAAGCTGGGCTTCTAGAGTCTTGGTTTGGCTTCGGCCGTCGGGCTCACAGGTTTCAGCCCGACACGGTCTCTTAATGTTGCTTAGACTTGGTCTGGCTCCGGGTTTTTTTTTTCAGACGTACGTACATGTTAGTATTTTTTTAAAAAGTGCACTAGCCATATTTTTTTGTACTTGCCAATTAATGATATACTTTTTTACATAAACGCATGTTTTAACGGTATACGTTAATTTTATATAATTGAATAACTTTTGTCGAAGCGTGACTAACTAACACTTTACTGAGTAAAAGCTTAAGTAAAAAGTGTTCCTGTTAGTATAATATATTATATAATCTGGTTTTTAGTGTTAATACCTACACATAATTTAGCTGATGTAGGTATACCTACACATCATTTGGCTGTTGTGAGGTTCTAGTTGGCACTTCTTCACTATGTCACACTACATGTAACAACTATTTACAGTACCTTTGACATACTAAATGCACCACCATTTACAGTACCTTTACTATACTATGTAAAAGGGTATAAAATAAGCCTGATAGAAGCCTGTACCACGGCTTTTCTATGATATACGTATATACATCATGGACCTACTCCTGATCCACGCCATACTACAATATATTGAAGTGCTAGTAAACATACTAACAGTTATACTCACAACTTACTTTGGCTACAAGTTAAGCCGTTTAGCTACAATAAACTCAAATCTAAAGCTAGTAGTCGTCATTCCTACTGTATTTTTTGCCTATGCAACAACTCTACAGTCTTTTACTCATTTTATAAGCCTTGATACTATAAGTGTCAAAAATGGACCAACAACAGCTGGTATACTGTATTATGTTGCCATGTTGGTTGTAACTTTTGGATATTTTATATTTGCTTTCAAGTTTACTCTAATTGCTATTGAAAGAACGATGGCTTTCAAACGAATGACAACGTACGATACTGAAGGTTATGGGTTTGGATATAGACTTATTGGGTATACAGTAAGATTTTGAATTTTTTAATGCAATGGTCAAGTTATAGAAGAACCCAGGGTTAAAGTAATAATTTTTTTAGATGATAATATCACTAATGCTACTGCTGCTTAAACTATTTTGTTCATTTATTTTTAACAAAAACATCACTGATACTGATCTATTACTACAAAAACTACTCGTATTTGAAAAGTCAGTTTTGGGATTCTATTTTGACCTCGCTTTAGCGTTCAATGGCTTTAGTTATACTATTTATGTAAGTTTATTCGTACCCTACCCTACCTACCCTACCCTACCCTACCCTACCCTACCCTACCCTACCCTACCCTACCCTACCCTACCCTACCCTACCCTACCTCACCCTACCCTATTGTACCTCCCCGTACCGTACCCCAAGATACTCTATCCTACGATATACTACCGTATTGTGTCGTATTCTACCGTACACAAGCCTTCCTTGTGCTGCCTTACCTTTCCTTATATTTCCTTGCTTTACACTATCTTACTCAATTCTACCGTACTCTACCGTACAGTACCGTATCCTGCAGTATACTAGTCTACCCTGTTTTAACTTACTCTGCCTCATCTGCCTTACTCTAAAAATGTGTTTAGCCCTGCCTTACCTTACGCTAAACTGCCTTAAAGATATGCTCTACTCTACATAACTCTTTACTTATTTACAGTATTTACCATAGAAATACCCACCCATTACAAAACTATTTCATTTTAGCCCAGCCTTAACCTAGCCTTATGATAATTAGCCTAAGACAATTTCAGACCCTCTACAATCTCCAAAACAAGATAAACAGGTTAACATCAAGGTCCTTAAATCAGTCTTACGAAATTCGCCAAACTCGGTGCACTTTAAAATGGGTACGGAAGATGGTGATCGCCTTCTTCGGTTTATTTTGGGTTGGATTACTTCCGTTTCTATGTATATCTTACTTATATTTTATATGTGATTACGACACTGATACGACTGAAATTCAAATTCTTATTACTGTAAGTTTTTTGATAAGGAGGGGTAGGATAAGGTAGAGTGGGATGAGATAGCGTAAGGCAAGTTAAGAGAAGGAAGAATAAGTTAAAGAAATTTGGAATAGGACAGAGTAGAGTAGAATAAGGTAGACCAAGAGGGTAGCAATACTCCATTTTTCAGATAATGCTAACAGAAACAGAACTCTATAACATAGTAACTACAGTACTGATGTACAATGAATTCCCACAACTTAAAAAATCGATTTCGGCCGATTTTTCATGTTTTATTAACTTGAAAATTGAAGTTCAACAAAAGACAAAGTCTCAGGATACGGAATTATACTTTGATAATCTACAACAAATGTTCGACTTGGGTTACGATCGAAAATTCCATACTAAACCTCAACTTTAACATTATTTTTCGCTTTACCCTACCGTGCACTACCCTAAAGAAACTGTTTGATCTTACTAAACCCTCTTTTTATGCGTCTACTAAAGCCATATCTAACCTTACCTCAAATACAGGTGCCCCAAGATTATTGCAAAAACCCAAAACTTTTCCTACTGATTCTTCAAAGTTAAAGTTTATTAATAAACATTTAAAAAACAACAAAAATGCTAAATAATGTAATTATTCAACGTTAACTTCTGGGTGTGCTCTTACCTACACTTTAGCCATCAACATCACAACACCGTCGCAATCGCTTCAATTATTTGTCCCAAGCTGCGCGACACATTTCAATCAAAATCCCCGCAACTACATTGCGGATTCTTTGTTTTAATTTACTTAGTAATGCAAGCTGAACACGGTAAAGTTCTGCTTTTACGCAAGTTGAAAGAAAAATCGATCGGGGTTAGGTCGGGTGAGTTTGCCAAACAAACGAAGGAGGAGCGCCACAACTACCACCGACCCGTCCAACTTCTTGGCTGATGAGTGTCCGATAATTCTAAAAAAATATTGTAGAATATACTAATTTTATTACGCCCGCGTGGGTCTGCATCTGTCATGCCACCAACCTGCTCTGGTTTAACGCAAAGAAAGTTAAACTACGCTACATTATTCTACCTTAGACCTCACGCAATTCTTCCTTAACCTATTTTATCTTTTCCTGTTTTACTTCTCATCTCCTTGCTGTTAAAAAATGTTTTTGAGTTTAATTTTTTAATTTTAATATTTATTTTTTGGAAATTTAATAAAATTTTATTTTTCCCAAAAGTTTAAAAACATTCAAATCATCGTGGTTGTTATTCCCATCTAAATTTTAACAATTCGAACATTCCATCTGTTTGATTCATATTTTTTCAATTAAAATATTGATAAACAATAAACGAATTCAGCTTGAGAAAAGGGGGAATCGTAAACGAGATTGACGTGTTACTCCCCCCCCCCGCCTCAACGATTTTATGGCCGAAGAATCATGCAGAGATTAGTCATAATTTGAAATAGTCAGAAGCCCCTGAGGGCGTTTAAGGCTGTAGGCTAAGTTTTTCAATTTGCTTTTGGTTTGTCGAGTGTTTCGAGAAGTGTTGCCTTAGGGGAATTAGTAGTATTCACTAGCCAACTCTACACCGTACTAGTCTTAGGTATTGTAATTTAGCAAGTACTAGTTAAAACTACTGCTTTATATAAATATAGTACTAGTTTTAGGTACCGTATCCTAGCAAGTACTATTTAAAATTACTGTATTACCTAAGTTTTTACTTTAGTGTTCTATAGCTAACTATCATAGTTCTTTACAATTTAAACGTATTATATTGTATCGTACTATAAAATTAAATCACCTACTTATTTTGTAAACCGCTGGCTGGAAAGTAACCTACAGTAATACTAGAGGATACAGTAGGAGTGTAGTTAAAATATGGGTAACAAACCAAGTGCTTTAGATCAGTTTCAACAAAAAGTAAGTCATTCTTTAAGACAAAGGCAGGTTTATATTACAATAAAGGTAAGGTTATGGGTAGGGTAAAAAAACAACATAGAATTTAAGAGACGGTAAGACAAAAGAAGGTAAGATAAGATAAAGTAAAGTATGACAAAATAGGTAGGGAAGGGTAGAGTATGACAAAGTAGAACAAGGGAGGGCAGGGTAGAGTACGGTAGATCAAGACGAGATGGAGTAGGGCCCGCAAAGAGGAATAGACTAAGGTACGGTAGTTGAGGGTGGATTAAATCATAAAAGACAAGTTAAGATAGGGCAGGTTACATTACGGTACGGAAACGCAAAGTACTGTACAAAGTATAATAATGTAGGGAAGAGTAGAGTAGGGTAGAGTAGGGTAGGGTAGAGTAGGGTAGGGTAGGGTAGGGTAGGGTAGGGTAGGGTAGGGTAGGGTAGAGCAGGGCAGGTAGGGTCAGGTAGAGTAGGGTAGGGTCAGGTAGAGTAAGGTAAGGAATAGATAACCGATAGACTTACTGTATCTCACAAAACCCACTTTTAGCAACTAAAGCTCCACAACGAGTACCGTAAGAAGCACGACGTGAACCCCCTAAAGCTATCCAAGGATTTATGTAAAGATGCTGAACTTTTTGCTCAAAAACTAGCGACCGAAGGCCTGTTACGACACGACCCAAATTGTAAATTGGGTGAGAACGTTTACTTCAGTAGCCACAGTCCAGACGGTGCTACTGAGTCATGGTACAAAGAGAGCGAACAAATCAAATCGTATGCGGAAATCGAAGATATCTCTGACAAAATCTCGCATTTCTCACAGGTAAGGACACTTAAGCAGGGTTTAGCAGAGATATTTTAACAATGGTGGTAAAATTTAGAGAACGGCAGATTTTAAAGTGAAAAAATCCACCCCTAAACAAAAAAAAATACCCCGCCCAAAAAATCCACCCCGAACCAAAAAAAAACCCTGCCTAAAAAAATACACCCCCAAATAAAAAAAATTACCCCGCCCAAAAAAAACCCACACCTTTCTAAATCCATGCTAATCGTTCTAAGACTACAGTATTACTTTGTCAAGCTAGAGTATTACTAAAACAGGGTAGGGTAAAAACTCAAAATAATTTTAAAAAATCAAAATTTCAGATCGTTTGGAGCGACTGTCACGCTGTGGGTATAGCCATGGCCAAGGGTGCGAATGGGTTTTACGTGGTTTGTCGTTACATGCCGAATGGGAATCGAGTTGGTCATTACTCGGACAACGTTTTTCCGCCCAAAAACTGAAATTTCAAAATTTTTTAAATTTCAAATTTTTTTTCGAAATTTTAAATTTTTTTGAAATTTCACAATTTTTAAAAATTTTCAAAAACCAATGCCATTTTGAGTTGACCAAGTTTATTAACCATGTTTTCTGGCGCTTTTGTGTCGTTTCTTTTCCGCTCTCTTGGCTCTCCTCTCTTGTTTCTTCTTTTTGCATTCGGCCGATGAGCATGATGTTGTGGTAGAGGTGCTCTTCTTGGTCTTTGCGCTGATTCCAAGCTGACTTTGCAGTTCTTCGGCCGACGAAATTTTTACCGATTGCATATGACTACAGGCATCTGTGGAAGATTGTGTTCCACTTTCACTGCTTTTTCTGGCTGGAAGTGACAATTTTAAACATTTTAAAGTATTTTTCTTGTCACACCCCCCCCCCCCTACTCTGACACCCCTATCTACCCTACCGTCCTCTACCGTAACCCTACCGAACTTACTGCAATCAAAATTCTAAAACCTACTTGACATTGATGATTGTGTCTTATTCCTGTGGTGAGTGTGGCTTTTCGTTGACTTATTGATTTTCTGAATTGGCGTCTTTTTGGATTGGTTTTTATTCCTCAATTTGCTCATATCCAGCTCGGGGATGTTAACATGCTCATGTTTCGTGCTGTACTTTTTGAAAATGTCCGCTGAAATAAATATTATCATCATAATCATTAGATGTACTTAAAAATGTCAAAAATCTAAAAATTTCAAAAACTTTTAGGTCCCACCACGAAAACCTTTAAAAGCGTGGCATTATGTATTCAGCTTTTATAGAGTCAATATAAACATATGATACTGTAATTTCCGTATTTAACCAAAATTTTACATTTTTGGACCCACCACGAAAACCTTTAAAAATCTTGGCATTGTATTTTATACAATTAATATGTTAATTTAAACCAGAAAACGTCAAAACGACGTATTTTACCATACTTTGAACCCATAAAACCAAAAAAAACTACATTACACCGCTTTACCTACTATAATATCGGCTTGTAAAGTTTAAAAACAAAAAAATGTAACCCACCCGTATCAGCCTCCGTCGACTGCCTCGGCTTGAACTGATGAACATGTTTCACCGAGATGTCGGGTTTGTCAATGAACAATCGTGCCCTATCAACATGACCACTCGATCTGGTTGAGCCGTGACGGTTTTTCTTTGATGTGGGCTTACTTTCCACTGAGTTGGATGTGATTTGGTGCTTGCTTTTCTAAAAAAATGGCACTTTTTTAAAATTCGTTAAAATTTTTAAAAATAGTTTTGCTTCAAATCGTGCCAAAAAAAGTTTTGTCGTTTTTATACGTGAAAATCAATGAAAATTGACGACAAAACTTTTTTAATGACTTTAATGAGTAAATAAATGTGTAAGAGTAGAAATAAGACTAGAACTAGAGGTCAGGATAAGGGTAAAATAAGCGTAAAGATGGTAATGGGGGTAGAGGGTAAAAGGTGGGGGTAGGCGATAAGACGTAGGGGGTAGAGGTAAAAATTCAGCTTACTTTAACATTCTTTTCCACAGTAGTTATAGTACGAGCTTCTACCGTGTAATCCTCAAATTGTTTCTGATGTAGTTCACACTGAAATTTCAAAAAAAAAATTGTAATTGTTGTAAAATACGATATCAATTAAATTTTTACTTAAAAAAAATAAAAATAAAAAAATCAAAAATTTAAAAAATTTCAAAATTTTTATTTTCTATCACTAAAAAATTGAAAAAAAAATTCAAACTCACAATCCCACTCATCACATTCTGACCACAAAAGCCGTGACAACAACATCGGCAACAACACATGCAGCAACACCCGCAACAACAGCAACATCCGCACCAAAAGCAGGTCAGGTAGGTCAGGACATGAATTGCTACCTGAAAAATTTTTGAAAAAACCAAAAAATCATCAAAAAATAAAAAATACAAAAATTTTTAAAATTTCGAAGAATTTTTAAATTTCAAAAATTTTTTAAATTTCAAAAAAAAAGTTTTAAAATCTCAAAGAACACCCAAAAACTTACTTTCCAAGCCTTAGTAGCAATCATATACAAACTATGATGTACTATTGGCTTCTTCTCGCCCAATAGTACTCCCCTCAGCCCATAAGTGTCATAGATCTTCCGCTTCTGAGTATGTGCCAATATTGTGTATGCGAAATTGATCTCAGCCAAATGTTCCTTCTGTTCTTGACTTAGACTGCCATTTTGTTGTGCTTGAAGGATGCGAATTCGATTGATTTCCATTTGATAGTGAAGATGAATATGTTCGGGAGCGGCGGGTCGGGTTAGGCCCAGGACTAGGTAGTAGTAGTCACGGCGGTGGCGTCTGAAAATATTTTTTATATTACACTAGTCTACTCTAAAGTAGCCTACCCTACAGTACCCAACTCAATAGTACGCTATCCTACAGTATCCCACCTTACTATACTTTATACTACAGTAATCTACCCTACAGTACCCAAACTTAAAATATCTTACTTTTTCCGAGGAATACATTGACACCTCCCACTAGCTTTGGTCGACGAAGCAACAGCAGGCTCTTCCATTTCAACATCAACTTCTCCACCATCCTTAAAATCAGAAGCCATGGATTCTCTGGCCGACTTAGCAGATGTGTTTTTGTTTTTACTGCCTTTGGAAGACTTAGAAGAACAACTTGAAGGTGGATATTCGGCATTCGGAACATTGCCCCTTTTCCCTTTTGATTTTCGCTTCGAATTCTTCGCGGTTCGAATTGCCGGAGGCGCGGATTTGGTCCGCTTCGAGTCTATCTGCAAGAACTTTGTTTACACGGCACGAAACAGCAAGAACTTTCTTTACAAACCAAAAATAGCAAGAACTTTCTTTACAAACCAAAAAATGACAAAAACTTTCATTACAAGCAAAAAAATATATAAATACACTCTTTTCAGTAAACGTATTTTACCTTTTTACTAGAACGTCTTCCCTCGCTTTGAGTGTCATTCGACCGGCTGTGGGTGGAATTGGCAGCAGCCATTCCGTTTGGTATCAAAAATTCATAATAAACCAAATCTGTTGAAATTTGATAAAATTTCAAAAAATATTTTTGAAATCAAGTTACAGTCGAAAAATCCATCAAAAACATAAAAAAACACAAGAAAACATCAAACAACAAAAATAAGTTATTAAACTTGATGGTTAATATAATTTTAATTTGTATGAATTTGTCTTGGCGATTTATCAAAGCTTGCTTATCACAAAAGTTAGGCAAGATTATTGAGCAACTTTAATATGTATTTTTTTGATATTTGAACTAGTTTTCAAGAAGTTATGTCCATTTTTGGCACCAAAACATATGTCTGATGTTGTGAACAATATTTTCTTATAAATCAACACAAGATTATATCCCTTTATTGCTTCTTAGACTTTTTGAAAGCCATTTTAAAAGCCTAAAACAACAAAAACAGCGATTTTAAACCTTTTCCCTGATGTTATCCATGTTATTCTTCCATTTCCAAGCCTAAAACCTCAAAAATTCAATAAAATAACTTACATCTAGCCGTTTCCAAACTTTGCTTATGTTTTCCACATCATATTCATCATGTTACAATAACATTATGCCCTTATTTCGTCTTGGTACCTTCTCTTGTCGTGTTATTCATCTTATTCTTCCATTTCCAAGTCTAAATCCCACAAAAAGGTAACAAAATAACTTAAATTTAACCATTTCCGAACATTGATTATGTTTTCTAAAATATATTAATCGTTTAACAATTGTATTATGATCCTTTTACAAATTGTTACCTTCTCTGACGTTATTCATCTTCTTCTTCCTTTTCCACGCCTAAATCCCAAAAATTCAGCAAAATAACTTACAATTTGACCAATTCCATTCATTGATTATGTTTTCCACATCATATTCATCATGTTACGATAGAATTATGTCCCTATTTCGCCTTGATATCTTCTCTACATTCGTTTCCGATCATTTTTCGCGAAAGAAATCTCCGAAGAGGAGAATTTCTTCGTTTCGCAAGTCGCGCGCCGTTTAGTGCAGGCTGCGGAATCTTTTTTATCCGCAACTAGTTCTTTTTTGATTTTGTAAACCTTATCAGTAAAAATGTGATGTAGTAATTAGTAAAAGATGTAAAACGGAATTTTTTACATTTTTTTGTATTTTTTTAACTTTTAAAATTTTTTAAAAGATAAAATTACAAATTAAAAAATAATTTTAAGGATAATCCCACTCGGATTTTGTTACATTATCGTATTTGGAAAGGCCTTCGAAAAGTACGAGATGTTAGTACAATTCTCGTTATAACATTTATAGCAAGACAAGGATATGTCTGTGGGTGCTAATCCTTTTTCTTACTACATACTATAATACTATCTTGTCATTACATTACTTTTGATATTTTCGTATAGTTATTGGCTAGAAGTTTCTATTTTTCTATTTTGCCTGTATTGTTTTTGCCCTACTGTAACATTTTAGACCTAACTGTAACATTTTAGTACCCTACAGAAACATATTTTGCTACCTAAAGCTACTCTAGTTTATACTACAAAAAATGGCTACCGTACTCAAACCTACTGTAATATTATGGTCTATAATACATATCCAAATATGCCTCCACGCCCATGTAATGTTATTACCTACATTACAATTAAATTCATTTGCATTTTCAAGTTCTACCCCTTCATCCCCTACAGTATCAAAAACCTTGTCTACTACAGTAATCCTAGGGCCATCTATGACTTTTACTACGACTCAAACTCCAAATAGTTACAGTAACCTTAATACTGTATTTGTGGAAGAAGTTGGTTCCAGTAATACTAGTAATAGTAATTCGACAGTGCTAAATGGTACTAGTACTGAGAGTTCAAATAGTACTGTAGCTACTTCAGAATCCGGTACTATGCTTTTAAATAGTAGTACTACTACGTTACTTACTTCAACTACAGTACCAAACTTAGCCACATTACCTACAATACCAAGCTTTGGCGCACTACCTACAGTAGCCCCTATACCAGCCTTGGCCACATTGCCTACCCTACCTACAGTAGCAGGCCTCGGTACGCTAGCTACCTTACCAACTATTGCTCCGATAACATTAGCAACCCTTCCTACTCTACCTACAGTAACTTTAGGTACACTACCTACATTTGGTCCAATTGCAGCTTTGCCAACATTAGCCCCTATGGCCATACCTACATTACCTAATGTTAATACTTTTACACTTGCTCCGATTAGTGCGGTAAGTAGCAAGGGGAAAAGACACTTTAAGCTTAGGCTTAGGCTTAGGCTTAGGCTTAGGCTTAGGCTTAGACTTAGGCTTAGGCTTAGGCTTAGGCTTAGGCTTAGGCTTAGACTTAGGCTTAAGCTTAAGTTTAACGTCAGAATAAGGTTTAACTATAAGGTTAGGCTTATGTTCAAAATTAGGCCTAAGCCTAGGTTTAGGTTTTAAATTAAGATTATATTCTGGCGGAAGGTCATGCATAAGCCTAAGTTTAAAGTCAACCTCAAGCAAAAGGTTACACTCGATAACTCGTTTATAATTATGTTATACTGTAGTATATTTCAGTCCATACCCCAGTTAAAGGTCGGTTTCCTAATCCCATCGAATGCGTCCACCGAAATGGGATTTGACAATACGGCGGGTGCCATTATTGAAGCGCTGAGACGTGCTTATGATGAAAGGATTCTTCCAGAAGGCACTAACTTTACGTAAGCATCTTAATATTTTGTAAGTTACAGTACCCACATCAAAATTTGTTCGATTAAACCAACTTTTTTTTCAAAAAATTATAGTATCCTATTTTCCCTAAAAAAAATTATAGAAGCCCAGTTTTTTTTAAAAAAGTTACAGTAATCCTATATTTCTAAAAAGTTACAGTAACCTATATTTTTACAAAAAAGTTACAGTAACTCCTTTTCATAAAAAAACTACAGTAAGTTCTTTTCTCTAACAAGAAATTACAGTAACCAATTTTTTTTAGAAAAAATACAGGGATTCCTTTTTTTCAAAAAAAGTTACAGTATCCCATTTTTCTAAAAAAAGTTACAGTAACCAACTTTTTCTAAAAAAACTCACGGTAACTCTTTCCAGGTTCTTCTGGAAGATAGAAGAATGTGTAGAATCGACAGCGATTGGCTACAGTTTCGAATTAATAGTCGAAAACCAAGTAGATGTTCTACTAGCACCACCTTGCATAGATGGTGCAATTTGGCCGGAAATGTCGCCACTTTCTACAATCTACCAGTACTTTTATGGGGTCAAGCTTTTGACAATGCTTTTACTGATGTTGCTCAGTTCCCAACCCTTATGAGCACGTTGCCTAACTTTAATGAGTACGTTGTTATTAAGCTGTTCAAGTAATTCTGTGCTCACCTAAAAAATATTGGGATTAGGAGCACAGAATTATTTGAACACTACTATGAGTTGCAGTAAAATACGAAAATTTATATAAAAATGATTTTTAGCCTAGGAAACGTAGTCTGTGCCACCTTGCACTACTTTGAATGGGACTCGTTCGCTTTGATATACCAAGAGAATGAAGATGGTGGATGTTATGCTTTTCAGCAGGATATGGAGGTAAGAACAAGGGTTTTTGACGAGATTTGATCTTAGAGTTATACTTAAGTTTAGGTCAGAAATTAAACTATTTTTGTTTAGGCTTATAAGTAGATTTAGGCTTAAGCTTAATCTTAACGTTAAGATTAGTTCGAGGCTGAGGCTGGTTTTAGCCTGTGGTTAAGATTTAGGCTTCTGCTTAAGCTTAGCTTTTGGCATACACTTAGGCTTGAACTTAGGCTTAAGCTTAACATATGCATAGGCATAAAGTTGACTGTAAGCCTAAACATAGACATAAAGCTCACGTTAAAATTTGGGCTTAGGCTTAGGATTAAGCTTAGGCTTAGGTTTAGGCTCAGGCTTAGGCTTAGGCTTAGGCTTAGGCTTTAGGTTTAGGCTTAGGCTTAGGCTTAGGCTTAGGCTTAGGCTTAGGCTTAGGCTTAGGCTTATGCTTAGGCTTAGGCTTATGCTTAGGCTTAGGCTGCAACTTTGATTCAAGCTTAGACTTTGGCTATAACTTTGGCTTAGGCTTAGTCTTTAGCCTTAATCTTAGGTTTAAACATAGGACTAGCTATAACGTTAAACATAATCCTAGGCCTAGACTTACCTGTTGGCTTACTCGTGAGGCTTATGCTTATTCTAAAGCTTAGGTTTTAAGGCTTTGGGTTTTTGTAAAATACGGCTTCGCTTGTGATGTTTTTAAATTATTATCTTTTAGGACGTCTCAAACGCAGAAGAAGCTTGTGTAATGTCATATAAAGAAGTTGTGGACAGTTGGGTTGAAACTGACATTAAGTTCACAATGGATCAGCTGAAGAGCCGGGCTAGAAGTAAGTTGACTACAATGAAAATGGCAATAAATTTCTTTGCAAAACATAAAGTGGCAAGAACTTTCTTTACAAAACTAAAAATGGCAAGAACTTTCTTTACAAAACTAAAAATGGCAAGAACTTTCTTTACAAAACTAAAAATGGCAAGAACTTTCTTTACAAAACAAAAAATGGCAAGAACTTTCTTTACAAAACAAAAAATGGCAAGAACTTTCTTTACAAAACTAAAAATGGCAAGAACTTTCTTTACAAAACTAAAAATGGCAAGTACTTTCTTTACAAAACTAAAAATGGCAAGAACTTTCTTTACAAAACTAAAAATGGCAAGAACTTTCTTTACAAAACTAAAAATGGCAAGAACTTTCTTTACAAAACTAAAAATGGCAAGAACTTTCTTTACAAAACTAAAAATGGCAAGAACTTTCTTTACAAAACTAAAAATAACAAGAACTTTCTTTACAAAACTAAAAATAGCAAGAACTTTCTTTACAAACGTAAAAATACTTTAAATATATTACAGTAATCCTCCTCTGCTTTGACGACCCAGAACAGCAACGTAAATTTACCGTGAAACTATCCGAGTACGGTCTAGATACTAACGAGTACGTGTACTTGCTGCCAGACACTGATATGCAGAACGGTAGGGTAATTAGGCCTAAAACAACAAATTTAGATGTCTTTGGCCAATTTTCAGACGGACTGACTGATACACCTTTTTGGAAGAGTGACAATAGTACACAAGAAGAAGAGGACAGAAGCTGGAAGATTGCTACATTAAGTTATCTTATCCATGTTGATAAGACTAGTGACGTGGCTGATGTTGAGTATGACAACTTCAGTAGACTGGTAAGTCATTGCCTTGCCTTGCCTTGCCTTGCCTTGCCTTGCCGTTGCCTTGCCGTTGCCTTGCCGTTGCCTTGCCTTGCCTTGCCTCGCAACCCAAAGTTCTAGCCCGAAGTCCTAGCCCGAAAGCCCTAGGAAGATGCCTTAGCCTGAAGCCCGCAACCCTAAGCCTAAAGCCCGAAGCCACTGCCCGACGCGGTAGCCTGAAGCCGGAAGCCCTAATCCAGAGCACTAGTCCATCCAGATCTCTAGCTTTAGTCCTAACCCTTGTTTTATCAATAGCCAACAGTTTCTAGCGGGAAAATGGAGAACGGGCTAGGCTTCATCAAAATTTAAGTTGGGCAGGGCCTGAAAATCAAGGCCCGGCCTGAAAAGCCCGGTCCGTATGCACGGAAAACTTAATTCGGTCCGGGCCGGCCTTTAACAAAACTTAAATGGGAACGGGCTGAAAAAATGGACCCGGGTTGTTCCTCATGTCTAGTGCTATCCATAGCCAAAGCCCTAGCTCAAAGGTATATACGTTTCCTTACGGATTTACTTTACTATGAGATTTACATTATTATATGGTACACTATTGCCAAGCTGTTCAAATAAATTTGTGCCCCTTCCTAAAGCAAATTTTTGATTTTTGAGGGCACAAAATTATTTGAGCTACCTAATATAACTTTAAAAAATTTCTAGGTAGTCCAAGACATGGCCAACTGGCCGTTCTACTGTGATTACTGTGTAAAAAACCAGCAATCGGCTTCAATATACGCCTCCACTCTGTACGATGCAATGTATCTCTACACGAAGGGTCTTCAACGTATTTTGAACACGAGTATTGAGACAAATGTGTCATATCGTGATGGTAAAGAGTTCAGTAAACAAAGTGGAATCGAATTCGAAGGTAAGTCAATGGCAATTATGATGCATATTACAGGAATGAGTGGTACTATAGTGCTTGGAGATGACGGAGTAAGGGACTCGATTTACATGATGTCGGAATATATTGACAAGGGGGCTAGACTGATGCCTTGGGTGCAGTTTCAGGTCTCTGAGAATGGCGTGGTAAGTTTTAAAATTGTGTTTAAGGGAGTGGTTTCGCATTTCAGTGAGTGAGGGGCGGGGTGATTTTTTTTGGGGTGGGGGAGTAGCGGTGAATAATTTTTTTGAAGGGTTGAGTAAGGGTGGATAATTTTTTTTGGTAGGGATGGGTAGGGGTGGGTAATTTTTTTAGAGGGGCGGGTAGGGGTGGATGATTTTTTTGGAGGGGTGGGTAGGGGTGGAGGTTTTTTTATGAGAGTGATAATTTTTACAAAACATAGTGGGAGTGTGTTTTTTTTAAAGGGTAGGGAAAGGCAAGTAATTTTTTAGTAGGGGTGGGTAGGGGTAGGTAATTTTTTTGAAGGGGTGGAGAAAGGTGGGTAATTTTTTATAGGAGTGGGTATGGGTTGGGTTTTTTTTGGTAGGAAGTGGTAGGGCTGGGTTATTTTTGGAGGGGTAGAAAGAAGTGTGTGATTTTTTAAGGTGCGGGTGATTTTTTCATAGGCGCGGGAAGGGAAAATTAATTTTTTTGCAGGGGTAAATAATGTTTTTTGGCAAGGGAGGGGGGGGGTTTTTTTTGGTGATTTTTTCAAAAGGTGGGTACTTTTTTATAGTAGGGGGGTGCTTTTTATGGGAATGGCAAGAGAGGAAGATTGTTTTTTTTAAGTGTAAGGAGGGGTAATAATTTTTTTGGGATGGGGGAGGGGGTGGAGAGCTGGGGGTAGTCGTCTTTTTTTGAAAAAAATAGAGAAGACAGGGACGGTTTTGACGTTTTCAAAAAGTAACTGTAACCCAGGTGATTCAGAACACATCGGCCGTGTTTACCAGCCCTGGAGGTAAGAATGCGATTTGGGCCAATCGTAGTGGATTCATACCCGTATCAACCCCAAAATGCGGTTTTGATGGATTGGGATGCCCTGTGGACATTTTTGAAGAGTACAAAGGCTACGTCATCACTGGCATTACTTTGGCTTCTATTATTATTGTGGCACTTATCATGGCGATGGTTATGGTTATACGGTAAGTTTTAATATGTATATGGGTATGGTAACTTAGGGTAAGGTAGAATAGGGTAAAGCAGAGTAGGATAGAGTAGGGTAGGGTAGGGTAGAATACTGCAGGATACTGTACTGTACGGTAGAGTACGCTAGAGTACGGTAAGGTAAGAGCACGGTAGAATTCAGTAAGGCAAGGTAGGGCCGGGTACGTTAGGACAGCGCAGGGCAAGCTTGGGTACACTACAGTACGGCAGGGTGAGATACAGTAGGATAGGATAAGACAAGGTACACTCGGATACGGTACGGTATGGTACGATAGTATAACGTAGGATAGAGTACGGTAGAGTACGGTATGATGAGATTTAGTAGGGCAAGATAGGGTAGGATAGGATAGGGTAGGGTAGGGTAGGGTAGGGTAGGGTAGGGTAGGGTAGGGTAGGGTAGGGTAGGGTAGGGTAGGGTAGGGTAGGATAGAGTAGGGTAGGGTAGGGTAGGGTAGGGTAGGGTAGGTTAAGGTAGGGTAGGGTAGGGTAGGGTAGGGTAGGGTAGGGTAGGGTAGGGTAGGGTAGGGTAGGGTAGGGTAGGGTAGGGTAGGGTAGGGTAGGGTAGGGTAGGGTAGGGTAGGGTAGGGTAGGGTAGGGTAGGGTAGGGTAGGGTAGGGTAGGGTAGGGTAGGGTAGGGTAGAGTAGGGTAGGGTAGGGTATAAAATATAATGTTATAGAGCAAGAATGAAGCAAGTAGAGGCCAGAAATCGTCTATGGCAAGTCTCAACTGAACATTTGGTCAAGCTGGTTAGTAAGGTAAGTGTAATATACGTTACGGTAAACCACCCCTTATTTACAGAAAAAAGACCTAGAAAGTGCCCGATCTCTTCAATCCGGACCCTCTTCTACCTCAACTAAATTCACTTTTGATTCTGTAAAGAGCAACGAATACTTTGTGGTATACGTACTGAATGGAGATCGAGTTATTGGCATCAATTACAATGTCAATTTGATCAAGATAAGTCCACATGATCAAAGCGAAGTGCGAGCGGTAAGCGTATATGTAGGCAAGAAAACTCTAGTTGAAAACCAAATATCACATTAAGAACTTTTAAGATGAGACTACTAGACCATGATAATCTGAACAAGTTCATTGGATTGACAACTGATGGCACTTATACACTGTCTGTTTGGAGGTTCTGCTCTAGAGGACCATTGTGTGTAAGTTCTTATGACAAAGTAGACACGCCTATTATTATTGACAAGCCTAATCTCTAAGGCATTATTTTAATAAGTCTAGTCTAGTTCAAGCATAACCTAAAGACAATGTATAATTTCAGGACGTGATATCCAGCAACAACATGATCACCTCGGATGGATTCTTCATCTACAGCTTGGTCAAGGATATTTGTGAGGTATGTCAAAGCTAAAAACACCTCAAATCAAATTAAAAATGGCATTTTAGGGCTTGAACTTCTTACATGGAAGTGTGATATCCCACCACGGTAACTTGAGATCTAGTAATTGCTTGGTTGATGATAGATGGCAGGTCAAGTTGGGTGACTTTGGACTTAAGTTTATCAGAAATATGAAGGCTAAAGAGCCTAAAGGCAAGTTTTCAACACCCTACTCTACCCTACCATGCCTTGTCTGTCGCTATTGTATCTTTCTTTACAATGATCTACCTGCTAATTCTACCCTATTCCAGCTTATTTTGCCCTATCATGTCCTACCCGTCTCTGTGTTACTCTTCCTTATTCTTTTCAATTCTACGCTAACTTAATTTGTCTTGTCTTATCCTACTTCTCCTACTCTACTCTATCTTACCCTACCTTTCCCTACCCTACTGTATTCTGCAATGGAGAAAGAAAGACTAGCCCTGAATGTAAAATACGAAAATTACTGTATTTTTATTATGTTATGTTACAGTTTAAAGTTTAAGCTAAACTTTACTCACATTGCCTTTTCATTATCTTACTCTGACCTACTTTACCCTACCCTATCTTATCCTACCTTACATTACCTTACTATATCTTATCTTACTGCAGCAACATTATATTTTATGTTGAATATTTAGAATTACTCTGGACAGCACCAGAATTCCTCCGATCAAACGACTTGACTGGTTCTAAGGCAGGGGACATTTATTCTTTTGCTATTATAGCTAGTGAACTCTTCAATATGAAACCAGCTTGGGACAATGGAGAAGGAAAGGCTAGTCCTGAAGGTAAAATACGAAGTTTCCTCATTTTGCTGAAAAATTATCAAAAATTTTCAAATTTAAAAAAAAATTTTTTAAATTTTTGCTCTTGTTGGCCATAGTATATAACAATTTACCTTCAGATATTGTTTATATGATTAAAAAAGGCTCAAACCCGCCATATCGACCGATTCTGGAGATTGTTGCTCAAGATATTTCGCCGGCTTTTGTGAGTTTTTTTTAACTTTATCCTAGCTCTTCCCTAACCTTCTTCTAGCCCTACTCTAATTCTGCTCTTATTCTGCTCTGACCCTACCCTAACCCTACTCTAGCTTCACTATGGTCCTACCCTATGTATATCCTAGCCCTACTAATCTAAGGCCATAAGTAAGGATGAGATAGAGCTTAACCGTAGATATAGGGAACGGGTGGGTCTACCATTGAGTCGAATCAGGCTTGAGAAAAATTTAGATTGAGCCGAGCCTAAAAATTCCGGAAAAGCCCGGCTCGTTTGCACGTAAACTAATTCAGGCTCGGACCAGCCCGTTTCCAATGGCTACTGATCCCTAGTACTATCCTAACCTTACTTCTATCATAACCTTGTCGTAGCCTTACTCTAGCTGAACTAAATTATTACTTAAATTAAACCAGTGAGAAGAAAGAGAGATTAGTCAGAGAAAGAAAGAAAAGGGAGCTCTCTTCTTTCCCGAGAGGGCTTTCTTTGTGTTTTGAGAGAAACCCAATCAAAAGACAACTTTTGATTTTATATAAGAAAAGAAGAGATTTTCTTTTGACTTACTATAGTCCAATTGAGGTTGGTAATTCATTCAGCTCAAGCGAATGAGGTCGGAATTAGAAATTTTGGAATGCTTGATCATTTAGGTCGGGCGGATAAAATTAAAAAATTTTATTTGCGTTAGACATGAGGAACGGGCCAAGCCTTAGTGTTAGGCCCGACCCCAATATAAATTTTTCTCAAGGCCGGCCTGTTTCCCATGTATAATGTGTAACCGGCTTTTAAAGCTAAGTAAAGAGTAGTATTGTTATCCTACCCTGCATTACCCTGTCCTAGTTTAGCCTCCAAGCCCTTCTTTTTTTGACTTCTACTTGACCCGAACCCTAGCTTAGCCAGGCGTAAGCCTTATTTTGCCACATTTTAGCCTTACACAAGGCTGAATGGTAGCCTAGTTCAAGCACTTCTTTGCTTTACTTCTTCTTGACCTAAGCCTACCTTAGGCAGTATTAAGTTTTTCTCTTTAACCTGATCTCAGGTTCACAGATTAAGCTATCTTGCCCAAACCCTGCCTGATCTTATCCAAGCCCTACCTAAGCCTAGCCAAATTCTACTTGAACCAAACCCTATTTTGCCTAAGCTCTCTTTTTCTCAACCCTACCCCGGCCCAAAAACTACTTTTTAAACTGATATAAGCTCTAATTTAGCCTACCCTAACGTTGCCCACTCCCTCCTTAAGCCTATCTAAGCTCTACCTAAGCCTACCCAAGCTCAACTTGATCCAAAGCCTACTTTGAGTAAGCCTAAGATCCCTTTTGCTTAACCCTAGCCACGGTCCAAACCTAGACTTGATCCAAGGCTTACATTAGCCTAGTTTAACCTTGCTCAATCCCTACGTGAGCCTAGCGCGTCCCGACTTCGCTCAACCCTAGCCCGGACTAATTCTTATCTTCTGGCTTAAACATAAGCCTTAAAAGCCTAAATTAGCTTTAAGTATAATCTTATTTAGACCCATTTGATTCGAGATTGCTGGAGTGAAAACCCATTGGAGCGGCCAAGAATTACCACGGTAAAAACGTTATTAGAATCTATGAATACATCAAGAACGGCCAACCTCATGGATCATGTTTTCCAAATCTTAGAACAATATGCAGTGTCATTGGAAGAAGAAGTTGAAGAAAGAACAAAGGAATTGGTCGAAGAAAAGAAAAAATCTGACATTTTATTGTACAGGATGTTACCTAAGTAAGTGGAAAGAAAGTTTTTGCAATTTCTTTGTTTTGTAAAGAAAGTTCTTGCCATTTTTTGTTTTGTAAAGAAAGTTTTTGCAATTTTTTGTTTTGTAAAGAAAGTTTTTGCCATTTTTAGTTTTGTAAAGAAAGTTCTTGCCATTTTTTGTTTTGTAAAGAATGTTCTTGCTTTTCAGAAAAAAAAATTTAACTGTTTGGTCCCACAACGAAAACATCAAAACTAAAAAATTTTGTTTTTAGACAAGTAGCCGAACGTCTAAAAGCCGGTCAGACTGTAGAACCAGAATCCTTCGAATCAGTTACAGTATACTTTTCGGATGTAGTTGGCTTTACATCCCTATCAGCCAAATGTACACCATTACAAGTGGTCAATTTGTTGAATGATTTGTATACAACACTGGATTCTATCATTGCTGAAGTCGATGTTTATAAGGTGGAGACTATTGGTAAGCCAGCCATAGATCATAGCTTTAGCCCAGAGCCCTAGCTTAGAGCCCAGAGCCGTAGCCCAGAGCCCTAGCCTAGACCCCTAGCTCAAAGTCCTAACTTAAAACCGTAACACACACTGTGTCTTAGCCTAGAGCCCTAGGCCAGAGTCCTAAACCAGAGGCCTAGCCCAAAAGCCCTAGCCCGAAAGCCCCAGTCCGAGAGTCCGAGAACCCTAGCCCGAGGGCCCTAGTCTAGTGCCCTAGCCTTTCTCTAGCTTTATCTGTAGCTTTATCGGTAGCCCGTTGTATATTCTTTCGGTCTTACAAGCCCAACTTAAGTAAGGCTTAGCCTTTGTTGAACTTGTCCTAATTCTTCCCTAGTCTTTACCTTGGCCCCGTCTTATCGTTAGCGTTGTCGGATTAGAAGGAGATATTGCACGAATTTAGCAAGAGTGACATAATTTTTTGATATAACTAAATAGCCTTAGAGAAATTGCAAGAATCTGTATTACGTAATGTTTTCTTATGTAATATTATGGCCTTATATAACATTTGCCTCGATGTAAAACGACCCAACAAATGACTGCAGGTGCTGGGATTTGGCTCTATTTTACTGCGAGAAACCAGCTTTTATCTGCCATATTATTGTAGTTACAAGTTCTCTAAAATAAGTATAATCGAAGTTTCAGATTACCAAAAGCCTACGCTAAGCTTAACCTAATAAAGGAATAAAGGACTAAGCCTAAAGCCTGAAATTAATCCCCCTTAGCCCTAGCCCTGGGAAAAGCCAGCTTAAGCGTTAGAATAATCCTGACGTTTATCTTAAACTTAAGCCTAAAATTAAACATAAACTTGATAATTAGAATGAGCTTAAGCCCAAATTTAATTTAAGAATAAGCTTAAGCGTGAATCTAAGCCTAAATTTAAGCATAATCTCAATAATTAGAATAAGCTTAAGCCTATGTTTAGTCCAAACCTAAGCTTAATTTTGGAGCTATGCCTACGCCTAGTCTTAAGCTTAACCTCAGTTTAATCATAACAAGCCTAAGCCTCAACTTTCAAATACGCATCACTTTTAGGTGATGGATATCTCTGCGTATCAGGCCTACCCCATCGAAATGGAAATGAACACGCCAAACACATTGCCGACATGTCATTGTCAATAATGAGGGCTATGAAGTACTTCAAGGTATTTTTAATCGTTTTCTCATTTTAAATTTTGAATTTTAAAAATAAAATTTTAAAATTCGAATTCCGTTTTTAAATTTTTTTAAAATTCCATTTCTTTAGATACCCCATTTGCCAAAAGAAGAGCTGCGTATGAGAATTGGAATGCACACTGGAAGCTGTGTAGCTGGAGTTGTTGGTTTAGCCATGCCTAGATATTGCTTGTTTGGAGATACCATTAATACTGCTAGTCGAATGGAGAGCAATGGAAAACGTAACATTTAATTAAAAAGTCTTAAGGTTAACTGAATTGATTGCCATCTCTAGCAGGCCTAAAAAACGGGCTCACAAACAGGGCCGGGCGCGAGGGGGGGGACGGGGGAGAGGGTACCCCCCCCTTCCCCCACAGAAAAAAAAATTTGAAAAAAAAGTTTAACGTGGTCCCCCCTGTGAATTTTCGGAAAAAAAATTTCGCAAAAAATCTACCTGTGCCGATTTTTTGGACCCCTGCCCCAGACCAAAAGTCCCCGCCCGGCCCTGGTCACAAGTCTCGCCCATAAAGAATCTTTGAAAGGGGCCGGCTGAGCCTGAACCAGGGCCTGACCTTCTTACAAGTCCAAACTAAGGTCTTTCTCTTGTACCGGTTTAACCTCTAGTGCCATACTTTAACATTATCTGCCCTAAAAAATATTTTTCATTTATTATCCGCCCGATCTCAAAAGATCAAGCATTCCAAAATTTTTAAGTTCCAGCCACATTTGCATGAGCTGGATCAAGTACCAACCTCAGTTGGACTATGATAAGTCAATCAATGCTAAACTTTCGTGTTCTTGTATAAAATCAAAAGTTGTCTTTTGATTGGGTTTCCTCAACTACACGAAGAGGGCTCTTTTGGAAACGAAGAGAGCTCGCTTCTTTTCTTTTTTTCTCTGACTGATCTCTGTTTTCTCAATAGTTTCTTACTCTTGTTGATGCTTCGGGCTCGCTAGGGTAGGGTTAGGGTAGGGTAAGGTTAGGGTAGGGTGAAATAAAAAAACCAAAAAATGTTGCAAAATGCATGATTTTTGATAAAAGTAGCATATTCAGCTAATCGAATCCACATCTCAGCGGACAGTAATTACTTTTTGACCAAAGTGATTGGTGGCTATGTGACTGTAAGCCGTGGAGAGATTATTGTCAAGGTAAGCGAAGAAATTTCATTTTTATTTAAAAATGCATAGTTTTTATGAGTTGAAGAGGGAGGAGGAGTGTAAAAAAGTTTTTTGAAGAGTTAGGAGGGGGTACAAGTCTTTTTTAGGGGGGGGAGAGGTAAAAATTAATTTTATAAGAGGGGGGGGTTAAGGATGGGTGGCGGAGGGGTCAGAAAAAATATTTGTGGTTGGAGTTAAGTGGGTAAAAAATTTTTAGCTTAGGAGTGGGGTAAAAAAATTTTGAGGGAGGGGGTGGCAAAATTTTTTTAAGACTAGGCTAAAAAATGTTTAAACGGAGGTTGAAAATTTTAAAAATAATAGTTTTTTTTTTTGAAAATGTTCATTATTTCAGGGAAAAGGAGTAATGGAGACCTTCTTTTTACTTGGGTTAGAAAGCGACCAGAACATACGAAATTTGATGGCAGAAGTTGAAAAGGAACAAGTTTAATATCAATTCCTATAAAAAATGTTGTATCATATAGTATATACCTGGCAATAAAATAAAGTTTTGACTTTTATACTACTTTTATGCCCAAAATGTTATCTAAAAGTAAGTGGAAAGAAAGTTCTTGCAGTTTTTTGCTTTGTAAAGAAAGTTCTTGTTGTTATTTGTTGTTTAAAGAAAGTCCTTGCCATTTTTTGTTTTGTAAAGAAAGTTCTTGCCATTTTTTGTTTTGTAAAGAAAGTTTTTGCCATTTTTTGTTTTGTAAAGAAAGTTCTTGTTGTTATTTGTTGTTTAAAGAAAGTTCTTGCCATTTTTTTGTTTTGTAAAGAAAGTTCTTGCCATTTTTTGTTTTTGTAAAGAAAGTTCTTGCCATTTTTTGTTTTGTAAAGAAAGTTTTTGCCATTTTTTGTTTTGTAAAGAAAGTTCTTGTTGTTATTTGTTGTTTAAAGAAAGTTCTTGCCATTTTTTGTTTTGTAAAGAAAGTTTTTGCCATTTTTTGTTTTGTAAAAAAATTGTTGCTTAGAAAGTTTTTACCTTTTTCTTTTTGTAATGAAAGTTCTTGCTATTTATTTATCAAAATTAGCGCTTATTGAGAGCTGCAGCTTGCGGGTGACAATTTATACGATAAATGATTTTTTTTGCATTGCAAAGAAAGTTCTTGCCATTTTTTGTTTTGTAAAGAAAGTTCTTGCCATTTTTTGTTTTGTAAAGAAAGTTCTTGCCATTTTTTGTTTTGTAAAGAAAGTTTTTGCCATTTTTTGTTTTGTAAAGAAAGTTCTTGTTGTTATTTGTTGTTTAAAGAAAGTTCTTGCCATTTTTTGTTTTGTAAAGAAAGTTCTTGCCATTTTTTGTTTTGTAAAGAAAGTTCTTGCCATTTTTTGTTTTGTAAAGAAAGTTCTTGCCATTTTTTGTTTTGTAAAGAAAGTTCCTGCCATTTTACGTTTTGTAAAGAAAGTTCTTGCCATTTTTTGTTTTGTAAAGAAAGTTCTTGCCATTTTTTTGTTTTGTAAAGAAAGTTCTTGCCATTTTTTGTTTTTGTAAAGAAAGTTTTTGCCATTTTTTGTTTTGTAAAGAAAGTTCTTGTTGTTATTTGTTGTTTAAAGAAAGTTCTTGCCATTTTTTGTTTTGTAAAGAAAGTTTTTGCCATTTTTTGTTTTGTAAAGAAAGTTCTTGTTGTTATTTGTTGTTTAAAGAAAGTTCTTGCCATTTTTTGTTTTGTAAAGAAAGTTTTTGCCATTTTTTGTTTTGTAAAAAAATTGTTGCTTAGAAAGTTTTTACCTTTTTCTTTTTGTAATGAAAGTTCTTGCTATTTATTTATCAAAATTAGCGCTTATTGAGAGCTGCAGCTTGCGGGTGACAATTTATACGATAAATGATTTTTTTTGCATTGCAAAGAAAGTTCTTGCCATTTTTTGTTTTGTAAAGAAAGTTCTTGCCATTTTTTGTTTTGTAAAGAAAGTTCTTGCCATTTTTTGTTTTGTAAAGAAAGTTCTTGCCATTTTTTGTTTTGTAAAGAAAGTTCCTGCCATTTTACGTTTTGTAAAGAAAGTTCTTGCCATTTTTTGTTTTGTAAAGAAAGTTCTTGCCATTTTTTTGTTTTGTAAAGAAAGTTCCTGCCATTTTACGTTTTGTAAAGAAAGTTCTTGCCATTTTTTGTTTTGTAAAGAAAGTTCTTGCCATTTTTTGTTTTGTAAAGAAAGTTCTTGCTATTTTTTGTTTTGTAAAGAAAGTTCCTGCCATTTTACGTTTTGTAAAGAAAGTTCTTGCCATTTTTTGTTTTGTAAAGAAAGTTCTTGCCATTTTTTGTTTTGTAAAGAAAGTTCTTGCCATTTTTTGTTTTGTAAAGAAAGTTCTTGCCATTTTTAGTTTTGTAAAGAAAGTTCTTGTTATTTTTAGTTTTGTAAAGAAAGTTCTTGCCATTTTTTGTTTTGTAAAGAAAGTTCTTGCCATTTTTTGTTTTGTAAAAAAATTTCTCGCCATTTTTGGTCTGTAAAGAAAGTTCCTGCCATTATTTTTTAATGACTATAAACTGGCAACACGTACCACCTCAAAAGAAGATAAGCCGCAGTAGTAATCAGTAATTATAATGTAACAATTGAATGAAAATGGTAACAAGCTGTAAACAGTAACATATTCTATTATAATTACATGGTTATTTGAAATAAAAGGTTGTAGACAAAGGTGTCAAATGTATACATGTTTTCGGTGGGTTCAGTTTTAAATTAGGTTAGTAAAACTCGCTTTTAGTTTATACGCATTAAAGTAATAGTGGGGGGGGAGGGGGGGGAAGGCTAAAGGCAGATTGGGGCTAGGGCTAGGGCTAGGGCTAGGGCTGGTGTTATACTTATGATGTTTTGAAATTAAAAATTTATAATTGTGTGATTTCCTAATGTGTCACAAGTGTTTTGTGTAGTAGATATGCAAGCTATGTACACCTACGGAATGTATAATTGTTATTATTGGCAAGGTTTTAATATTACGTTATGCTGTAGAATGTAATAACAAAAATACGTTTTCTAGGAATTCAAAGTGTTTGTGAGCTTAGCAACATATGTCATTATAATATAGTTTACTGTGTTGAGTGTAACTTTTTGGTTAAAATTATTACTATAAAGTGTAAATCTTTACAGTATGTCTAAAGATACTGTAAAAAACATCAATTGTATTTTTGACAGCTTCGTTGTTATAAGTGGTATTATAACATGTGCCACGGTAATACGATTATCTTTTACTAATCTACGAAACAAGACACTACGAGTTTATACTATGATGTTAGTAGCAACTGCTTCAGTAGATTTAATTTACAGTGTTAATGCATTCCTTACTTTGTGTGTAAGTTTACATATGTACCCTACCCTACCCTACCCTACCCTACCCTACCCTACCCTACCCTACCCTACCCTACCCTACCCTACCCTACCCTACCCTACCCTACCCTACCCTACCCTACCCTACCCTACCCTACCCTACCCTACCCTACCCTACCCTACCCTACCCTACCCTACCCTACCCTACCCTACCCTACCCTACCCTACCCTACCCTACCCTACCCTACCCTACCCTACCTTACCTTACCCTACCCTACCCTACCCTACCCTACCCTACCCTACTCTACCCTACCTTACCCTACCCTACCCTACCCTACCCTCTACCCTGCCCCAGGACCTACCGTACCTTAGGCCCTACCGTACTCTAGGCCTTACCGTACCCTAGGCCTTACCGTACCCTCCTACCCATATCGTACCCTATGCCCTACTGTACCATAGGGTCTACCGTATCCTAAGTTCTACCGTACCTTACGCCCTACCGTACCCTGCGCCTTACCGTACTCTAGGTTCTTCCGTACCCTAAGCGTTACCGCGCCTTATTATACTGTTTTAGAGTTCAACCTTTGGCGTTGGAGCAGTTTTCATGACAGTCAATAACCCGCTAATACCAAAAACGGTATTCTGGGTTTACACATCAGTTAGTACTCACTTGTTCCTTATGTTCTTCTGCGTTGGCATTTTACCTTTACAGTTCATATACAGATATGGTGTTATGAGAGGGAGACCGTACACTAAGCTTCAAATGATAGGGTTTACCTCGGTGCCATTTACTATGGCAGCTTTTCATGGATTCATTTCTCCATGGACTTTTCGACCGCCAAACGAAGAATATGATAGAATGTTTAGAGACACGTTACAAGTTGATGAAAGCTATGAACTGCCTGGTTATATTGTGGGAGATGTGGTAAGTAACCGGCTGCTGCATGGTGATGAAAATAAAGCAAAGTAGGGCAATGTATGATAAAGATAAAGTAGAGTTAGTTACGTTTTAGAATACGGTACGATAGGATACCGTAACGTAGAGCTTAATAAAGTAGAGTAAAGTATAGTACGGTAAGGTAGAGTAAAGCAGGGCAGAAAAAAGTAAGTTACGGTAAGCTAAGATAACATAGATTATAGTACGGTAGGATACGATGAGTTACGGTAGGTTAGAATATTGTAGAGTGAGATAGAGTAGAGTAAGGCAGACAAAAGTACGGTACGGAAAAACACAAAAAAGTACCGTAACTTTCAGTACCGTACAGCGTGGTAAGTCAGAGTACGGTATGGTACAATGATATAGTGTAAGGTGGGACACTGTAGGCCAGAGCTAGGCAAGGCGAAGGCAAGGCAAGTTCTTTTGAGTAGAGCAAGCCTGGGCATGGCAGAACATACGTTTTTTGTACAATAATCTCTATTTTGTATTACAGAGAACGTTTGATGTAATGACTCTGCACTTTCTAAACATATTTGTGATCGATGGTATACTGTACTCTGTCATTATATATGTTGTTTGGTTATCAAAACAGACCATTACATTACAAAACAAAGGACAAGTGTCAAGTCAAACTAAAGTTGTACAAAAGCAAATCACAAGGATTATATACATACAGGTAGAGTAACATGTAGTAGAGTAGAGTAAGGTACGATAGGGTAGGGTATATTAAGGTAAAGTAGGTTAAGATAGGGTATGGCAGGGTAGAATAGAGCATTGTAAAACAAGTTAAGAAAGGTATAACATATAAAACTACAAGCTCTATAACAACATTTTTAGGCCATCTACCCCATATTTGTAGCTTTAATACCAGGCGTATTCTTTACCATAGCCGCCACAAAAGGTATTCAAGTACCATTTGTGGCTGAACTAGGTATGTTTTTAATGCACACGCCGCCATTAGTCAACAGTTTAATTGTCATTGGATGCGTACCGAGTTATCGACGATTTGTGACAAATCCTTTCAAACATGATCGGCTTTCTACTGTGTAGGTTATGTATATTGTACTACAAAGTGGGATCAAAAGTTGAGAGAAAGTAGAAATGGGAGGAGAGGGCGGGGAGTAAAAAGAGAGTGGAGGAAGGGAAGTGTCTAACACAAAACAAAAAATGACAAAAACTTTCTTTACAAAACAAAACATGACAAAAAGCTTTCTTTACAAAACAAAAAACTACTAAGTGATACTTATACTACATACCCTCAAACTGTCATGTGAATAATATCCAAGCTTTACTTTAGCTTTACTGTATTAGGTGCCGACATATAGAACCCGCCATCTTTTACCGGAAATTACAAGCAAAGTATGGCGGGTTCTTTATGTCGGTTTTTAATAACTTTACTCTAGCTGTTACCATAGATCTAGCTCCGTAATTATATGTGAATCTACTTTTTTATCATATACATGGTATTTTTTATACTAACCTTACCTTCATTTTATACTATAACATATCCAAGTGAAGTAAACTTTGTACAAATTTATTGCAATTGAATCCAAATTGAGCGAATTGTCAATGTAAAATGTAAAAAAATAAATACTCAAAGTAATTGCCAACATGATAAATTAAGTTATTACACCCACAAATTGTAATATGATGTAGTCAACTATGTGGTAGGTAGTAGACAATTACCACAGACTGTAAAATTGGAGAGTCAGGCTTACAATAGAGTACTGTAGAAGGCAGTAGTACTATTGTAAGAAGTATAGGGTACAGTACGATACTCTAAAGTACGGTAAGATACTGTAGAGTAGTAGAGTACAGTAGGGTACTGTAGAGTACGGTAGGAATTAGTAAAAATTGTAGAAAAATTTTTGGATTACAGTACGTTACAGTACCAAATAATAAAATAGTAAAGTAGTACTGTATGCGGCAGTACAAAAGTTCACTGTAAAATAAAAAAAACGTTAATGTAGCCAAAAAAGTTACAGTAACACATCAAAGCTCAGTATGATGAAGCTTTTCGTTCAAGTAGGTCTCCAATTTTGTCAGTTTGTGTAATATCTTGTCCTTCTGGTCCGTCATCGACGCCAAATTCGGATCATCCTCAATAGCATGAAGCGACTTGTGCTCATCCATTATGTCATCATGATGTTGTAGTTGCAAAAAGTGACGATCCAGGTGACGGAGCTCGGATTTTATGGCATTCAGCTCGTTTGGAATGAGTTTGGGCGTGTTCTTGGCCTGGAATGAGGGGCGGGTTAGTAAAATTTTTTTTTAATTTTTTAATTTTGTTTTTTTTGGTACTGTCTGGCACTAAAAATTCATATTTAAAAAATTTTTGCATTTATCGTTATTTTAAGCTAAAATTTGTTTTAAATGGCAAGAACTTTCTTTACAAAACAAAAAATGACAAAAACTTTCTTTACAAATCAAAAAATGGCAAGAACTTTCTTTACAAATCAAGAAACGCAACAACTTTCTTTCCAAACAATAAAAACAGAAATTTTCAAGTTTCCAAAAGAGTTCATCGTATAACATGTCTCCCGCTAAAGCATTTTTTGTTTTTGACAAAACTGATGATACGATTATATTTCTGAAAATACCCCGGGGTTTCCGCTGCTTTTTGATCCCATTACATCGACGAATTCACGTGGAACACATGTTTTTCATTCCACAATAACTTGTGGTTTCCACCGCTTTTCGGTTCGCTAAATTCGGAAAAGCGATTCGATGACAAAATCGATGACAAAATTGAGCGGCGACAAAGAAAAAAATTTTGATTTTGTTAACGAAATTTTCTTGGTTCTTGGAAGAAAAATCGATTTTTTTATTTAAATAATTTTACCGAAACATCGAGAAAACGACCGGTAAAGTTTTGTAACAGAACTTTTAGCGCACCCTGTAATTCAAAAAAACTTTTTTTGCCATTTTATGTTCTGTAAAGAAAGTTTTTGCCATTTTTTGTTTTGTAAAGAAAGTTCTTGCCATTTTTTGTTTTGTAAAGAAAGTTCTTGCCATTTTTCCACCAAACAGCCTTTATTTTGTTTCGCAGCCTGCGGGTGACAATTTATACGACAAAATAAGGTTTTTTGTTTTTTAAAAAAAGTTTTTGCTATTTTTTCAGTTGTAAAGAACGTTCTTGTCATTTTTTGTACTGTAAACAAAGTTTTTGTAATGTTTTGTTTTGTAAAGAAAGTTATTGCAATTTAAAATTCAGAAAAAAGCTAAAACCAACCTTAATCCAAAGCTTCCGCACCCTTTCATTCTCAAATGGATTCTCCAAAACAGCCTCAATCTCAGCGTTCAAATGTTGAAAACTGTCCTCAATCTCTCCATTCAAAGCTTTATGTTCTTTCACAAGTTGTTGATGATCCACAGTGTCATGAACTTTGTTTTCATCAACTTCTTCCAGGTCTTCTTGTACCTTTTCATATTCTTTTATTTTCATTTTGAGATCATTGAATTGACGATGGAGATCGGAGAGCTCGGCTTTGGAAACTTCGTCGTTTTGGTTGATTTTGGACCAAAGTTGCTGAAGACGCGAGTTTGAGAAGATGACGTCGCGGAAGTTGTCGGTGTTGCGGGTTGGTTTGTTTACTGTGTTGTGCAATTTCTTTGAGTCGTGCTTGTATTTCTGAAAAATATAAAGGTGAATATTAATAAAAGTACAGATAAAATAACATCCTAAAATCAATTTGTCGATTTTTTTAAGTTTCGGTAACGAAATGTCAAAAATCAAAAAAGTGATATTATGCTTAAAAAGTGTAATAGCATTAATTTTAAGCATTATTTACACTAAAAGACAAAAAATAAATTTTCCAATAAAAAGTTGACGAAATGTCAAAAATCAAAATTTTGAAAAATGTTTCCAAAAGTAATAAAACACACGAAAAACCAGTTTTCAACAAATTATTACAGTAATATAAAACATTATAGTAATGTAAAACAAGCCAACTCACAATTCTAAACGCATTCAGAGCTTCGTCAAGGTTGTAGCGCTCGAGGAGTTTCTCGAGTTTGTCATCGGCTTCGCTTACGGATTTGGTATTCTTGTGATGCTGTTGTTGTTCGTGCTTGATGCTCACGTACAGTTGGTCAAACTTTTTTAGTTCTTCCTGAAAATTTTAATAATTAAAATTGAAATTTTTGAAATTTTTGTGTTTTTTGGCAGAAAAATCCACAGGGGGGACCAAGCTGATTTTTTTGGAAAAAAAAATTTTTTTTGGGGGGGGGGAGAAGGTGGGACATGAAAAAATTTTTAAAAACTATGCCCGAAGGATATGAAATCATTTTTAAAATCCAAATTTTTTAATTTCAAAAAAAAATTTTTTTTAATTTTGAAAAAAAAGTTAGCTTGGTCCCCCCTTTGGAATTTTTCAATATTTTCTCAATTTCAAAATTTCAACTCTGCCCTTACCTGTAGTTTTTGAGCAGCTTCTTGGCGGTCAAGACGAGACTGCGCTTTCTGCCAAATGAAATTGATTTTGTCCATGCGGAATTGCGGCGTTGCGTCGCTGGCGATGCAGCTGGGGACGCAAGTGGCGATGAAGAGGCAGATGGATAGAAGTAGAACATTTTTGTTGAGTAAGTTAGATTTTAGGTTTGAATTAGTAAAAGGTTTGTTGAATAGGTATGAATAAGTAAAAGATGGGTAGATAGAATCTTCAGTACAATCCAAAGATTTAAAATTCGAAAATTTGCCTTCAAAAGTTGAAGAATCAAGAGTTGCGGCTTCAGAAGTTGAAGTCGTCAGAAGCGGGAAAGAGGTTTTCGCCGCGGTCCGTGTTCGCATCTAAAAGTTGAAGCATTACGATCATTTATATAGAAGCGACCCGTTTTCTCCGCTCCACCCAAACCCCGCCACCAGCGGTTTTTGGGAGGAGCGAAAATATTGTTGGTGGGGAGGGGTTCGAAGCGGAAAAGAAAAAAGGGAGGGTAGAGATTAGGGCAGTTATTTTGTAATGGAATGTTTTGAAAAAGATGAAAATAGCGGGGTTTTGGAGAGATCAACGAAGATTAAGAAAGTTATGAATACCGTAACTACTAAATTACACCATTACCTATCACACATAATACCTTGGCCTTAGCTCTAGTTTTAGCCTTAGAGTTGGTTTTTTACATGACCCTACTATACCCTACCTTAACCTCCTTTTATAAGTTTTTGCTCTAATCATTTTGTTCAGTAGGAGTAGTACGATCTTTTGCTTTATCATTGCCTTGCTTTAGCCTGTTCTCAGCATAAATGTTGATCTAGCCCCAACACTACCCTAGCTTTCGCCTTGCTATTTCACCCTTAGCTTTAGTTTTAGCCCTAGCTATAGTGTCTTTCTTTACTTTGCCCTACTCGTACCATTGCCATGCTCTTGCTCTACTTTTCTTTGACTTACTATCGGTTTATCATTGCTCTGCGTTGGCCTTTTATCAGCGTTATCATCGGCCTAATTCTAACCCTACTCTAGCTTTAGCTTTAGCTTTGCTGTACTTTACCTTTAGTCCTAATTTCATCCCTAGCTCTAGTTCCTTTCTCAGCTCTACCATACCCTACCCTTGTTCTAGTCATTCTAGCTTACCACGGCTTTATTACCCTACTTTAGCTTTTTTTTGCCTTACTGTTGCTCCTGCCCTAGCCCTACGCTAGCTTTAGTCTTTCTCTAACATACCCTTACGCTTGCTCTGCTTTTGGCTTACTCTATTTTATCTACCCCTGCTTTACGACTGACTGTCCTTTTCTACACTTTTATCAGCCCCGGTCTAGCTCTACTCTACCCTTGGCTTCAGTATTACCTAGGCTCTAGTATTACTTTGGCTCTACGTTACTGTAGCCTTACTTTTACTTTTACTTGTTTTTGTATTAACTCTTTTGACCTAGCATTGCTTTAATCTTGCCTTTCTCTAGAATTTTTTCAGCTCAACTCGAGTTCTATCATGCCCTGGTGTCCAGCTCAACACTAGCTCTATTCATCCATAACTTATTTTGCTTTTCCTTTATCTTTGCTATGGATACCGTACTACCTTGCCAAATCATAATTATTCTTGATCTACTGGCCTACTGTACTCCACAAAAGTAAAAAAAAATCAAAAATCTAAAGAAAAATCGCAAAAAGCCTACTAAATTGATACACAACGTAAAAGTTAGAGACGACAAAGAAGTGAAGAAAAATGACAAAAAGTAGGAGCGACAAAAACAATAAAATAGTTGGCTGGTAGCCGATTCAAATCAGAAAAAAAATTAAATTTGGGGAATTCTCTCTAGTTTACACAATCTTTTTTGTCCTACGACGTATGACACTATCATGTTTCATAATACTATACTGTACTATCATGTTTTGTAATACTATACTGTCTTCTTTACTATCATATTAGGTTGTTCACATAATTCTGCGCCCCCACACCCCGCAAATTTGCTTTGAGAAGGAGCTCAGAATTAAATGAACAACCTAATATATGCTTTGGAAAACTATGGTAAGCGCCGACATAAAGAACCCGCCATAATTTGCCTGTAATTTCCTGTAAAAAATGGCGGGTTCCTTATGTTGGCAACTAATATTATATATGAAAGACTATACATACTATTACGTATTTTACTTTAGAAAACTATGCTATGACATATTTTACTTCAAAAAACCATAGTAAAACGTCATGTAAATAAGTCATCCCATTCTACTTTATTCTGCTCTTTTACCGTAGTAACACTAACATCTACCTTTACTCTCGGAGTATTGACAAAGTTAACCTGATAGTGTTATGAAACCACGATCGTCACAAAACAGAATCCGATTTGAAGTTGTTTGTCTGAAGCCGATTTGGATTCTAGATTTTGTAATAGCATTTGGAGGACACCAGATTTGGTTGAGTAATTCTGTAAGCAAACAGTAAACATGTAGTCATAGTACGAGGTAATGAAAAGTATGTCTGGAATTTTTGTAAGATCTGTAGGTTTTGAAAAAGTGAAGAAATTTGAGGGTTACTGTAATTTTTATTTTTTCAAAATTTTTCAAAAATTTTTGTATTTCAATATTGTATGACGTGATGTCTAGAAGAACTTTTGTCTGGTGATCTTACACAAGCATACCCTATCCTGCCCTACACTAGCTTGCCGTTGCCTTGCCGTTGCCTTGCCGCTGCTTTGCCGTTGCCTTGTCCTACGAGAGCTGGTCTTATCCTGTCATGTAATATCCTGCCTTGCCATAACCTCTCTCACTCTATACTGCTTTGATCTAACTTTCTAGCCTTATCTTACCCTGCTTGGGCCTTCCGCACACTTTCTTGTCTTACTTTGTCTTCTCTTACTGTATTTTGCCTTGACCTGTCTTGTCATGCCATGAGCGATCTTGATCTACCCTGGTGCTCTTCTCTGCCTTGTTTGGCTTAAATTTGTCTTTCCAGTTTGCCCCACATAGCTTTGTTTTAGTGTGCTTAGCTTTACCTTACCTTGCTTGATTCAGTCTTGTCCTACCCTGTATTAACCTACCATACCATGTCCTACCCTATCCTGCCCTACACTTTCTTGCCTTACACTGCCTTGCCCTACCCTACAAATTTTAAATACCAAAAAAAATATGTCATCATCGCGTTCCATAGCAAACACAACATAGTCATTCCATTATGACGTTTGTTCTTTTATTTTCTAGCAAAACCAAGCTAGTTAATTGACGAGACATTCTTTGCGATGTACTCTGTTCCATCGATGAACTGACTCATTTTTCAAACGTTTTTTTTTGCAAAAATTTGTGGTCACATTACTGTTAACAGCAGCTAAAAAGCCATTTGGCACGGTTGTTACTGTTCTTTGGGTTATAAAAAATTTTACAAAAGTTACTACGGTTGTTTACTATGCTATTTTATGTTGTTATACCTTACCTTATTTTACCTTACCTTACCCTACCCTACCCTTATTACAATATACAGGGTGCGCCAAAAGTTCTGTTACAAAACTTTACCAATCGTTTTCTCTATGTTGCGGTTAAGCTTGTATTATGAAAATGGCTAGTCCAGTTTTTTTAGCAAAATTAGTTCAAAATGCCATTTTATATTACACTAAAACAATATTTTTCCAAAATGATCACTTCCGCATGTCACGTTGCTTTTTGATGTGTTAAAGCTTATTGACTTGTAAATGTAAGCAATCAATGTTCTTTACTTTTATTACCGTTCTAAGGTTGCTCAATGTTCTCAACGTTCCTTTATGTCATCAATGTTCTTAGCTGCTGCTTACTGTTTCGGTAACGTTATTGTCAATGTTCTTAACGTTCTGTGATGACCTCAAAACGTCATTGCAATTCACGTTGAAAAGTTTGTTAGACAGGTTAAACGTGATGTGCTCGACCAGTTCTTGCCGTGTTTGGCATTTGCCTTGCCTTGCCTTGTCTTGCCTTGTCTTGCCTTGCCTTTCCTTGCCTTGTTTTGCCTATCCTACCCTACCCTACCCTGCACTGCCCTACCCTACCCAACCCTATTCTACCTTACTTTAGCCTATCCTGTCCTGCTATGAGCTACTCTACCCCCCCCTTGTCTTCAAGAAAACCTATATTGAAGTTCTTCACGTCAAACCCACGTGAAGCCAAGTGAATTCCAATTTCAAAACGCCCCCTAATTTCGTTAGTTTTGTTTTCCGGAAGGAAAAAGTGCTAAAGTCTATGGGTCGATCAGCTTAAGCGATCGTAATTGAAAGGTCACCAGTTTGCAGAATCATTGGAAAACATTCTGGGTGCAAGTGATTGGAAAAGGAGAAAGTCTTTTCAAATGAGTTATTTAAAACCAAAATCTTTACATCGAAAAAATAGGCTTTAAAACCAAAGTTAAAACTTAAGAATAAGTTTTAATCTAAGCCAAAACAAGGATATGATTATGTTTACAGTTTACAGTTTATTTAACCTTTTTCTATCAAAGTAAAAAAAGCCAGCATTTTAACTTAAACGTAAACTAAACTTGAGCTTTTTTAGTGAAGCCTAAAAGTAATCGTAGCTTGAGCCTATCTTTTAGCTTCAGCATAAGCACAACGTAACCTAAACCTCAAACCTAAAATTAGCTTTTCTTATGATAAACCTAAGCATTGGCTTAACTTTAAGCATAAGCCTAAGCTTGAACCTAATCCTAAGTCTAAGTCTAAGCCTAAGCCTAAGCCTAAGCCTAAGCCTAAGCCTAAGCCTAAGCCTAAGCCTAAGCCTAAGCCTAAGCCTAAGCCTAAGCCTAAGCCTAAGCCTAAGCCTAAGCCTAAGCCTAAACCTAAGCCTAAGCTTAAGCCTAAGCCTAAATTTAAACCTAAACCTAAGCCTAAGCCTAAGCATAAGCCTAAGCCTAAGCCTAAGCCTAAGCCTAAGCCTCAGCCTAAACCTAAGCCCAATTTTAACTTTAAGCCTCAACTTAAGCTTAAAGGCTAAGCGTTATCCTATGTCTAAGTTTAAACTTAAGACTAGTACAAACATTAAATTTAAGCCTAAATCTAAGCTTTTAGTTTACAGTAAAGCTAAAGCGTAAGCTTAAGTCTAAGCCTATGCTTAGTTTTAAGTTTAAACTTTAGCTTATCAAAAATAAAAATTTTTAACAAAAGTTATTGTTAGGAAAGTTTTTTTTGTATCTATAAATAGCTTCCCTCCTCGCGAAACCCGTCAACTCAGCAGGATACCCGAACAAAGAATCTTTAAAGATTGACAAACTGCTTTATCGCTCCACATTATACTCATGTTTACCCTTTTCAAGACTAAAAGTCACAAAAATTAAGATTTCGAAAATTTTTAGAGTTGACAGGTATCAAATTTTAAAATTCTTCTAGTCTAAAGCGGCAAGATACTGTAACATAAAGCACTAACAAGCGGATAAAGAGCCTAAACGTAATTTTCTATACCCTACCCTACCCTACCCTACCCTACCCTACCCTACCTTACCCTACCCTACCCTACCCTACCCTACCCTACCCTATTCTAACCTGTAGTAAAACCATAAATATACATATCATAAACCGTAATAAACATTCTTATAATACAACAAGTTACAACAAAAAAAACATAATTTAAAATACACTAAACAATGATTTGTTACCATATAGTTACTACATAGTTAACAGTAATTAAAATTTTACAATCGTTCAACGTATAAATTTTAAAATACGTTTTAAATTTAAAAAGAAATGGCTAAAAAAACACGTTCGAAGAACGTCGGAACGTCGATTCACGTGAAGCCTCAATTTGGTTAATTTGAGTAGTAATTAACGTTAACAATAGTAATTGGAATCGGATCTTGTTTACAAAGTTACACTGGATCTTAAGACGCATTACGTCTGACATAAAGTTTCACAAAAAATAATTTTTTAATTTTGAAAAAAAACTAAAATTTTGCCTTTTCGTCGTTTTAAAATTGAAAAAAAAACAAATGCTAACTCGTATTTTACCACTCCTATAGAATAATATTATCCTAGACTTAAGCCGCAGGCTAAACCTATGCTTAAGCTTGAACTTGTGCTTAAGCCTAAGTGTAAGCTCCAACGTGAGCCTAAGCCTAAGACTAGGCTTAAGTCTAAGCAAGCAAAAGCCTAAGCTTAAATTAAAGATTGGGTTTGAGTTCGAGCCTAAGAGTAAGCTTAACCCTAAGCCTAAGTAGAAGCCTAAGCTTGAAACGAAGTCTAAGCATGAGCTTAGGCTTATTTTTCTTTCTAGGCTTCAATCTAAGTATAAGCTTTAATTTGAACCTAAAATTAAGATTTAGCGTAACACTTGGCCTAGTCTAAGCTTAAACTTCAATCTAAGTCTAAGCTTCAATTTGAACCCAAGCTTATTTTAAAGTGTAACAATTAGCATAGTCTAAGCCTAACTTAAAATCTAAGCCTAAACCAAAGCCAAGCATCAAAAAACTTTAAAAAAATTAAAAGCCCCAAAAGTTATAATAAATACAAATTTAAAAAGTCTTTATCTTATTGATCAAACAAAAGCCCAGGTTTGTTAGATACGTGGTTAAAAAACTTTTGTTTTGACCTTGCGCATGCCTTTCTTCGTCTCCAATCTCTTCATTTTGAACTGTCTATTAGATAAGCGACAGTTTTGAACAGTCACAAAGGTTAAAAAAGAAAAATGAGACCTTAACCAACAATAAAAATGTATAAGTTGTTTTTGGTAAAGTGCAAATGGCAAAAAACTTAAAATTTTATGAACTTATGTACGCTTTAATTAAAACAAATTTTTTTTTTAAAAGTTAAAAGTTATGTAAGAATCACAAGTCTTAACCTTACTTCCAACATTTAAAAAAAACTTTATTAAAATGAAGAAATCTTAATAGATTATCAGTCATAAGATAAGCTTAAACTAAACCTAACCTAAAATTGATTTTCGTCTATTTGTAAGCTCAAAAAGCTTAAACTTAACATTGAGCTTAAGCCTGAGCTTGAACCTAAGCCTGAGCCTAAGCTTGAGCCTGAGTTAGAGGCTTGATCTTGACTTTGAGCCTAAACCTGAATTTAAAACCTAAACGTGAGACTTTACCTGAGCCTAAGCCTAAACCTGATTTTGAACTGGAACCTATGCCTCTAGCCTTAGCCTCTACTTCAGTCCAAACGCAATCTTGACTTAAGCCTCACTTAACCCTTTAACTAAGTCCAAGCTTAAGTTCAAGTCTAATTTGAGCCGGACTCAAAGCTAAGCCTAAAAGAAAGCCTAAGGCAAAGTTACAACGTCTTACCCCACTTAAACGCAAACCAAACTTACGCCTAAGTAAAGCCAAAGCTCCAGCCTATGCTTCAGTTTAATTTTTAAAAAACATTTTCGAAACTTTTATCGAAATATTTTTTTAACTAACAATTATTTATAAGTTTTCAAGTTGTTTTTCCAACTCAGTATTGTAATTGCCATTATTTTTTCCAATTTTTGTGATTGTTGAATTGTTTGCACATTAAGTATTACACCGTTCTATGAAAACAACACTGTTTTCAGCCTTGAAAAACATGTGGTCGAGCTGTTTGAAGCCGTAAAATCATCTGAATGGCGATGTTTAGTGACATTACACTTGATATTACACTAGACACTTCTTAACGTTCTTCAGCAAGTGTAATATCAAAGGTAAAAATAGCTTTCGAAACAGGGGATAGGTACAGTGGAAGTCCTTGTTTTATCTTGCTTTATCTTGGTTTGACTTGGCGTTGCCTTGCCTTTTCCCAGCCTTTGTACAGCATTTGCCCAGTTTTTGCTAGCCTTTGCGCAGACTTTTTCCAACCTTTGTTCAGCCTTTGCCCAGTCTTTGCCCAGCCTTTTCTCAGGCTTTGTCCAGCTTTTGTCAGTCCTTGCTCAGCCTTTGCCCAGCCTTTTCCCAGTCTTTGTCCGGTTTTTGCCCAGCCTTTGCCTAGTCTTTGCCCAGCCTTTGCCTAGTCTTTGCCCAGCCTTTGCCTAGTCTTTGCCCAGTCTTTGCTCAGCCTTTGTCCACCCTTTGCCTATCCTTTGCTTAGCCTTTGCCAGCTTTTGCCCGGTTTTTGCTCTGAATTTCGTGCGTTCGCTTTGTTTTTGAACTTCTCTGCTCTGCTTTGCCCTGCCTTGACTTGCCTTGTTCTGCCCGTTTTGTTCCGGCCTGCCCCGTCCTGTTTCGTTTTGCTCTGTCCTGTACTATTCTGGTTTATTTTTACATGGCTTGTCTCGTCTTGTCTTGTCCTGTTCTGTTTATTTTGTCTTGTCCTGCTTCCCCTTTTCTCGTTTTGTCTAGGCTTTCCCGTCTTTTCCCGTTTTGTCCCGTGTTTTCCCGTTTGTTCTGTCCTGTCCTGCTTTGTCTTGTTTTTCCCGTGCCTTGTCTTTGCCTTGCTTTATAAAAGAGTTCTACTATTATTTTACCTTTACAGGTATAGTGGAACTCTTTAAACTACAGTATTGCCCCATAAACATGATTTACATCTTCTATAACGTTATAAAACGACTATTAAACATTTGAAGTGCATTCCGACCGTAATATCAACTGACTTGACAGTAAATAAAGCAATAAACTAGCCGTCGACGTCATTTGTCAACCCATAATATTAAGGTTATTCTACTTATTTTGGGTTTTTGATGTTGTAATAGGTTAATATACAGTAGAAGTTTTTATATCAAACCAGTTTAAAATTTTAAAAAATTAAAATGCTGATTTATTTCTAGCTGTACTATAATATAAAACTTTAAAATCCAGATTTAGCTTCTCTACATCAATATCAAGACTTAGATTCTTCTGTAGCCCTTGCTGCCACCACTGCTACCACTGCCGCTACCATAGTTGCCACTGTCGCTCTGGCCACCGTAGCCACCGCTGCTTCCGCTAGCCCCATGATCATTGCTACGACCAGGACATGGGCAGTACTCAGCATCCTTACCGGCCTGACCCTCAGCTCCCGGTCCACCTTCATTACCGTCCGGACCAGGGTTTCCTTGGTATCCTGGAGCACCTGGTACACCCTTAGGTCCGGGAGCACCTTCTGGTCCAGCTGCTCCTTGATCACCCTCTTCTCCTTGATCTCCTTGTGGTCCTGGTGGTCCAGGTAGTCCTTTACGGCCCAAAATCTTCTCAGCATCCTGGCCCTTATCACCACTTGGACCGGCATTACCTGGAGCACCATCAGGTCCGGGTGGTCCATCTTCACCATCAGTACCAGGGAAGCCGTCACGGCCAGGGAAGCCGTGAGTACCTTTGTGACCGCGGTTTCCACGTGGTCCTGGGCTACCGGCCGCTCCTGGTGTACCTGGCGCACCCTGTGGGCAGGTGAAGCAGCCTTGAGGTGGAGATTGAGGAATATCGTCGTTGTTCTGGCCTGGAATACCGTCTTTGCCTGGAATTCCGGGGATACCAGCTTGGCCTTCTTCTCCTGGTGGGCCTGGTGGACCGGCTGGGCAGTTGTTGGCGGCGGCTTCTCCGTTGGCTCCGGCGGAGCAGGCTGGAATAAAAGTTTGAAAAAAGTACACAAAATTTTCACCTGCCAGTTTAAAAAAAAAAAAATTTTCATTACCGTCCCACCAAACAAAAATTTTTTACCCCTCCCCCCACCCAAAACAATTTTTTTACCACCCCCAACAGACAACTTTCCCCTCCCTATGTAATTTTTTTTCTTTGTACTGTACCCTACCTTACCGAACCCCCCCCCCTCCACAAATTTTTTTACCCCGCCCGCCCCTGCCAATAATAAAATCCAAAAACCTACTGCACTTAGGAGCGTAGCTACCGTACCCAACAGTCAATGGGTTGCTAGCCACACTAGGTCCGGCGAATGATGGCCCATGACCTCCCGAGCCTCCATGGTTCATGCCTTGAGCTCCATACCCACCATAAGCTTGACGTCTGGCACGGTTCGATGGACTTCCAGCTCCCATATTAACCATGTCCATCCACAAGTCATCAGCTTGAAGCTTGAACCGGTCCATTTCAACGTCCAATTCTAGCCAGACTTCTTGAATGTCACGGTAGATGAACATTCCACCGATCAAGGCTAGCAGGAGGGTCGAGCCGGACAGGGTTAGGGCTGTGATTGTGGCCGCGTGAACTCCCATGGCGAAGCTAAAACTGGCTTTTAATTAAAGATGGCAATTTTCACTGTTTAAAAAGTGAAAAGTCACAAAATCAAAAATTTTTTTCTAAGTTTTAAATTTCAAGATTTATAATTAAAAAATTAAGCCTAATAAATTAAGCCTAAGCTTAGCTTAAACTAAAAAATAGCTAAACCTAAGAATTAAATTAAACCTAAAACAACCATAGTATAAATCTGAGTTTAAGCCTAAGTCTAAAGATAATTTTAAGCTAAATAATAAGCCTATGCCTAAATATAAGCTATAGGCCCAAGCGAAGGACAAAGGTGAGTCTGAACCTATGGGTAAAGCTAAGGTTAAGCTTAAACTTAAGCTCTAGGCAAAGCATGTGACTAAGCCTAAGTTTGAAATAGAATCTAGGCCTAAGCCTACGCTTAAGCCAAAGATAAAGTCTAAGCCTAAGCCCACTGAGCCTAAACCTAAGCCTAAGCCTGAGCTTAAATTTAAGCCTAAACCTAAACCTAAGCCCAAAAGTTAGCCAATTTTAAGCTGAATCGTTAAGCCTAAGCGAAATAACACTGCAAGCCTAAACCTTGTTGACCTGAGCAAGAGACTAAGCACAAGTCAAAGCGAAAGCTTGAGCTTAAGCCTACTATTCTCAATCCTAGTAAACTAAATCCTACAAAACGTAATCCAACCAAGCCCAAGCTTATTGAAATTAAGCCTAAAACTCAAAAATTAAGCCTAAATTTACAAAATTTTAAGCAATAATACTGTATAAGCTTTATAAATACTAGAAAAAAACAGAAATTTTCAAATTTTAAAACTTTAAGTTTAAAAATTTCAAAAAAATTTCGTATTTCACTTTCGAAAACCTGTCGCGTTCCCTCGACATTAAACTCGCTCCAGAAACCCGTGTAGTTTTATGTATTTGAACCCGCTGATCATTATCGGATCAGGTCCGTCCCTTTTATACCTAAAGTTATTTTGTTTACCATGTAAACGCATTCAGAGTGAGACCAAAAAAAATTCCTTATCACAAAAGGAGAAAGCGAAATCGAATAAAATCATTTCGAACGAGTTACAGTAACGAAATTCCGCGCGGATTAGGAATTTTTAGGTAATTAGTCGGGGATTAACAATGTTGTTTATGTTGTTGATAAAGAAGGTATACCAAGGTATAGTCAATGGAATTAGTCGGGGAATTTGGTGAAAGTTGGTGAATTAAAAGGTGAAAAAACATAGCTGAAAGCAGGGCCGGGCGCGAGGGGGGGGACGGGAGGGGGGGTACCCCCCCCAAAAAAAAATTTTGAAAAAGTTGATCGTGGTCCCCCCCCCCTGTGGATTCTCGGAAAAAAAAATTTTGCAAAAAATCGGCACAGGTACCTGTGCCGATTTTTTGGACCCCTGCCCCCAGACCAAAAGTCCCCGCCCAGCCTTGGCTGAAAGTAAAAGTTAACCGAACAGGTAGGCCTTTTTAACAAAACACTAGACCTTTTTAGGTAATAATAGACTTGAAACAACGTCGGCTGGGCCCGACCCGGTTCCGATACAAACAGAATTGCGAGAAACTGAAGCAGACCAGATTCAGCGACCAGCGTCCTAAGAAACCGAAGCATACTAAACCTAATCTTGCTAGGCTTAATTTTCAATCCTTCAAGTTTAGTTTTATTAAACTTAGGCTTACTAAATTTAAGCTTACCTAGCTTAATCCTACTAAGCCTTATTCTACGAAGACCGTTCCTAAAGCTATTAATCTTAAACTTACAAGGGCTAAGTTATAATAACTAAACCTAAAACTTAAAAAGTCCAACAATTTGTAGGTTTGAACTTATTAAATCTAGCTAAGCATAAGTCTTATAAGACTAAGCCTACTACGTCAAAGCGTACTAGGCTTAAACCTACTAAGCCTAAGCCTACTAAGCCTAAGCCTACTGAACGTGAGCCTACTAAGCCTAAGCCTACTAAGCATAAGCTTACTAAGCCTCAGCCTACTAAGCCTAAGCCTACTAAGCCTAAGCCTACTAAGCCTAAGCCTACTAAGCCTAAGCCTACTAAGCCTAAGCCTACTAAGCCTAAGCCTACTCAACCTAAGTCTACTGAACGTGAGTCTACTAAGCTTAAGGCTACTATAACTAAGCCTTAAGCGTAAACCTACTAAGCCTAATATGCCTACATCTGATAAGCATAAGTCTACTAAGCCTATACTTAGTTTACTAAGCTTGATTTGTAGAATACTAAACCAACGCCTACTCAGATCAAGGCCACTAAACCTAAATTCAAAGTTTCTAAGCCTAAAGAAACTAATCTTAAGCCTAAACTTTATTTTTTAGTATATTTTCTTCTTCCCTTCAATAGGCTCCTCAAAACCAAGATTAAACTATTCCAAAGCTTTCCGCAACACTGCTTTATTGTGTCATGATATTGGAATAAACGAGTTAATAAGTTTAAAAAGGGTTGATTATTCTGTCGATATCTATATTAATAATAAAAATAATGTTGAAAATTTTTAAAAATTAAAAAATATTTAAAAATTTTAAAAAATTATAAACAATATTCAAAAAAAACAAATTTAAAGCTTGAATAATATAAAAATTTGAATAAAACCTTTAATTTCTAGTCTTAAGAGCGCTATCCTTATACATCTTCAATTGAATCCTAGCCGCAGCCAGATCTTCCTCCAGCCTCTGAATCTGCTTCTTCAGCCTATCATTCTCCATTACCATCTTTTGTTCTCGTTCAGCACGAAGTTTCCTCGACTTTCGTGCTGATTCATTGTTCTTGGCTCTCTTTTGTCGATACTCTGGATCTTCATGTAGTGATGCGGACGAGTTGCGAGATTTGGTACGGTTTGGAGGAGAGGGGGAGTTCACAGGAAAGAAGGAGTTGGCTGACAGGTTTTTGATGTCTGATGATGGGGCAGCAATTTGGGATGGGTCCTACAATATTAAGAACATGATTTACCAAATTTTAAAAACTTTTTTAAATAAAATTTAAAAAATTTTAATTTTAGAAATATACAGTAAAACAGTTTTAAGTACGGCAAGGTAATGTAAGTGTAAAACACGGCGAGATTGTAAAAGTGTAAGATACAGCAATGTAGGTATGAAAACCTATAAATTGAGGGTAGAGTCAGGCTAGGAAATATAAGATTAGGGTACGGTAGAGTAAAAGAAGGGTAAGTTATAATAAGGTAAGATACGGGTATAGCAGGGCAAGTTGAATTAAGGGTAGGGTATGACAAGGTAAGGTAAGAGTAAGGCGCGGCAAGGTAAACTAAGGGTAGGGTACGGAGGAAAACATTAAAAGCAAAGTACTACAGAGCAGATTAAGTGTGGTATGGCAAGGTAACGTAAAGGCAGGGTTCTGTACGGTAAAGTTAATTAAGAGTAAGGTACGGCAAAGGAGAGTAAGGGTAGAATACGGAAAAGTGAAGCAAGGACAGGGTACGACAAGAGAATGTAAGTGTAAGGCACGGCAAGGTAATGTATGTTTCAGGTACAACAGGGTAGATTAAGGGTAAGATACGGCAAAATAGTGTTAAGATAGGATACGGCACGGTAATGTAAGAGCAGGTTAAAATAGGGTAAGGCAAAGTAAAATGAGAGTATTTAAAGTAGGGCAAAGTGGGGTAAGGTAAAATGTTCTGTCATGCCATAAAAAAGCTACTACACCCTACCTACTATATTAACCCTACCCTGAGATCTCTTAGATTGAACTAAAAGTATCGGGACACTTTTTGACTAACAAATAAGTAAAAAGTGTCCAGCTACTTTTGGCTCAACCTAATATTAGGTGCCAACATAAAGAACCCGCCATTTTTTACAAGAAATTACAAGAAAAGTATGACGGGTTCTTTATGTCGGCACTTAATATTCAACCAAAAAATTTACCATGCCTTCCTCTTATGTTCTTATAAAACCAATAATCGATCCGTCTCTTAAAATTCAAACTTACAGCATACATAAATCCACCATAAAAGTTGGGATGCATGGGATAAGGCATTGTTGGGTATAAGGGCCGGCCTTGAAGATATTGTGAATAGCCAGAGTATTCTGGCTGAACTACTGGGGCCTGGTTCTCTTTCTTGCAGGCGTCCATGTCGTACAAATCCTTGTTTTCCATTTTAGAAAGCACAAGCTGAAAAATCAAAATTTTCATTAAAATTCTTTAAAAATTGTACGGACGCGTAAGATAAGCCTAAGCCTATTCTAAGCCTAATAAAAAGATTAAACCTCAGTCAAAGCCCCAAGCCTATGCCTAAGTTTACGTTCAAGCCTAAGGTTTAGTCTGAGGCTAATCCTAAGTCTATATCAAAGCAGTAGTTGAGCCTAAGCTAAGCCTAAGTAAAGCCTAAGCTAAGCCTAAGCTAAACTTAAGATAAGCTTAAGCTAAGTTTAAGATAAACCTAAGCTAAGCTAAATATAAGCCTAACCAAAGCCTAGCCAAAGCCTAATCAAACCCTAACTAAAGCCTAGCCAAAGCCTAGCCAAATCCTAGCCATAACTTAGCCAAAAATTATCCAAAGTCTAGTTTAACACAAGAAAAAGCCTGACCATAAATATAAGCCTAAACCTAAGTTTAAGCTTAAACTTAAAGCTGTGCCAAACTAAGCTAAGCCTACACACAAGCCTATTATCAATAAAATCAATTTTTGACAATTCCAAGTCAAAATAATATAAAATTAATTTATATTATTATATTGACACGATAACACAGATCAACACCTCAATTGCGCGACAAGATTTGAACCCCACCAAATGCGCGAACTCAAGTCAAGGAAAGGGGATTGAGAATGGATGCCACTAATAAGTAAGCCAATGAGAACAAACAACGCGGTTTTCCCAGTTTTAGGCGGGGTCAACCAATACGAATTTGGCATAACGTAACATGTTTTTCATAGTAAAATATTTAAAAATGTCATAATTTTTAAAAATTTAACATTCACCATCTAATATAAACTCTCGTTACAAGAAACACCAAAAAACAGTTTTTAATATTTGCTATATTAATAATGCTAAACCCTAGCTTCAGTCAATCTAACATGTACATATTACCCTTAGCTTTCTACTTAAATTAGTTTACTTAACCCTACCCTACTTCAAATTACTCTACCCTACTTTATACCATTTTACTTTACCCTACTTTCTATTACCTTATCCTACCTAAACTTCATTTACTAAATTCCACTTTATCTTACCCTAAATTTACTTTACCCTACCTTAAATTACTCATTTCTGTCCCAATTGTACTACCTTACCCTACTCTACCTTAAATTAATGTATTTTATACTGCTTTATCTTAATCTACCCTACCTGAATTTACACTACCCTATTCCAATTCATGTTCCCCGTTCTGCCTTATTTTACTCTACCCTACCCGCCATTAATTTACTTAACTTTGCCCTATTTTACTCTAACGTTCTCTGCTTGATTTTATACTGCCCTTTTCTATTTTAATATAACCTGTTCCACCCTACCCTACCTTAATCTATTTTACTCTAGCCTGCCCTACTTTAATCTATTTTACTCTAACCTGCCCTACTTTAATCTACTTGAGTCTACCCTACCCTACTTTAATATGCTCTGCTTTATTTTAACCTATCTTAACAAACTCTACCTTACCCTACCTTTTTTACTGTACCCTACCCTACCCTTGTTGTTCAGCTACGAAATTCTTGTCGCTTTTTTCCACGCAAACTAATACAAATCGACGACAAGACTTTTTTTTAATTTTTAATGAAGTTATAATAAATGGCAAGACCAATGTCTATAGATAACATAATTAGTAAAAGGACTAGAATTGGCTAGTCTAAACGATAGATGTATGAAAAAATTAAAAATTAGTTCTAGTCCAGCTATTTTTCATGTTTTTCAGCATTACCTCTACCTATATATACAGAAATCAAGCAAAATTTTGGGCCTAAGACTGGGTTTTATATATACTAAGTCTATAGTTTTATATATATTAAAAACTTTATATAATAACATCTCTATACAAGACTAACCACAACTAAATAAGCAACTATACCGATCTGAATCTACCTTCAATACTGACTACAACAATATCAGTCCCCAGAATTTATAGATTTCTACCTAGCTGTTTTTGTCTACCCTTTCCTCACTGAAAAAACTAATTTTTACCCAGCCTTTCATCGACATAACTTTATGTTAATAAAAGTGAACAAACGGCGTTAGCTTTTTCAGCATCGCGATTGCCTTAAAGCTACGTAGCTGGAAGCTACTTTAATACCGACCAAAGTCGATGTAACGCGCGATTGTCGAGGGGGAAGAGAAGGCTATGCCTAATGTTTAGCTGATAGTAAAATATGATTTTAATAAAAGAGTAGAGAAAATTAGGCTTCTATATTAGAGGTACAGGGTCTAGAAGTCAAAATATTTTTAAAAAATCCACCTTTCTCCCACCCCTTCACCAAAAAAAAATTATAAAAAAATCACTCCTCCCCCCCCCCAAATTTTATTTTGAAAAAATTGAGCTTTGTTTCCTATCTCCAATTTTGAAAAAAACATAATTTATCTTTCCCCCTCCCCACTAAAAAATTTAAAAAAATCACAACCCCTCTTCCCCTCCACTCCCAGCCAAAATTCGCTCCACATGGACTAATAACATAAAAACTGACCGGTCAGAACGACTTCGCAATATATTGCACGTACTTCAAAATTTACCGTGTTGTCACAATGCAAAGTGACGTCACTTACTTTGTCATTTTAGGTATCAAATTTAAAAAAAAAATTGAAAATTAAAGGTTTTTGTGAGACAGATCCTTGTTGAAGTTGCTATAGTCAGAGTTGTTATAACAAAATCCTTGGTATAACCAAACGAAGCCTGGAAAATTAAAAATTTTAACTTGAGAATGAAAAGAATGGCAGTTTAAATAAAGACAAAATGCTAATTTTGCCATACCCAAGCCTATTGTAAGCCTTACAAGAACCTATCCCTGCTTATTTCAGCTCTACTAAAGCCTAGTTTGCTCATTTTAGCTCTATGCAAACCTACCCTAATTTTATTTTAGCCTTATCCAAGCCTTCCTTTGCTCTTTTTAGGCTTGCCCAAACAATATACTCTTTCCCTCACTCCTACCCATTTTGTTCTCATTCAAGCCTACCTCTGCCCATTTTAGTCCTACCCAAAATTTTAATATATTTGTAATTTCCTTTGTCGTTTTTTCACATGTTAATTTCCTCAGATGGCGCTCTACGATTGATCATGGTTAACATTGCATTTAAGTGTAAAGTTAGGTTTATGAACTTTTTACTATTAGGAACTGATTTAAATAGGTAGTATACATAATATTCAATGTGATAAGATTGTTTCGGCACAATGTTTTGTAATTTTTAGATGTAAAAATTGGTCTTCGATATTATCCATGACATCAGATGGGTCTTGGACCAAATTAGATAGAACTTTAAATATGAGTATGTTGAAAACTATTAAAATAGGTACTACTGATCATGTCTTAGCTACTAGTTTCATTTGGAATCTTGTTTTAGGTTTCTAAAGGTCGAAATCACTAAAATTACGATGGTAACCATGCGATTTGCTACCTTCAGACATATTTTGCTATAAATTTTTAATTTAAAATTTTTTGGATTTTGAATCTTGTAGCTATCGTAGCGTAGGTTCCGTAGAAGCTTTTACAATATCATTACCTAAATAAATCTCTTTTGATACAAAGTTATACTTCATATTGTCTAAGGCATTTGTTCTGAAGTCATTTGAAGCTGAGATAATTTATTGTAGACTTATCTGGCTTGGTACTTTTTCTATGCCGATTGAGTCAAGAAGTCTTCCTTCTTTTGATAGCCTCTTCGGTTTGCGCACTCTCTCTTCTTTGACATCTCTGCACTCTCTCGATCTCTCGACTTAAGTGAGTGTAAAAGGTAACGCGATTGTAGAAATGTAAAAAGACGATTTAAATGGGAGGGGAGGGCTAACCAAAAAATATGTGCGGTTATCACCTATATTGGCAATTTGGTATTCAGTCATTCATTACATTGATTCTTGTGTTGCGGGTAGTTGGGTGTTGATTTAGGTAATGGGTGGAAATAAATATTAGGTGTTTCTGTAACAGAATAGGTATATTAAGTTGGATTATTGTGTAGAAGACTTTACTTTTGATACGTAGAAGACTTTTTATAGTAGTTTTTTGATTAAAGATGAAGATATTGACCAACAAGGCTATGTTATTAGCTTGTTCAATTAATTCTGTGCCCCCTTACTTCGATAATTTGCTTTGAGTGAAGCACAGAGCTATTTGAATATCCCTATGATATAAGTTTTTATAAAGTTTTTAGTCATTTTAAGCTTTTTTCTTCGTCGTTCCGTGACACTATTAGTTATAATATTAATATACTGTAATTAACAATTATTTTTGCTTTTAAGATTTCTCCTCAACCTTTATTAAAACTGCAACAAAGCGCTGCTTTCCAAAAGATGGAGCCAGTTCAACCGGCAGAAGTGCCGGAACAATATCAGCAAATGTACCCGGGCGGGTATCCGATGTTTCCCAGCGGGTATTACCCAATGTATTCAATGATGATGCCTGGCATCCTTCCGCAGCCAACCCAATCCACAACGAAGCCGGGTTCTTCGTTATCGCCTCCAGAAACACCAGAGTCTATCGACGAAAGTATCTTGTCTCAAACCAGCCAGATCGGCCGAAACAAGACGTTCAAGAGTGATGATGAGCGTGTTCGCTACGAAGAGCTACGCCGAAAGAATAACTTGGCTGCGAGGCAGTCCAGAGCAAAGCGCAACAAGCGCGAAAAAGAGGTTGCGGTGGAGAATGAGGTACTCCACCAGAAGGTGAAGAAGCTCCAGATTGAAATGGCCAAGATCCAGTCCGAGTTGAGACACTACAAGGCGGAGGTGGACCAAAAGCAAGCGTCGAATTCAAGGGCTTCTGGAGCTGATCAAAAGTTTTAAGTCTTGGAACGATGGGAACGTTAGTTTTTGGTATATTGTTAAGGTTTTAGAGCTCTTGTTACTTCTTTTTGTACATTTTTGTTGATTTATTTTTATACTACACTAACTATCCCGGACTACAGTTGCCGGTTATTAATAAACATTCTGTGTAAAGTTTTATCGGATTTTATGAAATTTTATATTGGTTATGAGACTTTTAGTAGATAAGTTAATTTTAAAAATTTTTTCAATGTTAATTTGATTTTTGATTTAAAGTTAATAGGAATTTTGATAATTTTTCGTAGAAAATGTAAAAGATGACATTTGGTTTGAAAATCCAATAGAATTTGTGACGAGAAATGTCAAAAATTCGAGAAAATAAAAGAATTTGTCGGAAAATTGTTGTTGATGGGCTAATCAGGACTTTATTAGGTTTGTTCGAACGTTTTTCTTGTTGTTCTTGTGATATATTCAAAATTAGGATTGATATACTTTGATTAAAGAGTTAGATATTAAGGTATAATGTTGGATATTGAGGTGTAAAACTAGATATTTGAGGTATAACGTTAGATATTGCTTCATAATATTTGGTGTTGATGTATTTTAGCCGATATTGAAGATTAAAGTCATATATTGATTTAGAAACTGAAAAAACATGGGAGATATTACTTAAATTTAAGATTTTGTTACCTAAAATTGTTCTAAAAAAGCGTTTTGTACATTATTTTCCACTGTTTTTCACTATTTTTTACGTTTTTATTAAAAAATTTGTAAAAGTATTATAGATACAGTAAGTTTTGTCAGTTTTTATTATGTCGCGCCTCTAACCTTGCCCTTTGCATTTATTGCTTTAATAATTATAGCGAAAGTTCGTCTTCTGTTACCTGATTGGATCGACCGACATTAAATGGATAATATTCAGAACTTTGCGAACACTTCTTCGAAATGACAAACAACTCGTGATACGTTACGGTATGTTCAAGGTTATTTTTGGTTTTTTAGGTAATATAGACGTTGAGGATGGATAATATTAAGATTTCATGGATAATATAAGTCTGTCATAGATAATATCAAGTTTTCATGGATAATATAAGGCTGTAATTGATAATATAGGGCTGAACTAGATGTGGTATGAGTTGCATGGATAATATAAGGCTGACATGGATAATATAAGGCTGAAATGGATGTGGTAAGGTTGACATGGATAATATAGGGCTGGCATGCATAAATTAAGGCTGACTTGGATGTGATAAGGCTCACACGTTCATGATAAGGCTGACATGGGTAATATAAGAATTGAATGGATAATAACATAAGACATGCATGGATAATATAAGGCTAGCATGGATAATATAATTCCTTCATGGACATTATAAGGTTGTCATAGATAATATAAAGGTCATAATTGGTCATGTATTATATAAGGCAGTTTTATGTAATGTAAAGGTCATAATTGCGCTGTAGACGGCGGAAAAGGTCATAATGTAATAATAATGTTACTGTTACTTTCATAATTAAGTGAAGTACGATAAAATGCACTTTAGTATTTGAGAATTTTCGATTTTAGAGCAAAATTTGGAAACATACAGTAAATTGTCGCTGTAAAAATGTAGAGATTCTAATAGTAGATACAAGCACGGCAGGGGTAAACAAATTTTGTTTTCAAAAGGGGTAACTTGGTCCTCTTGTTGGTCTTTAAACAAAATTTTTCTGGCAGAGGAACATTTTTCTTATTTAGCGTATTGAACATGCGATTCCTGATGTCATGTTTATGTTTTTAAAAATTAAACGGATCAAAGCGCCGTTTTAAACCCGCTTTTCAAACTTGCAAAGTGTAAAAGTAACGGCGAATCAAAGGCGTTCCATCCGGTTTTCGGATTCTTTTTAAATATTTTTGAAAATGTTAACATATTATTAAAACAAAAATTTTAAAAATTAAAAAAATATTGAAAAATACATTGTGGCATATCTATAAGAAGCTTTATAAACACAAGTCAATATGTGGGACAATAAATTTTTACTGGTGTATGAATTAGGGCTGGGTGACCTCTATGGAAGAAACAGATGTAAAATTAATTTAAATTTGTTATGGTACGGTATGGTGTGGTTGGGTTTGGTATCCTGATCTGGTCTGCTCTAGTTAAAATTTTTTCACTGTAGGGTAGATTTTTTTAAATAGAAGGTGATGTTGAGGTAGGTTAGGGTAGACATGAGGAACGGGCCGGGCTTGACCGAAATTTAGGTCAAGCCGGGACTGAAATCAAGGCTCGGACCGGGCCGTTCCTCATGTCTAGGTTAGAGTAAGGTAGGGTAGGGTAGGGTAGAGTAGGGTAGGGTAGGGTAGGGTAGGGTAGGGTAGGGTAGGGTAAGGTAGGGTATGGTAGGGTAGGGTAGGGTAGGGTAGGGTAGGGTAGGGTAGGGTAGGGTAGTGTAGGGTAGGGTAGGGTTGGGTAGAGTAGGGTAGGGGAGGGTAGGGTAGGGTAGGGTAGGATAGAGTAGGATAAGCTAGGATAGAATAATGTAGGGTAGGGTAATAAAAACAGCAGCAGATCTTTTTTAAAATTAAAAAAAATGTTAAAAACAATAAACAAGTGATAAAATTGATTGCGTGGGAGATCATGAAAGGAAAGGGCGGATAAGCGTTTGATGTGGAAAGTTGTGAAAAAGTTTTGTGGCGCCGTAATAAATCAAGGAATATGCGGCTACTTTGGTGGTTACGGCGCCGTTCCTTATTTGTTTCGGGATCCTATTTAAGCGGCTATTGTTTGTGATTTGGTTAGTCATTTTTGATTTTTTTGTGGATGAACTAGCCTGGCATAGTCATTTATAATATATTTTTTGGCTGAATTGTTCATAGGGTAGGGTAGGATAGGGCAGTGTAAGGTAGGGTAGTGTAGAGGAATGTAAGTTAGGGTAGGATAGGGCAGTATAATTAAGGGCAGGGTAGATCAGTGAGGCTAATGCAGATTTTTTAAATATTTTTGTGGCTGGACTAGCCCTTTTTGTCACTGATTTTTGGTTGAATTGTTCATAGGGTACGGTAGAGTTAGGTAGGGTAAGTTTTTTTGAGATTTTTGTGGCTGGACTAGCCATTTATAACGTATTTTTTAGTTATAATGGTCAGTTTTTATCAGTTCTTGGCTTGCTTTGGTCTTTTTTTTATTTTTTTTTGATTGGACTAGCCATTTTCGATACATTTTTCTGTCTGAAATAGGCATGTTTTTTATAGCTTTTGGTCTGGATTGGTCATTTTTTGGCTGTTTTTGTGGCTGGACTGGCAATTTTTATTTGATTGATTTTTTTTGTTGGGCTAGCCATTTTTATGTTTTGGGATTAAACAGTGTTTTGCCGGACCGAATCACAAATTTTTGCGGACCGGACCGAAAAAAAAGTTCCGGACCGGTTCGGAAGAAAATTTTTTTTTATTTTAAGAAAACTGTTTTAAAAAATTGCAAATAAAACATATTTTTAGGAGTTTTTAAGCAAAAAGAAAGCAGTTTTAGCGACCCTTGCTTTTTTTTGAAAATTAAAAAAATTTTTTTTGCGGACCGGACCGGACCCAAAAATTTTGGGTTTGGACCGGACCGGACCCAACAATTTGAAGTTTGGACCGGACCGGATCCAAAAAATTGCCGGACCGGACCGGTGAAAAACGCTCCGGACCGGTCCGGGCAAAACATGGCATTAAGTGATCATTTTGCTTCCTTTTTACTACTGTTTTGGCTTATTTTTTACTGTCTAGGACTAGTCTAAATTTGCTGTACCTTATTTTATATTTGGCGTGGTACTTTGGGTTTTAAAATTTTTTAAATATTTAATTTTTGAATAGTTTCGATTTTGGTATTATAGTAGGTATAAACCATATAATTTTAGGCTTAAACACTGTTCTTTTAAGCCCAGTACTTTTGGCTAACCAAAAAAACCATGCCCCTAAAAATAGCAACATCAATAGGCATTACCGCCTCATTAACAACCTTACTATGTTGTCTATACGCCATGTCATCGATTCACGATGAGATTCAGGAAACCTGGAGATCATTGAATGATGAACTAGACCAGTTTAAACATCAGACGGACGATTTGTGGAACGATATGTTGAAGATGGGAGCGGCTACACCGTCGAACCGGCGACGTCGTCAAAGCTACGGAGGCTACGGTGCGTCTGGAGTGAATACTGGCTACGGAGGATATGGAGCGGCTGGGAAGCCAGGCCACGGGCCGGCAGGTAATGGGCCTCAACATCCATCAGATTTCTCACCAAAAGCTTCATCTTCATCATGTCAATGTGAAACCAAAAACGACTGCCCACCAGGCCCAGCTGGACCAGCCGGTGAACCAGGACCGGATGGACTACCAGGAATTCCAGGCAAAGATGGCTTACCTGGCTTGGATAACAGTGACATTTCAAATCAACCCCCTCAAGGCTGCTTCAACTGTCCAGCCGGTAGACCAGGTGCTCCAGGAAACGCCGGCCGTCCCGGACCACGAGGAATGCGCGGACCACAAGGCTATGTTGGTATGCCAGGCCGGGACGGCTACCCAGGCCTAGCCGGTGAACAAGGCCCACAAGGGCAGCCGGGGGAAGACGGAAAAGGTGGACCAAACGGGCAACCAGGCCGTGACCAAGAACGACCAATACCAAGGAAAGGACCACGTGGTCCAACTGGTCCACAAGGCGCGGAAGGACCAGAAGGTGAGGCCGGAAAGCCGGCTGAACAAGGTCCGGTTGGAGAGCCCGGGGTCCGTGGAGCTGCTGGATCAGTTGGAGCACCTGGATTTGAAGGTGAGGAAGGAGCACCTGGTCCAGCTGGAGCTCCAGGCAAGGATGCTGAATATTGTCCTTGTCCTGCACGTGACGGTAGTGGTGATGTTAGTGGGTTTGGTGGAAGATCGAGTGGTGTTGGTGGAAGGAGTGGTGCTGGATACAAACGAGCTTAGATTTGAGTATAAATTGATAGTGCACATCAGTACCTTTATGATAGGATTCAGTATCTTGATCTGAACTGTCAATATCTTGATATTATACTTGAGTAACTGATCTATATTCCCATTTTTTGGTCGATTCTTTGTGCGAAATAAAGTTTATTTGAAAATATTGATTAAAATGGCATTGACAATAACATGTGACATTTCGTATTGGACTTGAGACATCAAAAAGAGTCGTTAAAAATTCTTTAGGCTTAAAAAATTATTTTCAGGCTTAAATTATTGAAATATGATTTTTAGGCTTAAAAACAAAAAAAAAACGATTTTTAGGCTTAGGTTTTCAAAAAATTGGCTTTTAGGCTTAAAAACTAAAAATTTTTAGGCATAGGTTAGCAAAAAAGGAATTTTAGGCTTAAACAAATTTTTTAAGTGTTAAAAACAAAGATAACGATTTTAGGCTTAGGTGTTCAAAAAAGTGACTGTTAGGCTTAAAACATTGATTGAACAGTGATTTTTAGGCTTATACAATCAAAAAATGATTTTCAGGCTTAGGTCATTAAAAAATGACGCTAGGCTTACAAAATTTTTTAGGCTTAAGTTTTTAAAAAATAGATCATTAGAGAAAGGGGTACGACAAGAAAATGAGTATTTTAAGGTTAAGATCAACTACAAAAATAAGTATTAGATTGTTCACTTAATTCTACGCCCCTTCTCAAAGCAAATTTGTAGGGTACAGGGGCGCAGAATTATGTGAACAACATAATATCACAAAATGAAAATATAGTACGAAAATGAGTATTACAAGAACATGAAATAATACGAAAGTAAGTACCACAAGATCATAAAGTATTACAAAATAAGCAACAAAAGATTAAAAAGTAGTAAGTATCACAAGATCAAATAATTTTAAAAGTAAAACAAGACTAAAATCCACAACAAAGAAACAAAAGCATAGTAAGAGCCACCAAGACCAAGATATTAATCTCAATCTTCTTGACAAAGCTCTTGACCTTCTGTTGATTCTCTCTCTTCGCCATTTCTTTTCTGGCTCTTAGGTTCATCATTCTAGTTATCATCGCTAGTTGATGACGAGCCTTGTCCTCATTCACTTGTTTCTCGACTACCGTAGGCCGGAATGGCAGCTTGATCACAACCGGTTTCACTTCGTTTGACCATAATTCTTCAACTTCATTGTTCTCTTTGAGGGCTTCTGTGATGTTGTCTTTCAGTATCTCTGTGATACTACTGTTCGTCGAGTCTGTATTGTTTGTTAGTTTAAGTATTGTGGCTTTATCAGGGTTTGATATACGGATAGTGTTGTTGTCATTGTCGTTACCTTCTTCGCCTTCTAATAGGAAAGTTCGCTTGACTTCTGGATTTTCTTCACAGTTCTTCTTCTTGCCTTCGTTACCTTCTAGCCAGTCTTGCATCTCTTCGAATGTTTCTGGCTTGACGGGTTGGGATTCTAGAGCTGTGGTTGAGGAGGTTGATGATGCTTTAGGTTGAGGTTTTGTTGGCGAGCTGGATGATGTTTTGGGTTGTTGAGGGTTTATAGGTGGAGTAGGTGCTACATTGGATGTTTGTGGCTCTGTAGGAGGCTTAGAAGAGCGCTTAGAAGTTCGAAGCTGAGTAGACGAGCTTGAAGATTGAAGCTCTGTAGGTAACGTAGAAATTTGCTTAGTAGCCTGATTGTTTGGAGAAACAGTGGTAGTAGCTTTGGCTTTAGCTTCCTTCTCAAAGCCTTGCAAGTCTATTTTAGTACCTTCATCTTTCTCCTGACGATTGTTCAGGAGCAGGGCTAAACTTCTCTTGGCTGTGTTTTGATTTCTACCGTTCTTTTGATCTTTGTTCTTCATCTCTTTTTGTTTCTTTTGTTCTTGAGCGGCTTCTGGTTGTTCATTTTCTTTTCCTTTCTTGGCTTGGATTGCTTGTACTGGACCTGTTTGGGAAACTACAGCTTGTGCTGGCTTAGTGGCTTGTTCTAGGGCTTGTAGTGGCTTATTTTTGTCGTCTACGGCTTGTACTTGGTCTGCTTTATCTTCTACAGCTTGTTCTGGTTTAGTGTCTGCTTCTAGAACTTGTGTTTTCTTTCCTTTGTTTCCTGAATTTTCATTTGGCTTCATTTTCTGTTCTATAGCTTCTATGGCTTTTGCTATTTCTTCTACGTCTTCTGGCAAAGCCTTTTCTTCTTCTTCTTTTGCATATTCTTCTGGGGCTATTTTTTCATCTTTTGCTTTTACGGCTTCTGCTGTACCTTCTTCATCATCTTCTGCTTCAGTTTTATATTCCCTATCATCTTCTCCTTCTTGTTCACTTTCTTCATCATCTACCGCTTCTGTTTTATCTTCTTCATCATCTACTTCTTTACTTTGTCCTCCCATAACATCAGTAACATACTGTTTTTCTTCAACAATCTTGCTTCTAACAGTAGTAGTCTCCTCTTCCCTTTTAGCAGTAGTAGTCTCCTCCTCAACTTTACTAACCACAAACTCATCACTTTCAGCCGGTGCCAGTTTAAACCGTCTACCAGGCGTAACAGCAGTACCATCTTTTTCGTTCTTTATTATCTTCTTGACTTTCTTCTCATGAGCTTTCAAATCATCGTCCAAAAACGAATTGCCGTAGGTTGCAAGTTTCAATGATCGGACTTTTTGTCTAATCTTCTTGATCAGCTCATTAGGTTCTGTTTCTTTTGGTCGATTGAATTCTTTGAGGTTACAGAAGTCGGAAGAGTTGCAGCGGCAGGTAGTGCCCATGGCAAAGGATTGAATAAAGTTTTCGCAATCGCCGTTCATGGTGTAGTTTTTGACGCAGCGAAAGGCTTTCTTGTTGCTGGCGTGGACTGTGAGGATCATGCAGCCTGGAATTTGAATGTTAGGATTAGGCTACGGCATGGTTAAGGTAGGGCTAGGTTTTGGATTACTAGGATAGAGCTGGGTTTTAGGTATGACTAGAGTTGGGCGGGAAAAAGATAAGGGTAGTTTACGGTATGACTAAGGAAGGGTTACGTTATGGTAGAGATAGGGTAGGGTGTAATTAGAATAGGGTTTGTCTAGAGTAGGGCTGAAGAAAGATCTAGGTAGGTTATGGCTTACTAGGGTAGCGCTAGGTTCCAGTAGGGCTATGGTAATCATAGGGTAGGTAATGAGTAGGGTAGGGTAGGGTAGGGCAGGGTAAGGTAGCGTTGCGTAGCGTAGCGTAGGATAAGGTAGGGTAGATTAAACTTGGCTATGGGTATAGCTGCTTGTTCAGTGTAGGGTGAGGCTATAGCAAGGTAAGAGTAGGCATAGGGCAGGCTAAGGGTATGATATGGTCAGTTTTTTACTAGGGCAGGACCAGATGAAGCTAGGACAAAAAAACTCATGGTTACAGTTCATTTAAGTTAGGGTAACAATAGGATTACTTTAATTCTCTCACCTCCATCTTCATCATCCACATCGCAAGTATTGTTAACACAGGGGATATATTCACCAAGACCGTCGAAGCGACTAAAGTTGTTCGTACAATGGCATTTCAGACTGACTGCTTTGGCAATTATGTAGTACAGAAGTAACACTTCATAGGCCAGGTTGAACTGCATTTTTAGCCTTGTTAATGTTGATAAGTCTCTGACAGCGCTTGGTAGTTAGAGTATGGTACTTATTGTTAGTAGCAGGGGGTACGGTACTAAAATTTAAAAATATATTTTCAAAAAATAAGGTTATTAAGAGATAGTTCTGGAAAGGGTATACGGTAACTAAATCGAAAAATTAAAAAATATTCTTAAAAGTTGAAAATGAAAGTAAATTAGACTAGGATCTTTGTTTTATAGCTAGATCTGTTATATAAAGGTCTTGTAGGCGGGACTTTAATTAAAAAAGGTTAAAACTTCGAATTATGACATGTTTTTGTATGTATCGTAGTGAGTTGTTGATAACGTTTTAATCGTTTCGACAGACTTTTTCTTTGTACTTCAAGGTCTCTTACTTTTTTGGCTTGTCTGGACTTGTTTCAAGGTCAATTTTGAGATTTATGGGTTACTGTAACTTTTAAGTTTTTGAAATTTCTGTTTTTGGACTTTACTTTACCCCTACCCTTACTTTTACCCCTACCCCTATATCTACTCCTACCCCTACTCCTACCTCTACTCCTACTGCCATCTCTACCCTTTCTTTTACTTTTGCTCTTACCCCTACTTTTACCTTTAATTCTACTTATAACATACCTAGACTTTTATACCTTGCCTGATCTTACACTGCCGAAAAATATACCCCTTACCTTGTCCTACGTTAATAACACTTTATATCATTTACTGTACCTTTATCATATTTTTTGCATATTATAGTGTATATACGTACATAGTAACATCACATCTTTACGTCAAACGTTCTTTTTGCAACAACACGTCCGTACATGTTCGAATACGTCTGTTCTAGTAGATTATAGGCTCTATGATATTCATCTCCTCTTCCTTTGGTCTTTTCGAGGAAACCGGGAACGACGTTTGGCTGGGGCCGTTCTGAAGTGACATCCATTTATATTGAATGTCTTGTTTTAGTGCCACAACAAACGAGTATTGTTAAGGGAAAAACAAAGAAATGATCAGAGAGTATTCCTTGCGGACGTTTTGTCTTGATTACTGCCTCGTTTTTGACAAATTTACAGCTTCAAATGGGGTGGGGTTGGGAAAAACATACTAGGGTAGTTGAAAAAAATATGGTGAGGGTAGGGTAGAGTAGGGTAAGATAAGGTATTTTAGGATAGGATAAATTAGGGTAGTATAGGGTACTGTAAGGTAGGGTAAGGTATTGTAAGATAGGATAAGTTTGGGTAGGTTAAGATACTGTAAGGTAGGGTAGGGCGTGAAAAGGTAGCCACGGGTAAAGTAACAAATTTGTGGACAGTAGGAAGATAGGGATGTCGCTAGGGGGTTGGGGGGGGAAGAGGAGGGGGGGGGAGAGAATTGGGGCAAAGAAGGGTGTTAAGGGGGCTAAATTCACCTGCCGTCGCTCGAAAAAAAATTTTTTTTTAAATGCTAAAAGAATTTTTTTCTCTCTTCCCTAGACAAAAATCTGTAACGACGACCCTGTAGGCAGGATAAAACTAGGGTAAGGTAAGTATATGTATTTAATAAGATGGAGTATACTTTAAGTAATTATTATAGTGCGATAGCATAATGCAGGTTAGGGATAGATGTGGTAGTTAGGGCTGGAGTTGAAGAGTATGGATAAAACACAGCCTCTTTGGTTTCAACCGGGACCTGTTAGAAACGGGTCTGTTAAGGTAAAGTAGTTACAGTAGGGTAGGTTTGATGAGGGCATGTCCAAATAAATTGGTTATTATGTTTTACTTGAAAAAAATTCTTTTCCTAATGTGTTTTATGTTGTTACTTTTATATAACATACGTATGACTGTACACTCTTGTTTACCTGTTCAAAAACACTGTGTTATGTTATTTGTCCTTGTTAACGCAAACCTACAAAACGTGTTAATTATTAACTGTCTCGTACTCATAATATTTTTTAATATTATTATACAAAAGCAAAACAGAAACTAATCTATCCTAGCGTGGTCTGACAACTTGAACATTTTTTATATTGCTTAGCATAGGATTCAGGCTTACTATTAGCTTTATCAACAGTGTATTATGAATAGTTTGTGTTGTCAACAGTACGTATGATCTCGTTGCAAAGGGAAGGAAGGGGGGGGTAAAATTTATAGCTTTGAAATAAAGAGAAAGAAGGTAGAGTAAAATATAACAGGGTATGGTAAAAAAAGTAGCAACAACTAGTAAACGATAGGATAGGGGAGGAGAGGGTAAGATAGGACAGGGCAACGTAAAATACGATTGGGTAGGGTTTAAAAATTTTTAAAAAATTTGAACGTGGGTACGGTAGCTTATGGTATACAAGAGTCGGGTATGGTAGAGTAAGGTATAGTAGAGTAGGGCAAAGCAGGGCAGCGTAGGGTAGGGTAGGGTAGGGTAGGGTAGGGTAGGGTAGGGTAGGGTATGGTATGGTAGGGTAGGGTAAGGTAAGGTAAGGTACGTAATTCTTATACTTAACAAAGTAAAAACTAAATGAAATTGTTGAATAAAATTACATTAATGTAAAAAATTCTATTCCCAGTATAATATAATATGTATGTGATATTCACCTGTCCAAATCGAATTCCCGACCTTAACGACGTTAGGAAATGGAGGGGGAATGTTTAGTCAAGGGTTTTGATTTGAATTTCAATTGATTTCATATATTATACTGTTTCGAATACAATGGTTTTTGGATTTTAATTTGAAATTGATTTGAGGCGAGGACTTGTAAAGGATGAGTGTGTACTTTGTGGTAGCTTAAGGGGGTTGGTATGGTAGTAATACTTTTAGTCTAGTTCTAGCCCCAGGTCTCCTAGTTTTAGCTTTAGTTCTATTTTTGGCTCTTGCCTTAGCTTTAGCACAGAGTCTTAGTTCAGAACCCTAGCCCAGAGCCCTAGCCCAGAGCCCAGAGCCATAGCCTAAAACTCGAGTCATAGCTCAAATCCTAGCCTTTGTCCTTGCCTTAGCCCAGAGCCCTAGCTCAGAGTCCTATCTTTAGCTCTAGCCCTAGTCTTTGCCCTAACTCTAGATCAGAGCTCTAACCTAATGCCTTAGCCCATCGTCCTACCCCAAAAGCCCTAGTTCAAGTTATAGCCTTAGGACTAGATTTAGCATTGCCTTACTATCTTGAGCCGTAGTTTAGCTGTTGCTTATGGTTAGCTCTGCTTTTAGGTTTTAGTACTGGGCCTAGATTTAATTCTAGCCGCAGTTCTAGCCGTAGCCGCTTTGTCTTTTTTTACATTTATTTCTATTCTTAGGTCTACGTTAACACTAGCCCTATTTTAAACCTTGGTTTTAGACCTAGAAGTAGCCCTAGTCTTAGTTTTAGCCGCTTCATCTTCGTTAGTTAACTCTAATTATGGCCTCAGCTCTAGCTCTATCTTCAATTATTGCACTTTACAATTAAAACTTAAGCCCTACAGCCAAATAAAAAATTCGTAAAATTTTAAATATCAGACATAAGGCACGTGTTCTTGAGAGTAGTTATTTTGTTATGTATATGTTCTCTTAACGCCTTGTAACCATCGTACGGCATGGAAACGACACGTCCGAGCACTTAATGCGCACTTTCTGGAACGCATTTGTTTCCAAGTTTTTTGTTAATTTTGTTCCTGTCAAGTTGGTTGGTGGGTTAATTAGTTTGGGGCGGATTAACCTCACGGGCTTAGTCTTTTGACTTTGTTCTAAACACTGTAAGCTGGAGATTAACTTGTGTAAGGGTGTTTTGGTAACAGTGAAACGATGTTGAACTTTGTGCGTTTTTGAGCTGAAAGTTTTTTATTTTTCTTAGTTTAGACGCAGTAGGCTTAGTCTAATGCTTAAACTTTTAGGTTTCGGCTAAAACTTAGGTTGAGATTTAGGCTGTTTTAAAATTTAGACTAAGGCATAGGTTTAGGCTTATGCTTAGGGTCAAGCTTAGGCATAGGCTCAGACTTAGGCTTAGGTTCAGACTTAGGCTTAGGCTTAGGCTAAGGCTTAGGCTAAGGTTTAGACTCAGGCTTGGGCTTAGGCCCAGGCACAGGCTTAGGTTCAGACTTAGGCTTAGGGTTAGGCTAAGGTTTAGACTCAGGCTTGGGCTTAGGCTTAGGCTCAGGCTTAGGTTTAGTCTCAGGCTCAGTCTCAGATTCAACCTTAGGGTTAGAATGAGGCTTAGGCTTATGCTTAGGCTTAGGGTTAGGCTTGAGCTTAGGGTTTGACTTAGGCTTTGGCTATTAACCCTTGATTAGGCTTAGCATTTAGCTTAGGCTTAGACTTAGGCTTTAGTTTAGGCTTAGGCTTTGCCTTAGGTCTCGGCTTTTAACATTTGATTACGCTTAGTCTTAGGCTTAGCTTTACAACTAGCCTTCGGTTCTGTCTTAGGGTTATATTTAGGCTTGAACTTAAGGTTTTTGTTTCAGCTTTGCATTAGGTTTTTATTCAGGCTTCGCCTAGGCTTAGCTTTGGTTTAAGCTTAGCGTCAGTTTTGTTTGTAGCTTATGCGTTGCCTGTTGAAACATTGGGTTCAATTTCGTCTTGTGAAAGATATTCAATTTCATTTGATGGTATGGTGGTTAATACAACATTAAGCGTGTCGAATGACCATTACTGTTGCAATTTGTGAATAACAGGAAACAATTTGTTTACCGTTTTCTTGTTTTTTCAAATTCTCTTCTTGTAAGATACTACCAGTTTGAGACTTGTGGCCACTAATTGTCTTTTTAATACTAGTCTTTGTTTTTTGGGTTGGGCTTTAGGCTTAGCGGGCTTCAAAGGCTTAGTAAGCATAGGCTTAGTATGCTTAGGCTTAGTAGGTTTAGGCTTAGTAGGCTTAGGTTCAGTAGGCTTAGGCTTAGTAGGGTCAGTCTTAATAGGCTTAGGAGGCTTAGACTTAGTAGGCTTAGGCTTAGTAGGCTTAGGCTTAGTAGGCTTAGGCTTAGTAGGCTTAGGCTTAGTAGGCTTAGGCTTAGTAGGCTTAGGCTTAGTAGGCTTAGGCTTAGTAGGCTTAGGCTTAGTAGGCTTAGGCTTAGTAGGCTTAGGCTTAGTAGGCTTAGGCTTAGTAGGCTTAGGCTTAGTAGGCTTAGGCTTAGTAGGCTTAGACTTAGTAGGCTTAGGCTTAGTAGGCATAGGCTTAGTAGGCTTAGGCTTAGTAGGCTTAGGCTTAGTAGGCTTAGGCTTAGTAGGCTTAGGCTTAGTAGGCTTAGGCTTAGTAGGCTTAAGCTTAGTAGGCTTAGACTTAGTAGGCTTAGGCTTAGTAGGCATAGGCTTAGTAGGCTTAGGCTTAGTAGGCTTAGGCTTAGTAGGCTTAGGCTTAGTAGGCTTTGGCTCAGTAGGCTTAGGCTTAGTAGTTTTAGGCTTATGGGGCTTGTTTGTAAAGGTTTGACGATTGTACTATAATATAAAAAACCACTTTATAATTGCATGTACCACCAAATTGCGTTACAAAAGATACAAAGTAGGATATTTACACTTTAAAGCCGCTTAAAAGCAATAATTGCGACTGGAAAGTGCATTATAAAGTTAGTCAGACATCACGTTTTCTAACTTATCATAACGGCAAAAGGATTAACGTAAAACTGTGATTTAGTACGTAAAACACTTTGATATTGTTGTGTTTTGTTTTAAAGATTGATTGTGAGGATTCTTATCTGTAAGGCTTTGGATAAGGTAGGATTTTGTCAAATTTCAACAAATTTTAAGGCTTTTGAACTATTTTTCGACAGTGTTTCGGTAGAGCTATGGAATAGATGAAGCTAAGATTTTTTAGGATAACATGGGGGTAGGGTAGATCTTTGAAAGAAGGGTCGATTTTTAGGACAAGAAATTTTGTTTTATACCTGGTAGGGTCAGGTAATTTAGGGTAGGGCAAGCTAGGGTACAAAGTGATAAAGTAAAGCAGGGCGAAGCACAGCAAGCCATGGCAGGACTAAGCTTAAGGCATAGGGCAAGCACTAGGTAAAAGGTAACAAGTTCGGTTAGAACTACAGCTCGGGCTAAGGCTGGGACTGGGCTAGAGATTAGACTAGGATCCTGGGTAGGGTTGGGACGGGCTAGGGCTAAGGCTAGGGGTAGGCAGGTGATGGCAGAGAAGGGAAATGCAGGGCAAGGCAAGACAGGGCAAAGCAGGGCAAGGCAAGACCAGGCAAGGCAAGGTAAGGTAAGACAAGGCAAGGCAAGATAGTTTAGCTTTAATATTTTCGTAAGTTTTTTAAAACAAACATTTCGTACTATTTAAAATGCTCTGACAAATTTCACTTGAGGCAAAGTCAAACGAAATTTCAAGAAGCGAAATTATTCTCGAATTTCAATTGTTTTCTCAAAACACTGCCAGACCGATTATAAAACCGCTAATTTTTATTTATGTCTCAACTCCTCACATTCAGGAAGGTTATTTATGGTTTTGTGAAGGGCTTTGGAAGAGCATCTTTTTATTTTTTTATTTTACTTAAGACTAGGATGAGGCTATGGAATGATAAGACAGGGCAGGTTAAGGTAAAGGTAGAGAAAACACTAGGGCTTTGGCTTAAGCTTAGTATTGGACCTAAACTTGAGTTTAAGCTTTGCCTTGGACTTGGGCATAGGCATAGGTTTAGGCTTAGGCTTAGGCTTAGGCTTAGGCTTAGGCTTAGGCTTAGGCTTAGTCTTAGGCTTTGGCATAGGCTTAGGCTTAAGCTTAAGCTTAGGCTTTGGCATAGGCTTAGGTTTAGGGTCAGGCTCAGGCTCAGGCTTAGGCTTAGGCTTAGGCTTAAACTTAGACTTAGACTTAGGCTTAGGTTTAGGCTCAGGATTTGGCTTAAGCTTAGTCTTGGTCTTAGGATTAGGCTTAGGTTTGGGCTCAGGCTTAGGCTTAAATTTAGGCATAGGCTTAGGCTTCGGCTCAGGCTTAGGCTTAGGCTTAAACTTAGGCTCAGGCTTAGGCTTAAGTTCAGGTTTAAGCTTAGGCTTGGGCTTTAGCTCAGTTTTAGTCTCATTCTGCTGTTAGACGTAGGCTTAAATTTACATTTTGGCTTAGGCTTGGGCTCAGGTTTCGACTCAGGCGTAGATTACGTAGAAGTTGTGTTTCCTACTGTAACTTATATAGAAAGCTTTTTTTATAAGCCGGGCTTCTATTTTTTAATCAATATCAAAGTACTTTCTTAGTACATTTTACCTGTAACAATAGTTTTTGAACTTAATATAGTCTATTGTTCTTATAAATACCTTTTAAACTCCCCCTCTCCTCCCTCCCCCCCCCCTCCTCCTTCCTCCATTATTCCTCGCTTAATTTGCTCTGAATGTTTACCAAAAATAGTTTTCAAAACGGTCGAAACAACCCCTATAAACATGTTTTTAGCACGGTAACAATAGCGGAACGTTGACGCAATGCATCGTACTTGAAGCGACCGGATCCGAGCGATTATGGCATTCCTGTTCACGGGCTGTTACCAGAGCTGCCCCTGGCTGGGCCTGTTGTTGTTTCGGCGGAAGAACATTGGCTACGACGACGAGCCCGATCTGGAGATGGGCGAATACCTACCCGAGAGTGGCAGTTTGGACGAGGCCAAGGTGGAAAATCAGGTGGGTTAAAAATGTTTTTTTGAGGGCATGGGTAGATTTTTGAGGTTATGGGAACAGCGGAAATGATGGTTATGGTATTAAAAAGTAGGGTAGGTCAGGGCAAGACAGGGCATGACAGTGCAAGCCAAAGCTGTGCAGAGGAGAACAGGGCAAAGAAAAGAGGGAGGGAGTAGGGTAACACCGGACAAGACACGGAAGGGCAGGGTAGATTTAGAAGAAAAAACGGGGCGGGGGGGGGTATTTTTTTATTGAGTAATTTTTAAATACAGGGGTAGCTTTTTCAGGGCATGGTAGGGGTTTTGAGTATGAGTGTAGTTTTGGGGGAGGGGTAGTTTTTTAGGTAAACTCTAGGGGGAGGGGTAGATTTCTAGATTTTGCAGACTTTTTAAGTTGTTATAGAATTGCTGGGTGGGGTAGATTTTTAAGGTAAGGGCGGACTTTAAGGTTTTTTGAACGTAGTGGGGTATGGTAGAGGGATACGGTATGGGATGGTAGAGCAGGGTAGAGTAGGGTAGGGTAGGGTAGGTATTGGGTATGGTAGGGTAGGTATTGGGTAGGGTAGGTCAGGGCATTATTTCTTAGAATAGAGAAGAACTACCAAAGATTGTTATTGTTGGTCTTTAATGCTTCTTGTGCCCTCTTGATCCTCAAGTGTTTTTGGCCGAGTTCATGTACAAAACAAGATGACGATTACATAAACATGAACTTATCAAAAGGCCTAAACTGTATCTGAGAAAACGGCCTAATTTCTTGCAAATAGACGGAGGCGATCCTAGAATTTTGGTTGTACCATGAACGTAAGCTAGAGAAAGAACGGGAATGGAAAAAGAAATGAGGTAGAGTTGGAAGGTGGGAGGGTTGTACCTAAAACAGTATTTTTTGTTTTTTATGGTTTAGGTAAGGTTAATAGCCTATTAAATTTTAAGGTGTTTACTGTGAAAAGCGTAGAAACCATAATTTAAAAATAGAATTTATTAGATTTTTTGTAGGTAAGGGTAAAAACAAAAAAACAGCTGAAGTAAGGGCTTAGGCGGTAGGTTAAACAGTAAGGTTGGACTATAATAATTGGAGTAAGGTTGGGCAGTTTAAGGGGTGAAGCTGTGGTTAGGGGTAGATTTCGAGCTAGGGACAGGGTCTAGCCTAGGATCTAAGCGAAGGTTCAGAATAAAGCCATGATTAAGGCTATAGTTAATGTTAAGACTAGGTCTTATGCTAGGGCTAGGGTTTAACTTATTGTTCAGGCTAGGACTAAGACTCAAGCTAGATCTTATGCAAGGTTTATTGTACAGATTAGGACTCAGGCTAAGGCTAAAGCTTAAGGTAAGACTCGGACTAGGTTTAAAGCTTAGATTAAGGCTAGGACTTGGGTTTGATTGAAAGCGCAGGCTGGGGCTAGGGTCAGCAATGGGGCTTGGGAAAGGACATGACAAGGCAGGGCAAGGCAAGGCAATGGCAAGGCAGGGCAGAGCAGAGCAGGGCAAATTAAGGCAAGGCAAAGGCAAAGGCAAGGTAAGGCAAGGCAAGGCAAAGCAGGGCAGAGCAGAGCAGGGCAAATTAAGGCAAGGCAAGGCAGGGCATTGCAGGGCAGGGCAGGGCAGTGCAGTGCAGGGCAGGGCAGTGCAGGGCAGGGCAGTGCAGGGCAGGGCAAGGCAAGGCAAAGACTTTCTTATGTAACTTCTCTAACTCATTACCTCCAAAGACCATTCTTTTTAACTACCAAACTATGTAATTGTCGAACTCAGCAGACCTTTAAATCGTTTTATAAATTTTAAAATTTTTGCGAAAAAACCCGGAAAAACAAACAGCACACTAGCCTTGTTGTCGTGCTGGAACGGCATTAATGATGCACAATGTTCTCTGTTTTTTACATAAAAAAAGTTCGAACAAGGTCTGGTTGTATGTCATTACTTTTTCGACTTTTGAAAACAACAACCAATAAAATTATTTTTTTTTCTCAGAAATTTTTTTTGAAAAGACGAATTTCGAAAAAAGTCAACATTTTAGTTACGGTCAGCTGGACTGCCATTGTTTTATAGATGAAGGCAAGGTGAAGACCAGACTGATGGTTAGGCATTGACTTTCTAAAAAATTTTGTAGATAAATATAATTTTTGGCTAGCTGTTTTTTGAAAAAAAAAGGTTTTTTTTGTTTTGTGCAGTTTGCGAGTGACAAGTTATACGATGACTGTTGTTTTTAATTTAATTATTTTGTAAAGAAAGTTCTTGCCATTTTTGTTTTGTAAAGAAAGTTCTTGCCATTTTTTATTTTGTAAATAAAGTTCTTGCCATTTTTTGATCTGTAAAGAAAGTTCTTGCCGTTTTTTGTTTTGTAAAGAAAGTTCTTGCCGTTTTTTGTTTTGTAAAGAAAGTTCTTGCCATTTTTTGATCTGTAAAGAAAGTTCTTGCCGTTTTTTGTTTTGTAAAGAAAGTTCTTGCCATTTTTTGATCTGTAAAGAAAGTTCTTGCCGTTTTTTGTTTTGTAAAGAAAGTTCTTGCTATTTTTTTTACTAAAACAGTTTATTTTGTTTTCTGCAACTTGCAGGTGACAAGTTATACGATGAATAAGATTTAATTATAATTTTGTTTTGTAAAGAAAGTTCTTGCAATTTCTGGTTTTGTAAACAAATTTATTGCCTAATAACTGTAACAAGAATTTAGACTCTCTTGCCCCCTCCCCCCTCTTTTATCCACTTAAGACCTCAAGTTTCAAAAATTCGTGTTCGTCATACTCCACAGTATTATCGCTCTCGTCCTGAAACATTTAGGCGCGTACTCGAAAGGGTAAAAATCGGATTACCCTTTCTTTTCGTGGGGGTTTTCTTTGTCTATTGTTCCGCCGGGAAAGATGGCCGTTCTAAACGTTCTATTCAAAGTTTTTGAGAACAATATCTATGTTGGGGGGGGGGTGGGGTTAGGAATAGGGGTAGGGTTAAGAAAAAAGGAGAGAGGAGGGGTGAAGCTAGGGAAAGAAAGAGGGGATAACAATATGAATGGAGGATAACATGAACAATATATGTGGTTAGTCTTTGAGGTCTTCTAATTAACTTTTGGCCGAAAAATGCTGCAAAGTTTGAACTTTTTTAAAAATTTTTTAAACTTTTTTTCTGTGTTTTGCTAACAAGTTAGTCTACAGAGAAGAATATGTAAAGAGGAAAACACATTGAACTTGGTCGTTTTGGTCTTTTCACTTTGTACTTATTTTATATATGTCTTGTAATGATATTCATAGTGTATGGAGGGAAGGGGGGGAGAAAAGATGAAAAGTACTGATGAGACACGGTTTTGTAAGGCAAGAACTGATTTTAAAGGTAGGATAAGTATTTGAGGTGAGGTAGGGTTTTAGAGTAGAGGTTTTGCCAGGAAAGGTAGAGAAAGACAGGGTAAAGAGAAGGGTTTTTAGGGTAGGACACAGGGTAGGAGTGTTATAGGGAAGGGTAGGATAGAACAAGGTAAGAAAGTTTAGTGCAAGGCAGGACATCGTATGCCCAAGTTTAGTTCGGGCCAGGGCAAAGTAGGGTATGATTGGATATGGTAGAATACGGTATGATCGGGCGAATTCGATTAGATGGTAAGGTAAAGCCATGTATAGTACAGTAGGGTAGGGTAGGGTAGGATAAGGTAGGGTAGGGTAGGGTAGGGTAGGTAGGGTAGGGTAGGGTAGGGTAGGGTAGGGTAGGGTAGGGTAGGGTAGGGTAGGGTAGGGTAGGGTAGGGTAGGGTAGGGTAGGGTAGGGTAGGGTAGGGCATGGTAGGGTAGGGTAGGGTAGGGTAGGGTAGGGCTTGTTACTCTATGCTGTCTTATAGTAAAGCAATCTTTGGTCTTTCTTCTATTAGTTAGTATAGCGTCTCTCAGCGTCACTATACGACGATACCGTGACACTTGATGACATCTTACGAAAGACGGATCCATTTTTTCTTTGATTTGTTTGCTCTTTCGTGTTTTGTTTCATTTCGTGGTTAAATGGTATATGTGTTATGGGCCCATAACGTCCCATTTGACACTCAAATTTCAATTTTTTCGGCTTTTAATTGTGTGCATTAGCCGAAGCTTGGTATAGGTTTTGTGGTTTAAAGGGGGGTTTTGATTTTTGAGACTTAGTGCCAGCCGGTTTTTATTTTTTAAAATTTTTTTTTGTTTTTTTAAATTTGAAATTTTTTTAATTTTAGTGACAGCCGGTTTTAGGTTTTTTAAAAATTTAGTTTTTTATGTTTTTATCGTATAACTTGTCACCTGCAGGTTGCATGACCCGAAGGTTGATGATTTTTTATTAAAGTGGCAAGAACTTTCTTTACAAAACAAAAAATGGCAAGAACTTTCTTTACAAAACAAAAAATGGCAAGAACTTTCTTTACAAATCACAAAATGGCAAGAACTTTCTTTACAAAGCATAAAATAACAAGAACTTTCTTTACAAAACAAAAAACGGCAAGAACTTTCTTTACAAAGCATAAAATAACAAGAACTTTCTTTACAAAACAAAAAACGGCAAGAACTTTCTTTACATAACAGCAAAAACACGAAAAGTTTTTAATATATGTATGCAAATGACATTTTTAATAGGTCATATGTGACATCTTGTCAAGTTATTCAGAATAAAGTATGTATGTCTTATGTATTTATGCACGACATCAAAGCTTAGGCAAATAGAGAACTTGGAGTTAGCAGGGATAGCAATGGGGTGTTGGGATGGCTAGATCGTGAATATTTTTTGCTTTGTAAAGAAAGTTCTTGCCATTTGTTGTTTTGTAAAGAAAATTTTTGCCATTTTGGATTTGTAAAGAAAGTTCTTGCCATTTTTTGTTTTGTAAAGAAAGTTCTTGCCAATGCATTTCCCAGTCTTTTTTTCGGTCTAGACTAACATTACCTATATTAACCAGCCCTTTAGTCCTATTAAAAAACTAATTGAATTTCTTTTACTACGCCTTTCGTACAGTATAAAAACATAAATAATTCTCGGAGGTATAAATTATGATGAATAATAAGATTGTCACATTACTTTGAACATATGTTTCACATTGAGACAGGTGATATTATAGTTAATATTTTATAACTGGCATACGTTGGTTAATTTTATTGAATTTTTAAATTTTGTTTAAGTTTTTAAGCCTTGGGGGTATGACTTTTTATTGGTATTGTAGGGTGGGGTAGAGTAACGTGAGGGTAAGGTAATCTAGGGTAGGGTAAACATGGTCAGTAGGGTTGTAGGGGTAAGCCAGGGATAGGGTAGGGTAAGGTTTTTGGTACTTATGGTACTATAAATTTTGTTTTGTAGTACAATTGATGTAGTTTTTGATTTTGGTACACATGGTACTGAAAATTTGATTTTTGGTGCTCATGGTACTGAAAGTTTAGTTTCGGTGTCCATGGTACTCAAAGTTTGATTTTGGTGCTCAAGATACTAAAAATTTGATCTTATTACTCATGGTACTCAAACTTTGGTTTTTGTACTCATGGTACTGAAGATTTAAATTTTAGTACTCATGGTATTAAAAAATTTTATTTAACTACTCATAGTATCGAAAATTTGAATTTTGGTACTCATGGTGCTGGTAATTTGATTTTTGATACTTATGGTACTGAAAATTAGATTTTGGTACTCATGGTACTGAAAATTTAAATTTGGTACTCATAGAACTGAAAATTTGGTTTTGTTATTCATGATAATGAAAACTTGATTTTGGTACTAGTGGTACTGAAATTATTATTTTAGGGCTTATGGTACTGAAAATTTGATTTCATTACTTATGTTACTAAAAATTTAAATTTTGGTACTCATGGTGCTGAAAATTTGAATTCTTTTACTTCTGGTACTGAAAATTTGATATTTTATTTTATAGTACTACTTAAATTTTAATTTTTTTTAGATGGAAGTTTTTGAAAATTCGGATGACAAAACGGTTGAAGAGCCATTCGACGCTAAAATCGACCATCTTCGGATCTCCACTCAGTACAGCGACCAGAAAAAGCTAGTATGCAAAATTTTTTCATAAAAAACTTTTTTTTTATTTTATTTTTTTTTTGTAAAATACGAAAGGTAGTCCATTTTTTCAAAATTTTAGTTAATCATCACGATTATCGAAGCGGGTGGAGAGATGGATGTACGAGAATGTCGAGAAGCTCAGGTAGGTTAATATTGACTTAAAACGGCATGAACTTTCTTTACAAAACACAAAACAGCAAGAACTTTCTTTACATAACAAAAAATGGCAAGAACTTTCTTTACAAAACAGAAATGGCAAGAACTTTCTTTACAAAACAAAAAATGGCAAGAACTTTCTTTACAAAACAAAAAATGGCAAGAACTTTCTTTACAAAACAAAAAATGGCAAGAACTTTCTTTACAAAACACAAAATGGCAAAAAATGTTTACAACTTGACGTAGTTTACAATTTCAGGTCCGTGTAGCCTTGTTAGGAGATAAAACAGTGAGGAAAAGGACCGAATTCACCACTGGACCAACCTTTAAATTTGCCAAAACTTTCGCTTTTAAAATTGAAATGGGTGAGTTACAGTCTTAGTTCTAGCCCTAGTCCAAAGCCCATGCCCAGAGCCCTAGCCCAGAGCCCTAGTCCAGAGCCCTAGTCCAGAGCCCTAGCCCAGAGCCCTAGCCCAAAGCCCTAGCCCAGAGCCCTAACCCAGAGTTTTAGCCCAGAGCCCTAGCCTAGATCCTTAGCCCAGAGCGCTAGTCCAAAGCTTTAGCGAAGTGTTCCAGCCCGGAGCCCTAGCTCAAAGCTTTAGTCCAGAGTCTTAGCATTAGATCTAGACCATAACCCTAGCCTTAGTCTTAGCCCTAGTTCAGCCATAGCCTTAGCTCTAACATTAAACCTAGTCACTTTATCCTACTTTATGCTAGCTTCACAGAGCTTTTTGTAGACCCACTACTGTATGACCTTATCCCTGGACTTGTCTTCTCCTAGCTTTAGCATTTTTTGATTTCTCGTCATTGAGTCAAGTTTATCAGAAAAAAATTGCGTAGTGACATAACTTTTTGACATAACTAGATAGCCTTAGAGAAATTGCAAGAAACCGTATTACGCAACGTTTTCTTATGTAATATTACGGCATTATATAACATTTGCCTCGATGTAAAACGACCCAACAAATGACTGCGAGTGCTGTGGTTTGGCTCTATTTTACTGCGGGGAATGACAATTTTACTATTACTAGCTCAAGTATATGATGCCTGAGCTAAGCCTAAGGCAAAACAATCGGAGCTAAGCCTAAACAAAGCTTGACCTAAGCTTGAGACAAGCCTTTGAGCTAAGCCTAACTTAAGTTAAGAATTAGACTAAAAAGCGTATCGAACCTAAACTAAGCCTAAGCGCTTAAGCAAGCCTATAATAAACAAAAGCTAAGCCAAAGTTAAGTTGAAGCTAAGCCCAAAATAAGCCTAAGCCTACTAAGCTTAAGCCTACTAAGCCTAATCCTATTAAGCTCAAGCCTATTAAGCCTAAGGCTACTAAGCCTAAGCCTACTAAGCCTAAGCCTACTAAGCCTATTAAGCCTAAGCCTGTTAAGCCTAAGTCTACTAAGCCTAAGCCAACTAAGCCTAAGCCTACCAAGTCTAAGCCTACTACGCCTGAGTTTACTAAGCCTAAGCCTACTAAACTTAAGCTACTAAGCCTCAACCTACTAAGCCTAAGCCTACCAACTTTTTTACTCTACTTGACTCTTTCAGACAAGCTACCAGACGTTGTGATACGAATGCGATTGTATCGAAAAAGAATGCCACAACGAAATCAACTGGTCGGTGAATGTTTTCTAAAGGGCAAAAAGGTGGACGCTCATTCCATGCACATTCTCAAGTTACGGCCGCCGATTATTTTTACGAAAAAAGTAAGAAACTTAAAAGTCATGTTATCGTCGTAGGACCTAAAATTTAAAAAAATTTATTAATTTATGTCACTTTTCAGCCGATTGAAACAGTGGCGATGATAGAAAACGGTGATATTATAGCACAAGTAAGTCGATTTTATACCTTTTTAAACTTTTTTGGGCTACGACGTTTTACTAATATTGTAGGGCGGGGTGGGGTAGGGCATAAAAGGGCATATAAACATTGTAGTATGTCACCTAAAATTCTAAAAAAAAATTTTTTGCGGAGGATCAGAGCTTCCGCTTCAAAATATCAAGTGTTATATTAGATAACATCACTGTATTTTCTTCTCTAGAAGGTTCTATGAAATTGTAGTGTAAGACGATAGGATGATGATAATAAGATTATATTACACTAGACTTAAGATGGCTCAATATAATAGGTCATAACTTCTTGCATTAAGTTATATTTTATATTTTTTGCTTTGTGTAGGATCGATTAGATAGAGTAGGGTTGGCTTGGGTAGGCCAAAGGTAGAGTAAGGGTAGAGTTAGAGTACGGTAGGGTGTGGTAAGTAATTACCTTAACTTGAGTAGGCTAAAACTAGCTCTGTATAAAGAGGAGAGGGTAGGATAGGGTAATTTAAGATAATAATAAGATAGAAGGGGCAGGGTAAAGGTGGGTCAGGGTTACACAAGGTAGGACATGCTAGAGTAGATTACGGTAGATTTAAAGTGATTAGCCGTGCGTGCAGGGGTAAGTAGGACTAAGGTCCGGGTTAAGGCTAGAATTAGAGCTAGGGCAAGAGCAAGGGTTAGGGCTAGGGCTAGGACTAGGGCTAGGGCAAGGGCTAGGTCCAGGGCAAGGGCTAGGCCTAGGGCTTTTGATAGTGTTAGAGCTTCGGATGTGGCCAGAGTAAGGCAGATATATTTTAAAATTTTATTTTTTTTTGAAAAAAAAGATTATTGCATTTATTTCAGAAATTATCAAACGAAATAACGAACGCTTTCGTGCCAGGACCAATGAAAACTCTCCCACTAGTCTCACCAAAACCGAATCCAGCTATTTTGAGGCGGATCACCGCTGCTTATGGTTCAGAAGTCTTCATTTCATTGGCTTATAGTGATGAGCATGAGACGTTTCATGTCGCTATCGAAAAGACGTCAGCTATGGAAAAGTTGAAAACTGAGGATGGCAAAAGTGTTGGTATGTTAATATGAATAGAATGAAAAGTTTTGATTTTAAGGTTGTTTTTGATTTTAAAAGCTTTGAATTGAGTATCTTTTTTGATAAAATTTAGTTTTACGCAAAAAAAAGGAAGTTGCAAGTTTTCGTTGCGGGACCCAGAATTGTAATTTTTTCTATTAAATTTGAGGTTTTATTAAATTTTTTGTTTTGTCTAAGCTTAAAATGCCACATTTTATCACAAGTAAAGCAAAAAAGTCGAAATCAAGTTTTCATGGTGGGACCTATAATTTTTGAAAATTTTTAAAGAATTGTTGTTTCGATTATTAAATTTGCTTTTGCAAGCTTAAAAAATGATTTTTAATGTAAAATAAGAATTTTTTCACCTTTTAGATTGCTTCTTCCAAATCATTGTCCGCTCAAACGGCGCCGAACTGTGCCGGCACCGGTCGAAAATTCTCAGTTGTACTAGTGAATGCGAAGTGGGCGAAAGCGTGGTGGTACCAGTAAGTTTATGTTATTTTGTCTTTTACTAACACGCGCTCTTGACGTATTTTACAATTCGGTTAACACGATTATTTACTTTTTTCTTTTTTTAAGTTTCTGCCAACTTTGGCATTGTGTTTCAAAAAAGTTGCTTGATTGAATATGCTAAATTTTGGAGGAAATAGTGGTTTTTTACAAGTTTTACAGTACTAAAATGCATTTTTGAGCTTTTTATATGCTTGCAGCATAATGCCAAATTGGCGGGAAATTTAAAATTTAAAAAATAAAAGTGCAAGTTTTTGGCTAGTTTTTTGTATACTTATTGAACATAGTTAGCGCATGTAAAATACGAAATGTTGGTCAAGTTCGACAATTTTGAAGGAAGTTATGATGCATCAAAAGTTATCTTACACAATATCTTTATACCTTGTTGTGGAAAATCAGTTGTTTCTCTTGAAAGACCTATGGCAATATGCTCAAGTTTAAGCTCATTTTTAAGCCAGTAAAATTCTCTATCTTTTAAACCTAATTTTATTTCAGTGCTCGCTAAAAGAGCTTCACGACATCACGGTAATCATTGGCCTCTTCTGCGTTTCCGGCTTCCTGAAGCGGCGCGCCTTGATCGGCTTCATTCGCATGGGCGCAGACGAAATGGAAAGTGCTGATGCGGCGGAGCATTGGACGGAGATGGTACATGATATTGGGAGGTCGGTGGAGAGATGGCACAACTTGAGGCGGCCCAAGAACTTGACTTTGTAAATATTATTGTAGATATGGTACTTTTGATTGTGATTTTTGACGTTTTGAGGAGAATATTGATGTTGATGTTGAAGAGACTGGTCTATTGTGACCTTGTTTGTAATTAGGAATGAATTTTGAGGGTTGAAAAAGGTTTGGCACGGGTTTGTCGGCCGTTTTTCACAAAAAAATGAGCCGCGTCAAAAAGAATTGACTTTTTTCTTATATAAACTAATAGAAAATCATCCAATTCTTTTTGACGCGGCAGTAAAAACTTATGAAAACAAATGCCAAACCTTTTGTAACCTCTATAAAATACATTGTATACAAAATCCAAACTCTACTTTATGTCATAGAGTAATTTTCCAACCCAACTTTAATATATTTTGTCACTTTTCAAGCGATTCAACCGTCCACCATTTACTGGTATTGTTATTGTACATTTTGACTAATAAACACAATTACTGTTTATTCAAACCATCAAATATGTAAGGGATGGTAATATAGAGATGTATTAACAAGTACGACAAAGATCCGGGAATTCGGGGTGCTCCAGGCCGGCTGGTGCATGTTCGAATGGAAATCCGGGTGGGAACTGAAAAAGGTGCCATTTTTAATAATAAGTTAAGATAACTTTTGAAAAAAATAGTTTTATAATGATTAAAAATAAAATTAATCAATGTTTTTAAATAATTTTGTGTAAAAAGGATTACAAATGGCTCTTTATTGATTTTCAGGGTTTTCGTGGTGGGACTCAAAAAAAACAATAAATTTTTAAAATTTTAATAAAATAGTAAAAAATGTGTCTGATTTGTCTATTTTTTAGTGTTTTTAATTCAAAGATTGTAAAATACGACTGTCTTTAAATTTTTCCATTTTTTCGTGGTGGGACCCAAAAAAATGTTTTTTCTAAATTTTAACAAGAATATATCAAAATATGTTTAGTTACACTTTGTTTAGTGTTTTCATACTAAACGTAGTCAAATTTCACCAGTTTTTCATGGTTTCGTTGTGGGACCCAAAGCACTGTTTTTGAAAATTTTTATGTAAATTTGTAAATTACATAAAATATATTTAAGATTTTAAAATTTATATTGGGTTAAAAAAGTATTACAAAAAACCATTTTTCCGTTTTTCATATTTTCTTTGTGGGACCCAAACATTTTGAAAAAAATATTTAAAGTGTAATATACGCGGTGTAGATAAGATTTGAAAAAGTTATAAAATTCAAAATTTTATAGTTTACCTGAGCTTTAAAGAACTGTTTTTGTTCACGACGATGTTTTTTGACCAGTCCGATCTCTTCTTTTGTTGCGCGACGTTTAGTGCCATCACATTCGTGAATCAGGCCATTCTAAAATGAAATTTCGTTTAAAAAATTGGGTTTTTTATGTAAAATACAAAATGGATGGCCAAATCTTCCTTAATAAATTTTAAAATTGATCAATCTTAACATTTCTTTGACCAAAACGACATTTTTTTGCGTTCTGCAGCTCGCGGGAGACAAGTTATACGATAAACTATAATTTTTTGCTTTTTTAAAAAAGTTCTTGCAACTATATGTTTTGTAAAGAAAGTTTTTGCCATTTTTTTGTTTTGTAAAGAAAGTTCTTGCAATTTTTGGGTTTGTAAAAAAAGTTCTTGCCTTTTTTTGTTTTGGAAAGAAAGTTCTTGCCATTTTGTGTTTTGTAAAGAAAGTTCTTGCTAATTTTTGTTTTGTAAAGAAAGTTCTTGCCATTTTATGTTTTGTAAAGAAAGTTCTTGCTATTTTGTGTTTTATAAAGAAAGTTCTTGCTATTTTAATCAAAAATTAGATATTTTTAGTGTTTCGCAGCCTGCGGGTGTCAAGTTATACGATAAAAAAGGTATTTTTTTAATTAAAAATTTCCAAATCTAAAGTTTGAAATTTCAGTCGAAATTAGATCCAAGATTAGTTAAAATCAAGCATTTTTAAATTTTAAAAACTACCGCACTTACCTTATACTGACACCCATTACTGTGTAGTAAGCCATCAATCTTAAAAACCGAAAAAGCTAGCAAAATCGCTAGGCCTAGTCTATGAAACGTGGCCATATTGAGTGGAAATACGCCTTAATTCGATTATTTTCCTTGCGATGACTGACTTCTTTATAGTCATATTGAATATCGATTAATGTATTCATGCATTATTAATGGCATGATTGGTTTTGGTCCCGATTTCGACAGGTTTTTCGGTCAACAAATTGGTAAATTAAAAAATGGTTATTGGGGGGGGTGAACAGGAGAATAGGGGGACGGTAAAGATAACTGTAAGATCACGGCATGGTATGGTGAAGTAGGGTAGGGTAGAATAAAAAAAATTATTCATAGCCATGGTATTAGAAAGTAATGTAGGGTAGCCTTTAACGTTTTTTGGAGCATGGTAGATTGATGGGGTGCATTTTTAGAGCAGGCTGGATTTTTAGGACAGGCGAGATTTATAAGGCGGGGTAGGTTTTGATAGCAGCGTGGATTTATAGGGCAAAGTAGAATTTTAAGCCGGGTGGATTCTTAGGGATGGGAAAATTTATAGGGCTGGGTAAATTTTGAAAGCAGGGTGGATTTACAGACCGGGGTGGATTTTTAAGGCTGGGTGCATTTTTAGGGCAGGGTGGATTTATAGGGCAAGCTGAGTTTTTAGGAATTTTTTTAATAGTGTAGGGTAGGGTAGTGTAGGGTAAGGTAGGGGTAGGGTAGGGGTAGGGTAGGGTAGAGTAGGGTAAAGTAGGGTAGTAAAATCGTTTCTATTAACAATTATTGCACACTAACATTTTGGAATTTTAAAAAATTGTTTTAAAATTTGAATTACTAAGTTTCAAGGTTTTCGTGGTGGGACCATTTGTAAAATACGCGGGTGCATTATTTAAATAAAAACTTTATTTACAACTTTGTACAATCCAAAACACAAAATATTATTAATAATAAACATTTCAAAGTCTACGTTTCTTCATTTGGCAATGTGTCCAAAAATGAAGTTTTACTCAAAAAGCATTCACAAGCCACAGGAATGTCAATATAGACAAACTCCCAGTCTTCACAGTCTTTTGTGCCTCGATTATGCATCACTTTGAAGCTTAAGGTCTTCGTGGTGCACTTGCCTTGAGCTAAAACGGCAATTTTAACAGAAATTTTTATTTTTGGGCCAAAAAAAATAATCGACCGGTCGATAATTTTTCTTTTTTTTTAAGTTTTTTTTAGTTATATGACCTTATCTTTGCTGTAAATGATAATTTAAGATCTAAAAATAGCCTTTTTACAAAAAAATAATCGACCGGTCGATTATTCTTCCATTTAGATTTTGGCTTTTTTGTTGTTTTATAACCTTGCCCTAGCTCTAAATGACATTTTATAACACAAAAATTAAAATTTTTAGCAAACAAAATTATCGACCGGTCGAAAAAAAAGTTTTTTAAAAATCATAAGTTTTGATTTCTTAAGGCCAAAAAACTTACCATAGCCAGTGAAATGATCAAAAACACATCGATTGTCACCTTTGCCACAATCAACAGCATTCAAAAAACTTGGGAAACAGTCCGAATTCAATACGAAAATGCCTTGACAAGCGGTGCACAGCTTCTCATGATCCATTACTTCTTCATCTCCTCGTGAGGTACAATTGCCAATTGTTATAAATCGGTCTGAAAGTGTAAAATACGTTACCTAAAATGTGAAGTTATAAAAATGTATAGAAAGAGAGGTATATGAGCCCTAGCCCTAGTCGTGAAGACAAACTCAACTCAAACGTTTTTACTCATAGCTTACTTATTCATACCTACAATAAAACTATTATTATAACTAATATAAAGCTGCTATAAAAAAAGTTCTTTTTACCTAAAAGACGCTTATAAAAAATTATTCGTAACATATATCATAAAGCTAATTTTGTGAGCCCAAAGCAATGTTTGTCGTATTACTACTATGTTTTCTAAACGTCCATGTAAGTAAATCCACCCTACCCTACCCTACCCTACCCTACCCTACCCTACCCTACCCTACCCTACCCTACCCTACCCTACCCTACCCTACCCTACCCTACCCTACCCTACCCTACCCTACCTTACCCTACCCTACCCTACCCTACCCTACCCCACCCCACCCCACCCTACCCTACCCACCTTACCTTCTACTACCCTGGCGATCACTTATAATATTTTCATACTCTAGCCTACCCCATTCAACCAGTGTTTTGCCGGACCGGTCCGGTCCGCGGACGGGTCCGGACCGGACCGGACCCAAAAACCTGCGGACCCGGACCGAAGAAAAAGCTCCGGACCGGTCCGCAAGGAAAATTTTTTTTATTTTAATAGAAATGATTTAAAAATTGCAAATAAAATGTATTTTTAAGAGTTTTTAAGCAAAAAGAAAGCAGTGTTAGCGCTCTTTGCTTTTTTTAAAAATAAAAAAAAAATTTTTTGCGGACCGGACCCAGAAATTTTGGGTTTGGACCGGACCGGACCCAAAAATTTGAGGTTTGGACCGGACCGGACCCGAAAATCGCCGGACCGGACCGGTGAAAAACGCTCCGGACCGGTCCGGGCAAAACACTGCATTCAACTTTACCTATCTTACTCTACCTTACCTTCTCATCTTCTCCCACTCTAACCTGACCTACCCTTAACTACCGTACGTTTTGTAAAGCTTATGACATTTTTAATTCAGGCGTGTTTTGGCGGAAAGAAAGAAGAAGAAGACGTAACCCATCATCATGACGCTAACGTCCTAAACATTTCTGATGACAGTTTTGAAGGACTACAAGCTTTAGAGTCAAGTGAAGAACTAAAGCTGTCCCACAACCAAATTTCTGTAGATTTAGCCACTAGCGATGATGATAAACCACACTCCAATGTCACAAAAAATCTTACTGTAGCACATTCTACAGTACCACCAAAAATACCAAACCAAATTTTAAGTAATTCATGGTGGACCAGGCTTAACAATACTAAATACAAGCCAGTAGCTCCAACCCAGAATTTTCCACCTCCAATTATGTCACCTTTTTGGACGTTTTTAAATAGTAATCCACTTTTACTGCCTCCTATTCAAAGTAATAATATTATGTTAGGCCATCCTCAAAGTTCTAGTCTTTTGGGTGGTCCCATATCAAACCCATTAGTTAGCCCTTTTCATAGGCAGGTATAGCCAGCCTGTTTGTCAGACATAACGTTGAAAATCCTAGCCTTTTGTCATCTTATATACCTAACTCCGCCCTAACTTTATTCTCATTCTAGTCCAGTTCTAGGCCTATGGTTAGCCTAATACTAATCTTATCCTTATTTTAGCAAAAGCCTAGTCTTACCCTTTTTTAGCCGAGTTCTAGATCTATTCTTACCTTAGCCTAGTTTTAGCTCAGCCATTGCTTTACCTTAACTTTAGTCTAACCCAAGCCCTATTCTTATCAAAGTCCAATCATACTTCTATTCTTATGATAGCCCTGACTTAGCCTTACGCTCATTCTAGGCCACTCCTAGCTCGTTATTGGCGCTCTCTGTATTCTAGTCTAGCTTTATCCTTATCTTAGCCCTAGCTCTGCAATAACCATACTTAGTCTTACCTTTACCCTTTTTAGTTCTAAGCTAGCGAAAACTCTCGTGTAGATTGATTATAACTTTTAGTCTAGTCCTACATTTTGTACTTTACCCTCTTTTGAAATAATTTTAAAATTCATAAAAACGCTTTTGTCCCACAACTGTATGATTAATATTTATTGAATTCGATTGATTAATCAAATACCTGTTCAACTTATTGTACTCATGGCTTCTATTGTATTGGCTAGTCATAAAAGCTAATGGAAAAGTATAAATGTCATTAAAAAGCTCTGTTTTCAAATTTAACTTTTTAAACTTTTGTTATTCAAGTACACCTTGTTCACTGAGTACTAAAAATGATTAGAGAAATGATAGCGCTAGCAGTTGCTTTTGTCATGTTTGTCATCAATATGGACATTGGTGAGGTAAGTATGACCCTATATGGCCTTACCTTACCCTATCCCACCCTACTCTTTAGGGTGGGATAGGGTAAGGTAACTCTTTAGTATCCTACCCTACCCTACCGTAACGTACCCTATCGTAACGTTCTCAACTCTACCATAACTAACCGTAAACGTCCGTAACTCACCCTACCCTACCGTACCATCATGTAACTTACTTCAGCCTGCCCTACATTACCCTGCCCTATGCCATACCTTGCCCTACTCTATCTTGTCCTACCCTATCCTGTTATATCATGTCCTATCGTTAAACATATTGTATTATCTTCTTTTAGGCCTGTTTACCGACTCCTTATGTCAACAACACCACGGAGCCTTACCCAATAACACCTAAATATTAAGTTACACTGTAAAGCTTGCTTCAACTGTGATACAAGCTTCGACTTACAAGACAACCAATGTACTGATATTAGTTGCTACTACAATAAATTTGCTTACATTTTTACTAAATTTTTAAAAAACCATTAAAATTACTATAAAATACCAAAAACTACCGTAACCCCTACTTACCTAGGCTACAACCTTTACTTTTGGTGCCATTGTCATCAGGAGAAATCTTAAATTGTTCATTTTTAACACTTCCACTACCAGTACCATTAGTTTCGTCAGCACTAGTAGTACCATCGGTACCATTAGTACCAGTAGGGCCAGTAGTACCATTTTCAGCCTCAGCAGTATGATCATCTCCAAATGGTCCCATAAACTTTTTGCCACTCTTAAAAGTGTGGGTTACTAGATAGCCCAGCTTTCGACGAATCTCCTGACAAGTATTGTCACACACAAAGTCATCCACCAATGGGTTGGACATGTCACTAAAAGTGGTTTTTTTTATTTTAAAAAATGTTCAAAAAATAAAAATTTAAAAACAAAATAGATTCAACGTATTTTACACTATATTTAACTTTTTTAATTATATTATTACCTAAATTTTCATTTATTACCTAAATAAACCAAAAAACCCTCAAAACGAGTGAGAAACCAGTGCAAAAAGAGAGAGTGGTCAGAGAAAGCGAGAAAAGAGTGTGCTCTCTTCTTTTCCAAGAGAGCTTTCTCGGTTTTCGGGGAAACCCAATCAAAAGACAACTTTTGATTTTATATAAAATAAAGAGAGATTTGTTATCCTTGACTTTCTGAAGTCCAATCAAGGTTGGTACTTGACTCAGCTCATGCAAATGTGGCTGGAAATTTAAAATTTTAGAACGCTTGGTCTTTTTTGATCGGGCGAATAAAAATGAGAAAGAAAAATTTTTATTTGTTTTTTTGCTCTGTAAAGAAAGTCCTTGCCATTTTATGTTTTGGAAAGAAAGTCCTTGCCATTGTTTGTTCTGTAAAGAAAGTTCTTGCCATTTATCCTTTTTTTCGTATTATACCATTACCCTTTTACTACCACAACTACCATACTTACAATTCATCAGCACTGTACCCATCATACAGTCTAGTACTAATCGGGTCTTCTTGGAATGAAATTAGTTTTGGGAAGTTTCTCGAGGCTTCATCGGCCGAATTTGCCATAAATTGTTGGTTTCGTCCGCCGATCCTCTCCAGCATTAAATACTTTTGAGCTTCCGTATACTTTTGGCACTTTTTCTTTGGCTTAGCGCCATACAGATGGTACTGGTAGGTGGAGAGGTTGGATTGGCGGCTAAAATTGAAGACATCAAAAAATTTTATATATCACAAAGAAATGCCGTATTTTACATTATCAAACAATATATATATCATTTTTGAGCATTAGAGTACCAATAGTACCAAAAAATCATAGTACCATTAGCACTAAAAAATTATATTAACATATATCCAACTTACCGCCTTGCGAACGACTTGGTGCTATTAAACACGCCAGAACTTTTGCCATTCCACATAAAGTTACTGCCATTTGACTTCAAATCCTTCCCAAGATACTGGCTAGTACTGTTGTTAAAAATGATACCATTTGAACTAGTACTATTGGTACTTTCAACAAGTTTTGTCGAATTTTGACCAAGTTTCAGTGGTTTTTCAAATTTTTTAAGCTCTAACACATCTTCTGTAGTTTCAGTACCATTGGTACCATTTTCAAAATACGTAGAATTGCCATAAATACCATCTATTCTATCAAGCAATTCTTCAATACTATCATCGCCTTCATTTTGCATCATTTTTGGTGTTGTAGTAGGCATCAAAGTAGTAGTGGTCGATAAAATGGTCGTTTCTCGAAAGTTTTTAATAGTAGCGCCATTTTTAACAGTACCATTAAAGTCGACAGTCTTTTTACTATCAAAAACAATTTTATTTACATTGTTCCGCACATTAGTATTATTTAAAATGGCAGTTGTTTCAAGACCAATCCTTTCAGTACCATTACCCTTCAAAATGGTACCATTCCGAGCCGAAACAAGACCAATAGTACATGTTATCGTTAAAGACAAGTAAAGTAGCATACAGAGTAATTAGTTCGAGTAATTGTTCATGTTTCCACAACAACAAACAAACGTTATTCTCAAATGCGCGGCTCCTCGAGTGGTCACTTAAGCCGATCGAAACGCGGAAATAGCCAGAAATCGACTGTTTAGGTACTCATTTTAGGTATAAAATATTAAAAAAGTTTAAAATATTGTCATACTAAGTCATACCTAGCTCCTGGTAGCACAAAAGTAAGGTATATTAGGTTAAAAAAGGCTTTAAAAAAGTCTTGTCGTCGATTTACGTTGAAAATGATAATAAAAAACGACAAAACCTTTAGGAAACAAAATTTTTCTAAAAATTGATGAATGTTTTTTTACAAAACACAAAATGGCAAGAACTTTCTTTACAAAACATAAAATAGCAAGAACTTTCTTTACAAAACATAAAATAGCAAGAACTTTCTTTACAACAATTTTATTTTTAAAAAGTTTCAAAAAATATTTTTAAATCATCAAAATTTGATTTAAAAACGGCTCAACCAGGTAAACCGTGCCAAAATGAAGCACAATGCCAAAGAATACTGATACAGGCAGAGCTGGAGTAGTCTCGTCACCATCTGTCAACAAGGTCAAAGTCACCACCAATCCAATGACAATTCCAATCATAGGTGCGATTGTGCCCATAATACTTCCTGAAGACGCGGCTTGGCCAATTAGAAGACTGTAGAAGACAAAATCACCCATTCCTAGTCTAGCTGAGGCTGAAAATGAAATTTTCTTAATAAGTTAAACCGTATTTTACCGTACCCTACCCTACCCTATCCTATCCTACCCTACCCTACGCTACCCTGCTCTACTCTTGGGAGCCCCGTCTTAACCTACTCTCTCTTCTACGCATGCCCCTTCTTAAATCTACCTTTCACTACTTTTTTATACTGTAAGACATGTTCAGTCTAGTCAACTTACAATCATTCAGAGCATCAAGAGCAGTCTTTCCAATGACTTTCACTTCTTTTTGTTCTACTTCTTCTTCTTCTATTTCTTCCACATCATTCTCATCAAAACTTTCTTCTGATTCTGACTCCAAATGATCACCATTGCCTCCATCTTCATTAAAATTGTCATCTGAGTCTTCAGTGTTATCAAAATTGTCATCAAGTTCACCATTTTGATCTATTTCTTCTTCATCTTGAACTCTCCTAATATCCAAACCAGCTGCCATTCTTTCTTCATATCTCTCTTCAGAGGCTTCCGATGATTCTGAAACTTCTTCTAAAGCTTTAACATGCTTTCTGTAAACTTTTTGACCATAATATTCTTCAAATTCAAATGTTCTTGATACTTTTTGACCGTCTTTTTCCTTAATTTCTACTGTTTTTTCTCTAATTTCTACAGTTTCTGTCATTTCTTGGCCAAAATCTTCATTTTCCAGAGTTCTATAAACTTTTTGACCGCTTTCATTCTTCATTTTAGATTTGACTAGCCGTTTTTCTTCTTGTTTAGTCTCTTCTTCACCGGTGGAAAACATCAAAAACCTCAAAATATCTTCACCATAGTCGTGGGCAAAGCCGGTTATCTGCTTCAGTGGTCCCAATGGTGTCAAAACAGCAAACATATCTAAAAATGACATTGATTTTCATATTTATAGTTTTCAAAATGACATAATTTTAACAAAAAAGTAGGTTACTTATGTCTAAAATGGCATTATAACGAATATTTAAAAATTTGACGAAATGTCGCAAAAATTATTGGATTTCTAAAAACCGTATATGTATTTTAATTTTTGAAATAAACCGTATTTTACCATAAATTTTAAATTTTTACGTTATGTTATAGTGGTTTTAAAGTTTGGTGCAGAATGTAACAAAATGTCACAAAAATTATTGGATTTTTGAAATTTGACATATCGTCAAAAATTTTTAAATAATTAAAAAAAAGGTCAGAGAATGTCATTATTAAAAGTAACTTACCCCAAATAATGATGCTACTGAGTAGAAACCAAGCAGTTGAACCAGGCAAAACGCGAAGATAGAACATTGACACTAATGAGCAGTTACATACCACATAGAATTGATGTACACCAATCTTGAGCTTGGTCGTGAAGAAAGCCTGTAATAAACAGAAATAATATACCCAACCGTATTTTACCTATTCTACCCTACCCTACCCTACCCTACCCTACCTTTTAACTACCATACCCTGCCGTCTCCAACGCACCCCAATCTAAACCCTACCTTGACTTCATCCTACCCTATCATGTCTTTTCCTAAACTACCCTAAAAATCCACCCTATCCCATTTTTTAAACCTACCAAAACTCCAAATAGGCCATAGACCAAGGTAACGATTACTGCAGCAAGAGTGGCGTGGTTTTCCAGGAATTTTTGAGCCGCTACACTAAAATTTTAAAATTTGAAAAATTTTTAGAACGTACTGAAGGTCCAAGGCGTATTTAAAAAAATTTTTTTTTTATTTTTTTAGAATTTTGAAAAAAAACCAAAATTTAAAAAAATTTTTTTTAATTTTAAAATTTAAAACTTTTTAGTGTGGACAGAGGGGACAATCCGTATTTTACACAAAAAAATAATTTTTTCTAAGAAATTTTGAAGAATAATGTAAATAAAAAAATTTTAATTTTAAAAATTTTTTAATTTGGAGATTTTATATACTACAAAAAAAACACAACCGTATTTTACAAAAAAAGTTTTTTGATTTTTAAAAAATTTTTAAAGAAGTTTTAAATTTCAAAATATTTTTTAAATTTTTAAAATTTAAATTTAAAAACTCACTGAAAAAAGCTGAAAGAGACGCCAAAAGTGATGAGTAAACAAGAAGCTGTGAGCCAGAATTGAATAAACTTTTTCATTTGATAAATCGCCAAAACCACCATCACAAAGCTCAGACCGGCTACTGATCCCAAACACATCACTCCATTAATCTGAAACAGCATCCATACTATCTGCGCAAGACCGTATTTTACAAAACAAATGGCAAGAACTTTCTGTACAAAACAAAAAACGGCAAGAACTTTCTTTACAAAACTAAAAATGGCATTAAAATGAGATTCGTCGTATAAAATGTCACCTGCAGGTTGCAGAAAACAAAAGAAACCGTCTTACTAAAAAAAATAGCAAAAACTTCCTTTCCAAAACTTAAAATAGAAAGAACTTTCTTTACAAAAATAAAAATGACAAGAACTTTCTTTACAAAACCCAAAACCTACCACGCCATCATAAAATACACTGCCACTGTCCTGGAACAGCGACATCATTTCATTTTGATCCGACTTCATGCCATAAACATAGCACCATCCAATCAAGGTCAAGAACATGTTGATCATGACAGGCCAGATCAGGTCCACGACTTGTTTTAGCTGATGGCTCCAATAGGCAGCGAAATGGTCCCAAACTTGATCATGATTGGGTTTCGTCGGCGAGGGATGGAGAATATCGACCGGTTGGGTCCGCATGATTTATCCAAATTGAGGTTTTTTGAGTTTTTAAACTCATAAAACTTGAATTTTAAAAAATCTGAAATTTCTAAAATTTTGAAAATTTGAAATTTAGGTTTGAACTTCAGTCTTAAAAAAAGGTTTAGTGTTTGACTTGAGCTTATTGTAGCCTAAAATTGGAGTTAGAAAAAAGGGTTACAATTAGGCTCAGTCATACATTGTTATACTTAAGCTTTGTCCTTTTCTTAAGCTTGGAATCAGACTTAAAGTTAGGTTTAGACTTGAACTTAGACTTGGGTTTAAGCTATGTCTACAGCTAAGGTTAAGATATAGATTTAACACTTAAGTTTAAGCTAAAGTTAAGGCTAAAGCTAAGCCTAAGCTTAAAGCTGAGCTTGAGTCTAAGCCTAAGCCTGAGCCTAAGCCTGAGCCTATGTCTAAGCCTAGGCCTAAGCCTCAGCCTAAGCGCAAGCCTAAGCCTAAGCCTAAGCCTAAGCCTAAGCCTAAGCCTAAGCCTAAGCCTAAGCCTAAGCCTAAGCCTAAGCCTAAGTCTAAGCCCAAGCCTAAGCCCAAGCCCAAGCCTAAGCCTGCTATAACTAGGGCTCTCAGCTAGGGCTAGAAATTAGTTTTTTTTTTTGCATGTTATTACAAATTTGTCCTGCTATTCTCATGTAAATAGCAATCAGAAAAAGAGCCATTAAGTGGTTGTTAACATCCCAAAAATGTCTGCTATTTCAGAAATATGCTTTAGTTTTGTAAAACGTAGCTTTACATAAACGTTTTTAGGCTTGTACGAACGTGTTGTAATGAATTTTTTATATTTACTAAGCTTTTTATTATTAATGATGTCTGTGGCTGTGCAATGTAGCTTTGATGTTTGTAAGTTTTTCCAATTTACCTTACCCTAGTTTATTTTATCCTACCCTACCCTACCCTACCTTACTCTACCCTACCCTACCCTGTCCTCACCTACCCTACTCTACCCCACCCTGCACTATCATACTTACGCCTACTCTATTCCACCCTGCCTTATCTTACCCTACCCTACTCTACTCTACTTTGCCTCAAGCTAAGGCCCTCCGTCTCGCACTACTGTATCAAAACTTGTTTTACAGTACCTATTCACACCCCCTCTTTATTCTACCCAACCTATCTTGTCCTACCTTTCCCTAGGCTTTCCTGCTTTTCTTTACCTTACCCTTCCTTTCCCTACTCTACCATACCTTGCACTACCCTACTCTATCCAACCCTGCCCTCCTTTAAAAACCACCTCTAATCTAAAACTTACCTACCCTCCTCAAAATACCTTATCTCAATTCTACCTTAACCTACTTTAATACTACCCTAACATATTAACCAAAGTTTGAGACTAATCATTTTAGGTGGCATAATCGAAGCCGGTGAGAGTGCACGTTGCAGAAAGGCTTGCAAGGACAATGGATGGAACTATGGTTATTGTCATCTTTTATTAGGTTGTCAATGTGAATAAAAATATAAAAATAATCGTTTCATTACTGTAACATACAAGAAGTGCCGTCTCAGATTACGGTATCACATTCCACAAGAACTGCGAATAAAAATACCATCTCAGATTACTGTATTTCCGCCCATAAGAACTGCCATAACCACAACATCTATAAATGAGCCCGGTCATTACCGACCGGTCTTCCTCGGACCCTCCAAACGTCGGCGAAACTCCAATTCGGCCACTCAATACCCCTCTTTAGACACTTGGCCTTGGCCATTTCCACGATTTCCTTGGCCAAAACCTCTTGATTAGTACCAGTAACATCAATATAGTTACACTTGGAGCCATTAGCATAATGACATGAGATGGCCTTCCTGAAGCCATCAGTACGGTTAGTACCACTACCATGGATTAGAATAGGGTGAAAGAATACAGTATCCCCGGCTTCCATTTCGACATAGACTTTCTTCGTGTTTGGATCGTAGTCTTGAATACCGTAGTAGGCTTTGTTTACTCCGCCCTAAAAAAACTTTAATTAGACAAAAGGTAAGAGAGAGTTGCTTAAGGTAGGGCAGGGTAAGGCAGGGCAGGGTAAGACAAGAAATGGGAAGACAGAGCAAGGTAAAGCAAACAAAAGTAAAGAAGGGTAAGGTAAGGTGAGGCACGGTAAGGCAAGGCAGAACAGGGCAGGCAGATCAGCGTAAGGCGGGCAAAGCAGAGTAAAGCAAGGCAATGCAGAGTAAGGCAGGGCAGGTTAAGACAGATGAGAGTAAGACAAGACAGGGTGAGGCAATGCAAGGCAAGGGAATACAAAGCAGGAAAGATAAGATGCGGTAGAGAAGGGGTATGGTTTATTGAGCAATTTAAAACTTTGGGCAGGGTAAAACCCCCCCGCCCCCCCCCAAAAAAATTTTTTGAAAAAAGTTTTACTCCGCCCGCACCAAATCGAAAAAAATGTAAAAGTTAAAGATTTTTTTACTCTCCCCTTACCTCCCAGCCCCCCCCCCTCTTATATTTACCCCTCCCTACTTACCCAGGTCTACTCCCCTCTATTTACCATTCCCTACCAATTCCCTTGCCTTCCTGCCTAGTCCCTTAAACTACCCCCTCCTCCACTTTTCCACTCATCCTGCCCTGCTTACTCGCCCGTTTTTTGTATCATCTCTCCCCCCCCTCACATTTACCCTGTCTAACCGCTCTTATCTCCTTCTCCTCACCAGTCCAAAATCCCCGCCAAAACAAAATATAACAGTATAAAAACTTCCTTACCTCCCACTTCGGATAATGATGATCCAGCAATCTTCCCTTGTGACTTCCAGGCACCACCACCAAACATCCATTCTGTCTATTCACCTTCTCCATGGCAGTCCAGGCACAGCAAATGTAATCAGCCGGCCTGAACGGAAAATATTGTAAATCCTGATGCAGCGGATGTCTTGAAGTCAGCTTTCCAGAATCCGGAGGCTTGTTGATCAACATCGTGTGCATAGACATGATATTACCATCGTCAGAGCCAATCAAGTCGTTTACCACGTCCAAAATCGACTGATTTCGACAAAAATCGAACAAAACTGGGTCGAAGTTGAAGTCCTGAAGCTTTGTTATAGCCTTCTCGCCACTTTTGAACTCGGACTGGGCTATAGCAACATCACGCATCACTATCATCTCGGATGGAACGTTCTTTCCTTCACATATCTGGCGGAATCTGGTTCTGAAAAGGAGATTAGAGCTTTATTGGATTGGTTGAGGAAAACGGCAATAACTTTCTTTACAAAACAAAAAATGGCAAGAACTTTCTTTACAAAACAAAAAATGGCAAAGACTTTCTTTACAATACAAAAAATGACAAAAACTTTCTTTACAAAACAAAAAATGGCAAAAACTTTCTTTACATAACAAAAAATGGCAAAAACTTTCTTTACAAAACAACAAATTACATAAAAATTAGAAACATCGTATAAATTGTCACCCGCAGGCTGCAAAAAAGCAAAAGAAGCTTTTTATTGGAGTGTTTCAGGGAAAACGGCAATAACTTTATTTACAAAACAAATTTTTAAAAAGTGCAAATAAATTTTTAAAGCAAAGATATCATTTTATCAGTAACTTATAATTATTTTCAAATTTTATGTTTTTTAACCCATGTTTTGCTTTGTCATTAAAGCCCAGCCCAAAAATTTGAGAGAAATCACGATGGTTGGTCGAAAAATCGCAATAACTTTCTTTACAGTAAAAATCTAGAAAAGCGTTTTACAGATATAATAAATCATCTTAATCTTCACCATTTTCCATAAAAAGTTCCTATTTTTATTGAACTTTACCGGTCGTATTTTAATTTTGTTTAAAACAGCCTCTAATATCAAGTACAATGTTTAAAAAATTTAATATGGCAAAACTAAGTACGAATTTTAAAAATATAATAAACGATTACAAATATACTGTCATAGACTTACAAATAACGTTGTAGTTCAGCCTTTGAGACCACATTTTTCAGTACAATATAACCATTCTTATTATAGAACTCCAACTGGGCCTGGGACAAAACCTGGCCTGGTTTCGAGTAGTCTGGCTGAAAAAGTAAGAAAATAATGAATTTAAAACTCGTATTTTACTCAAACTTTGAAAAAAAATCTTATTTTTCTTTATCAGTCTATCTTTGGCACAAAAGTTCTCGGACAAAAATTTTTTTTTTGCCTTACCCTGCCTCTAAAAAACATCGTATTTTAACTCACCTTAGCCTGAGACATTATTTCCGAGTCGAAAATATCAATATCAGCTGGAGAAACGTGTGTTTACATGTATTCAGCTCGAAAATATTAAACATAACGACAATTAAAGGGACGCTACACAATCTGTAGCTATATCTTTCAAATTTAATTGAAATTTTTAAAAACAAGTCACGTGTAAGTAACAAATAAACGATTAATGGTCGTAAAAGATTCTTTTTCCTGTTCACAAGGTTTAACTTGCTGTGAATTAGAAAATAAATATAAAATTATATTTGTAGGTGGTTTAGTCAAAATCTTAATTATTAATAAAGTCATTGACAAATTATATCAAACCAAGTATGAAAATACAAAATTATAACTCTTTTCTCATTTTTACCATTTTAAAATTGTTTTACAATCAAAAAACACAAAGCATTAACATGTCTAGTTATTTCCACCACGAAAACAAAGCGCGCCAAAAGTTCTTGGCGTAACGTAGCAAATGAATATTGTTCGGAAATTAATTTTTTCCTACCATTTTCAGTTGAAAACTCTTGTTCTACATCAAAATGGAATCAAAGTTTCAGGTAAATCATACAAAATTAACAAAAAATGTATTATCTATGATATTTATTGTAAAATTTATGTTATTTTACACGTTAGAATGTAAAATTCAATTGTTCATGACACCACATACCTAAAATAACCTCTTTTTTAGCTGTCAGATGTAGTTGGAGCTGTTTTTCAAAATGGAAACCTGAAGTTCTTTGATAAAAACCATTTGGCATGCCCTATTGGAAACAGAGTTAAAGTTATGGACTTGAAAAAGTAAGTTGTATTAGTTATATTGTTATTGGTTTAGTGATGCATCTCATATCCTGGATTGTGAGTCAAACTTCAACATTGTTCATATGGCTTTCACAAAAGATGCTTCTATGGTTGCTTTGATCAATGAAAGTAAGAAATTTACATTTTGTTTATGTTTTCATTTACTTTCCTGATGTTGTAAACAAAAGCTCATTTTTCTACCTAAAATAACTTAAATTTTCAGTTGGAATTGCCAGTCTAGTATCATTAACTATGAACAGTGTTGTTTATCAACGTAAAGTTGGAAAGAATGTCAGATGTGCTGCATTTTCACCGAACAACAAGTATTTGGCTTTTGGTATGGATGGTTATATTGCTATCTACGCTGTGGACACACAATGCATTAGTCCAGAACCGCTAAGGCTTCTTAGTCGAAGGCAGTTTGCTAACATGTCTTCCCAAACGACATTCACACATTTGGAATGGTCTTTTGATTCAAAGTAAGGGGTTTCTTCTGTTTTTCTTGTTTTAGACATGGGTAATATCGGAAAATGTCGTATATCTTAGAGGCTTTTATTGGATGATTCTGGATTTTAAATATGTGTTAAAGACAGAAATGATACAACTTTTAGGTTGTTGACAGTTTCTTCCAACTCTCACATTCAACGAGTATATGCACCATTAAAGGCTTTACCTCGCTTTAACTTGTTATCATTGTCCGAACGGTCAGAAGTTGTTGGTGGATGGTTTAGACGGGATCAAACATATGATGTATGTTCTTTGTTTGTTTGTTTTGCTTTTAGGTATTAAAATTGGCAAGAAAGAAAAGAATTCATCAAGCTGCGAAGCATTATATTTTAGTACCTATTAACTGACCAAATGGAGGTTATAATTTGATGAAAAGCTATTCATTTGTAGGTATTACTGGTTACGAAAAGAGGTTTGTTAACAGAATACGATGCTTCTCTAACTCCAGGAGAGGTATCAACACCATTGGACGATGATCAAACCTTCAAGGAGGGCAGGATGTTCTACAAGTTTAACGAAAAGTAAGATTTTTGGTAAAATACGCCTTTTCTTTTATTTCCTTCTACATTGTACATTGAAATAGTTAATTATCTTTAAGAAAGAGCTTTGTAAACCTTATAAAGGAAAATTATGTTGTTTGATACTCAAAAATCGCTGAAATATTGTTTTAGAGCAGCAATATACGACAAATTCGAAAGTCAAGGCCGGCCGAATGTTGTTTCAGCAGCGTTTTCAAAGCCAAACGAGCTGTTGGCTATTGGATTTGAGAATTCAGAGATTGTTATTGTCAAGTTGAGTATGGGTATGCATGTCACGAAACATTTAAAGTGAGTTATTAGCGCTTTTCAGGTGGAAGTAACCTTATTTTAGCTTATTTTTAGCCTTATTTTAACCAAAAATCGCTCAAAACCTAATTTCAGTCTAAACCTGAACCTCCGAATCGAAGCCATCGACCTAAACGATCATCTCCTAGCCTTTGGTACAGGCCGCGGCTACAATGGTGCCCTCTACGTCTGGGACCAACGCTCCGAAATCTTCGCGGTCAAGCAACAATCTCACACGAAAACCATCAGAACAGCCGTATATTCACCATTGGGCCATGTTCTAGCCACAGGCGGTGACGATGGTCTAGTCAAAATCTGGAATTCAGAATCCGCAATGTGTATCGTGACATTGAAGGGTCATTCAGCACCAGTCACATCGCTTTGTTTTACCGAAAATGGCAATGCAATTTTGAGTGCATCACTGGATGGACAAGTTATTGCACATGACATGAAGAAGTACCGTAACTTCCGGACGATGGTCACTCCAAAGGAAACACAGCTGGAACATTTGTGTGCTGACAAAGAAGGACTGAATTGCATTGCGTCTTCACAGAATACCTTTGAGATATTCGTGTGGGCCATTGAGACTGGCAATTTGTTGGAGATCTTGACTGGTAAGGGGACTTTTAATTAGGGGGGGGGGGGGGGGACTGTAGTTTAGGGTAAGTCATGGTAGCGTAGGGAAAAGTAGGACAGGGTAGATTAAGGTAGAGTAGGGAAGATTAAGTTAGGGTACGGAAAATTGGGACAGGGTAGTTTTGGTTACGGTACGCTTAGGCAGGGTAGAGTAAGTTAGGGCAGGGTAGAGTAATTTAAGGTGGGGAATGTTAATTTATGGTACTGTAAAGTATGATAAATGTATTATTTTTGTGTTTAAAATGCTTTTTATGGCTTAAAATGGCATTTTGGAGTTTATATTGAAATGTGTTGCGACGACAGTCGCATTGTTAAGAAAGGGCGTATTGTTATTGCCAACCGGATGTTGTGAGAAAGTTCCGTCTAATTTGCGTATCCTTTTCATTATTTAACTTAAGGTGGGTCTGAGAAAGTTGGGTAGATTTTAAGGGGTGCTTTACTATACGGTATTTGGGAATTTTGGGTTTTATGACAGTTCATGATATTCGTATCTTTAGTATATGTTATTTTGATAATTTTTCGAGTTTAATTGTATGTAATAAATATACAGGTTCATTAACCCAAGTTAGAGGTTATTTACAAGACGAAGGAAGAGACTTTGCCACAAAATGGTACTAGTGGTACCAATGGGTGTACCAGTGGTACTAAACAGTGAGCCAAAAAGAATTTTTTCTTGTTTTATGACTTTTTATTGAAAAATAGAGTATTTTTGAGTCTGGTACTAAAAATGGTGCTTTTAGTCTAGGTTTAGCTTTACTTTACCTTATAGTAGCACTGCTTTTATTCTAGTCTTTCCCTAGCCTTGTTCTACTATAACCTTAGCTTTATTCTAATCTAGTTGTCACAAAAATTCAAAATTTTTTACAAAATTTAACAAAAAACTCTAAAAATTATATTATTCAAGGTCACACTGCCCCAATCACAGCCCTCTCCCTCAACGGCCTGAAACTAGCGTCAGCTTCGATGGACAAAACGGTGAGGATCTGGGACGTGACTCGGATGGAGAACGAAGCCATCCAGTTCGGAAAAGAGTGTGTCGACGTCAAATACTCTCCAGATGGCTTCTACCTAGCCGTCCTCCTATTCGACTCGGCCGTTCACGTTCTGAGCGCCGAAACCAACGCCGAAATCTACATCATCGACTCGAAACTGGACATGGATATCGGATGGCAAAAGGGCAATTTGTCCAAGAATTCGGTCGAAAAGAACAAAAGTTACAATAGAATCGAGTTCTCACCGACCTCGAAGCTACTACTGGTTGGTGGACAGTCGAATAACTTTTCATTATACGACTTTGTACAACATTCGTTGATAAGAAGGTTTAGGCTGACTGCGAATCAGAGCATCGATGGGACTAACGTGGGTTTTTGAATGGGGTTTTAGGCTTAAGAACATGGGGTTTGAAGGTATATCGAATGGGATTTTAGGCTTGAAAAAGTGAGGTTTTAGGGTATAACAAATGGTGTTTTGGGGTTAAAAAAGTGAGTTGTAGGCTTCCGAAAGTGGGTTTTTAGGGTTAAGAAACCGGGTTTTTAATTTTTTTTTGATTTTAGGCTAAAAAATGGGTTTTTGGTTTTAAAAATTGGCTTACAGGGTCAAAAATGATATTTTAAGGGCCTATAGTTTTAAAAATGACGGAAAAATTTTTTTTGACAAAAAAGCTATTTTTGCATTTAATTTTAAAAAAAATATTATCAATTTTATTTTCAGCCCAGATTCGATCCACTATCTTACCACTCTCAACAAATCGACGCCTCCGACGACGAAAACGAAGTGGAAGCCATTTCGGCCCCAGGCGAAGCCAAAAAAGACCTCTCCTTGCGCAAATTCGACCGACCATCAATCGAACTAACCGAATTCGCCTACAATCCAACGGGTCGATCTTTTGCCGCTGTCTCCACCGAAGGCGTTATGGTATTTTCGTTGGATAAACGACGCCGATTCCGACCAATGCGACTGGTCGAAGGCGCAACGATAGAAAAAGCTCAAGAATTATTGGACAAACGTGAATATCATCAAGCTTTGTTGATGGGATTGGCGTTGGATGATAAGGAGCTGGTGGAAAAGGTGTTGGTCCAGATTCCAACTGATGAAAGTGGGTTGTTACCTAAATTTTTAAAGGTTGAGATTTTCAATAATTGATGTTGTCATAGTGAATATTAAGGTTTTAAAGGGCTTTTCAAAAGGAATTTTGATTATTTTGTGATTTTTGGGTTTTTAGAGCAATTTTTGTTTTTTTGGTACCATTAGTACCAGTGGTACCAAAAAAGGGTACCAATTGTTTTTTGGAATCGTTTAAGGTAAAAAGCTTGTTTGGAGACTTTTGAGATACTTATAAAGAATTTTTGATCCTTTGGTACTAGTGGTACCAAAAAATTTAAAAAAAAATTTTTTTTGAAAATTAAGTTTTTTTGTGACATTTTTAATTAAACTATCGTTATCAGTCCAAACCAAAATCACTAAAATATTTTTTTAGTCCAAACCGAAGTCCAACGTCTAGAAGACCAAGTAGCAGTCGAACTACTCCGTTACCTCGGTGCCAACATCAACAAGATTGCCAAAGTCCGAATTCACCATTACCTACTCATTTGCCGTCATCTGGTCTTTCAATACGCTCAAACCTTCAAAGCCGATAACACATTGACAGATGCCATCACATCATTGCAATTCTTCGTCAAAAGCCACAAAGACCTACTTCAAATCATCGAATCCAACAAAGGATTAATCGATTTCGAGTTGACGCAAAGACAGTTTAACGAATTGAACCGGGAAATGAGGGAAATGAAACCGGCTGGGGCTTAAAGTGGAAAATTTTGGAAATGGTGTGGGTTTTTAAATATGAACTTTTGAAAAAGACTTTTGAACTTTTGAAAAAGACTTGTTTTCTTGTTTGAAGGTTCAAAAGTGATTTTGATAAATAATTTTGGTTTCTTTATGATTTTTAAGCTATTTAGAACATTTTTGTTTTTTGGTACTATTGGTACCATTTTTGGTGCTAATGGTACCAAGTGGTTTATCAAGCTTATTTTTTGATTTTAAAGTTTAAAACGCGTATTTTTAATGTTTGAAATCACTTTTGAGGTATTTTGGATGTATGGTACCATTAGTACCAGTGGTACCAAATAGTGTACTAAAAATTTTTTTGTCTTGAATGCCTAAAATTCCTATTTCTAAGGTTTTAAATCACTTTTAATGCTTTTTGGAGGTATGGTATCATTAGTAAAAGTGATAGCATTAGTAAAAGTGGTACCATTAGTACCAATGGTACTAAAAAATGTTGTTTTTTGAATTTTTGTTACGTTTCTTTGTTGTGTTATTCATTTACTTGTTACTGTTTCTTGTTGTTTCAATAAATATTTTGGAAAAAACAAGATTTTGATCCAATTGGACGAAGCTAATATTGATATTAGTGTATGGATGGACAAAATTAAATGTAATTCAAAAAAAACTATTATCCAATTGAACAATTTTGAGTGCAAATAAAAGCTAACAGTCTAGACTACGAAATTTCACAACAATAATTTAGACTTATAATTGGATTGAATTGCCTGTGAATCATAAAATGGTTTTAAAAATGATAAAACAGCCTCAAGGCATTAATTTTTATTTAAAAATAAACAAAAATGAGACTATGGCTTCTAGTTATATTTCTTTTGGTTTTTCTTGCTTCTGAAGTTTGTTGTTGTAAGTGATACAGTAGGATATAATACTGTAGAAGAGCTTGTCATACTGTACTTGTTTGAGGCGATTTTCAGATGGTACTGTTTTTTTTAGGTGGTACTGCTCTTTTTCAAGCTGGTACTGCTCTTCTTCAAGGTGGTACTGCTCTTTTTCAAAGTGGTACTGCTCTTGTTCAAGGTGGTACTGCTCTTCTTCAAGGTGGTACTGCCCTTTTTCAAGGTTGTACTGCTCTTTTTCAAGGTGGTACTGCTTTCTTACGTGCTACTGCTCGTTTTCAAGGTGGTACTGCTCTTTTTCAAGGTAGTACTGCTTTTCTTCAAGCTGGTACTGCTCTTTTTTATGGTGGTACTGCTCTTTTTCAAGGTGGTACTGCTCTTCTTCAAGGTGGTACCTTCGTTTTTATAATGATAATGCTCTTTTTTTAGGTAATGATCAAGACTGCTTTCTATGGTGCGTAGGACGAGGCTATACAACTGGCTATTGTCGGCTTATTTTCTATTGTCATTGTGTGAAGTAGGTGATGGAAAGGTATGGCAAATACCTTCTGAATGACAGGAATTTGCAAAAACATTGTTTTTTACAAAATTTTAAATTTTACGTTTTAATAAAGCTACAGAGCATAATTAGTCAAGTAATCATCTACATTATTCAAGGCTCAAAAGCTATCAAAAGTTATTAAAACTATTAAAATTTTGAAATACTAAAATTTAAAATTTAGCTAAACTAATTCATACTTTTATGTATTTACCCATCAAAATCATTTTAATAAGCCTGAGAATGTTGAGAACAATATTTTAATGGGTAGAACGTTTAAAAGCAAATAAAGCAAGAAGTTATTTGCATGTAAAGTTAGGGAAAAGCGCTATAAAATGCGTTTAAAATTGTTGAAACAGTCCATTTATAAATTGTTTGATTAAAAATTGTCAAAAATGAGAGTTGGAGTTGTAATTCTGCTTCTGGTTGGTTTCTCAAGTTCAGTCATGTGAGTAGTACTGTATCTTACCCTACCCTACCCTACCCTACTCTACCCTACCCTACCCTACCCTACCCTACCCTACCCTACCCTACCCTACCCTGTCTTACCCTACCCTACCCTACCCTACCCTACCCTACCCTACCCTACCCTACCCTACCCTACCCTGTCTTACCCTACCCTACCCTACCCTACTCTACCCTACCCTGCTCTACTCTACACTGCCCTTACTTCTACCACCAAATAACCTATAATATACTAATAATGTGCATACTGTAACATTTTTAGACCCCCACGACGACCGAAAATGCATGCGTGATTGTGAAGCCAAAGGTTACGACACTGGAATCAGTGAATATAAATATCCTCTATCTATTTGCGTTTGTTGCAATTTTGTGAAGGTAAACGGCACTGAAACGCTGCAAGAGATGGAAATTATAGTTTAAAACATTTTAAAAACCCTTTATTTATGTTAAACATGACATTATGGAATTGATGATAAGTTGTTTTAATAAAAGTTTATTCAGACGGCTATACAGAGGCTTTTTGAGAGCACATTTTGGGGGTACATTTTTAAAATTTTAAAAATTTTGAAAAATCGACCAGTTGATAATTAAAAATCACTAAAATTTTGAAAAATACAATTAAATTTCAAAAAAATCACCAAAACTTCAAAAAAAATTTTTTAAATTTAAAACTCAAAATCCAAGTAAGTGATACTGTAGCATAAGATACTGTAGAAGAGAATTATCAAAAATGCCGGGTTTAAAGTAGTACTGTTTTTTTAAATGGCACTTTTTTCCATGTGCTACTGCTTCCTTTTAAGATGTAACTGCCTTGTCTAAAATGATACTACGCATTTTTAAAGTTCTACTAGGCTTTTTTAAGATGGTACTGCTCTTATTTACAATGGTTTCTACCTTACCATGCTCTAATCTACCAAAAACAGTGGACGGGGTAACCCCCCCCCCACAGGAAAAAATTTTCGACCCCCGCCCCCAACCCAAAAGTGCCAGCCCGGTCTTGTTGGCTACCAAACAGTAATTAAAATTTACAAATTGTAAGCCAAGCTATTTGACGTTCTTAATGTAATTACCATCGAAATCATTTTAATAAGCCTGAGAACGTTGAGAACAATATTTTAATGGGTAGAACGTTCAAAAAGAAAGAATTTATTTACATGTAAAGTAATTATCAAATCCCTATATAATAAGTTAAAAATTGTCGAAAAAATTCATTTGAAAACTGTTTGGCAAAAAAATTGTCAACAATGAGAGCTGGATTTGTAATTCTGCTTCTTATTGTTTTGCTGGCTTCTGAAGTTCAATCATGTGAGGATTACGGTATTTTTAATTTTTTAGGCATAAAGGACAGAGCTAAAAAATTTTTTCTATTTTAATCGTATCGTGTTTAAGATTCACCTTGCCCTACATTATATTACCCTACCCTACTCGGCCCTACCCTACGCTACCTTACCCTGCTCTACTGTACCCACCCTACCCTAATCAGCCTACCAAACCCTACCTTATCTTACTTTACTCTGCCCTACCTAGACCTGTAAAAGAGCCAGAGCAAACTCAATTTCTCAGCCCGGCGTACGGGCCTTAGTTCGAGTCCGGCTTTGGACCCTACGGCCCGGTCCAGCCTCTTTCAAATTTGTTAAGAGCCGGGCCGAGTGGGGGTTCTTTCAAGTCTATTCCTATCTTACTCTACACTACTCTATCTTGCAATACCCAACCCTCTAGCTTACCCTACCCTACTCACCTCTACCTTGCCTTCCCTTACGGCCATGACTACTGTTACTAACTGTACTATAGTTCAGAGTGCGCAAAAAGTTCTGTTGCAAAACTTTACCGGTCGTTTTCTCTATGTTGCGATTAAATTATTTAAAATTTTTTATTTTACTAAAACAATTTATCTTTGTACACATAACTTTATTAAGATAATATACTAATAATGTACATTCGCTAACTTTTTAAGGCCCTTTGCACCAAGACAGATGCACTCGTGACTGTAAAGCCCAAGGTTATGAAACTGGAACTTGTCAGTGGATTTTCTATTGTATCTGTTTTAATTGGGACACGGTAAACGGCAAACAAATAATGAAAGACATGAAAGTTTTTTACTCATAGATATAGACTTCATAGACATACCCATAGAAAAAAATATCTTCAAAAACCTAAAAATTATATTAACCATGCCATTATGAAGTGGATAACAAGTTGTTTTAATAAAATTTTATTCAGGCAGTTACAACAAGCAAAAAATTTCATAAAAACCAACAAGTTATTTTTAATTTAAAAATGTTTTTAAAATTTCAAAAAATTTTAAAATTCAAAAACCAAACCATATTACCACACAATCGGACATCGTATGTACAACTTATACTCCATAGCATCAAATTCAGTGTCACATTCGTTGTAATTCAGCCGATATGGCAAGAAAATATCCAAAATCGCCCTTTTGTTATCTAGAATAACAACCACTCGATCTTCATTCAATTTACATCGTAGACGTTTAACATCCGTTACTGGATCTTTCTCATCATTCACATCTAACACTATTTCCACGATTTTACCAGCCATCAAATTGGCAGTGAACTTTTGGCCGGAAATGGCTGGAGTTGGCTCTAGGTCTTCCTAAAACAATATTATAGACTAACTCATACCTAAACCCTTGGAAAAACACAGCCAAACCTTTCTAAAACAATCAACATACCGCATCAATACATTTACTGCTGTTATCTTCCTTAATAAGACATTCTGCCGGCGATTTTCTTATCCTCTGCTTATTCAGCTCATCCCAATGTTTGTGCTTCCTCAATGTTTTGTGTGATTTCACTTCGATTACCAAATTATGTTGCCTTTCAATTGAAGAACAAACTACCATGAACAATAATTGACGGTAAAACTCGGAGCCATCAACGTATTTCTTGTAAAAAATAGAGTTGATTATAACGTCCACCTGAAAATTGGTGTCTATGATAATATTAGCCATAACGTCGGTTATATGTGTACATTTGCAGAAAAAAAGTCTTAAAAAAAACTTCTAATACTTCTCTACAACCTCAAAAGCAAATCTAAAAGTTTCCACTCAGTTATCGTCTTCATTTTTTTAAAAAGTTTTGATGAAGGTTAAAATTGGTCCAGCTAAGATAATATCCGTCATAAATAACGTCTTCTCAAGCTTTTTCTTTAAAACACAACTCAAGACATCCCTCATAATTTTTACTACAATTCAAAAACCATTTTATAAAGTTTAACAGCCTTTATCACTTCCATTTCATTGATATTATCCATGCTCATCAAACTAAAAACACAAAAATCAAATTAATAACGCACCTTTCTAGCAGCATCTCCCTTAAGATCTTTAGATGTTTCCAAGACTCCGACACACGTAGGAATGTTAATATCGTCCGGATTCGTTTCCAGTTTCCTTAACATATCTTCTTCATCCCATTCGCCTCCCATCGGGTGTGGAATTTTGGTCGAATGACAGATATTCACAAAGAGTTTTGACGGATGTGGCTCGGATCCAACATTTCTACACTGTAAAAGATGTTTTTATAACGTTTTCATGGTTTGTATTGTCATAGAGCTATTACTACGAGAGTTTCAAGTCTGAACACAGAAAGAATATAACTTTCTGAAGGTTCTATAGCTAATTACCGTCGTTTTAACCACATATCCAGCTTCAGGAGTCACAATCCAATAGTCTCGAGCTTCTTCAGCAAGCTCTTGAGCTGTATCATTCACTTTCATCTCGGTTTTTGTTGAGCTTCACAATTTTTCAACAAAAAATAATATTTTTTACCGATTTATTTTAGCTCTACCACGAAAGATTGCTAAATTTGCGCGTTTGGCATTATGTATTAATATATTATTTTTGGCAAAAAGAAAGCTAAAAAAAAGGCTTGAAAAGGTGGTTTAATTAGATGTTTCATTTAAATTTGCTTGTTTTTAAATTTTTCTGAAGGTATAGTTAGTTTACCTACAATATTACGTTTCATCGTTTCTAGCGAGTTTATGCATGTTAACTTACAGTTTTATTTAATTTAATTCTAAATTATTATAGGTTTGAATGCCCAGACCAATAGACGCTCCTGGGAGAGACCGCCGAAGTTTTAACGAACGTGATTTTGAGCGTCATCGAGATCACAGTCGGCACAGCACTCCAGGAGGCTACCAGAAGGTCAATTATAGAGAAGTCTATGGAAAAAGTAACGGAGATTACCGTAAACATAATGGCAAGCACCATGATGAACATAGACGAAGTTTTAACGAGAAAGACAAAGAGAGAAAGCATAAGGACAAGGAAATTCGAAAAAATGTTGAGGTAGGCGACGTTGTTTTCGGATTTTAGGTATGAAGTTGATGATCAAATTTGACAAAATTAGTGTTAAAAGATGCGCATGGTTTTGCACAAGTTTTTAAAATTAACTACAAGGTTTTGAGAATTGACCTTACGTTAGTAATTTATTGATTTTATACAGAAGGTCGTAAGCTATCTAAAATAATATAAGTTTTGACCGAAACCTTAACTTTCTTTAAATCTACACGAAAGTACATACCAAAACTAAATGGATGAGCATTTTTCAGCCTTTAATAGTTGATGAAATGGCAGATATCATAGAGAAGAAGATAAAAAAGGAGGATTTTATTATTTTTGTCAGTGAGACCGGATCAGGAAAAAGTACCAAAATACCACAAATCGTGATAGACCGAGTGTTTAAAGGTGATGATCGTGCTTCAGTAGTTGTAACACAACCTCGACGTGTGGCTGCATTAAATTTGGCACGACGTGTGGCTTATGAACGGCGATGCAAAGTCGGAGAAGAGGTGGGTTGTGGGTAATATTGGCTTGTTTTTTTTTATGTTTTGAAACAGTAAAAAATATGTTGTAAAATACGTAATGGTTACCGATACATGAAAAAAAAATGTTTTAGGTTGGTTACAAATTCCGATTCGAAGACGAAACATCGAAAGAAACCAAGATCAAGTACGTTACTGATGGTATTCTTCTAAAAGAGTTGGTATACGATCGACAACTGAAAGATTACAAGTGTATCATTATCGATGAAGTACATGAACGCAGTGTAGATACGGATATACTTTTACTACAGTTGAAGAAGCTTGCAGCGGAAAAGAGACACAAGATTATATTGATGTCAGCTTACACTGATGTAGAAGCTTTGAAGGCGTATTTTGATGGTGTAGAAGCTTATTATATACCCGGGAGGTCTTTTGATATTGAGGTAAGATGTTATTTCCTATGATTTTTTATGATTTAGAAGGATTTGAGAGGTTGAGGTTGAGCCGTGATGCTTTTATATTATAGTAGGTATCGATTTGAAAGCACTTTGGATTTTTTCATTTTTCTGGTGGTTAACTAAGCTAAATGGCTTGTTGATGATATTTAAGGTATATTTTAGACCAATCTCTTTAATTTCAGACATTTTTCATACCAGATCCGGTTGACGATTACCTAGACTTGTCTCTTCGAACAGTCCATCAACTTCACCAAACAGAGCCAACCTCCAGCGCCTTTCTAGTCTTTCTTACCGGTCAAGAAGAGATTCAAACGGTTGTGAAAACGCTACGAAATGCATTACAAGACGCAGATGTATTTGCCTTTTACGCAGCCTTGGGGCATGACAGGCCAAAATTGTTCGAAATTTCAAAAGATCGACGGAAAATCGTTGTCGCCACGAATATAGCAGAGACTTCGATCACAATTCCAGATGTTAAAGTGGTTGTGGATTCGGGAAAAGTGAAACAGAAGTTAGTTTTTTGATTTGGAGAGGTTGGCGGGGGTTTTTTTGGGGTTGTACGATATTGTAGTAGGTATCAGACGACCAAGTTTTGAAAAAAGGTTGTTTTTGATCTTTATTGACGTTTTTCATTTCTAGATGGACAACAAACTCCCTTCGAATGGACCAGTTAATCATAAACAACATATCCAAAGCCCAGGCAATCCAACGTGCTGGCCGTGCCGGACGTACTGGCCCAGGCAAATGTTATCGCTTATACACACAAGATCAGTACGATAAGTTCACGGATCAAACAGTACCAGAAATTGAACGGTGTAACCTGAGTGAAGTGGCGTTGATGTTGTTGGATATGAGGCATCCAAAGCTGTCCAAAGTCGATCTTCTGAATAACCCACCGACCAAGGCATGGGAAGACGCTTTGTTCGAACTTTATGCTTTAGGCTTGATTCAGATCTTTGAAGGCGTGAATAAAATTGATAAAGGAGCATTTTATTCGATGGATATGAATGAGAAGTTGGAGTAAGTTGGCTAGTTTTTTGGGGTTTTAAACGGTTTTTGGGGATACGAAGGGGGTTTTGGTAAGAAAAGTTGATGTTAATGAGTGATAACTGTCTTTTGAGTTAAGAATGTGTCGTTGTATCTTAAATGAAGGTAATATAGTGTATGATGCGTAGTATACTACAAGGATTTGTTGCTACGTTACCTACATTTTGAGAAATGATCAAAAAATGGCATTAACCATGAATAATATAGGGTTAGGGTAAGGTAAATTGGCTATAACTGATTTCTAAGCTAATGATACTGCAAGATTTTTTAACTATATGTTTAGTAGAGTATTATGGATAGTATGGTACAAGGATTCACTTTTATGTTACCTAATTTTTGAAAAATCATAAAAAGAGACATCATAACAAGGTTAATATAGGGTAGTGTAAGATAAATAGGTCATAACTCAATTTTTATGTAATCAACAGAGGTGATATGTCATTTTAAGGTATACTAGGGTTTTGTAAGTATAATACAGTAAGTTACATTACAGTATGGCTTCTAATTTTTGAGTTATGACCAAAAACATGGCTTCAGCCCATTAAACTCTTTTTTTAGGCAAAAATACACCCTAACAGCCCAAGGAAACAGTGTCAGACCGATCCCAGTAACACCCCAACTAGCCCACTTCATCTTACAATGTAGCCACTTTGATATGGCACAGTCCGGCATCTCGATAGCGGCGGTATGTTCGACGGGCGAGGAGATGTTCTTCATGATTCGTGATGATATGGAAGAAGCTAAACGGTCAGCAATTCAAAGCGAACGGGAAAAGTTACTGAAGGGCAGTACGTCGGACTTCATCGCACTATTAAAGCTGGCAAGGCAACATCGGAAGGAGGTGGAGTCGGTTTGGGTAAGGGTGGTTTTGGAGGTTTGGGGGTGGTTATAATGTGAAAGTTGGGAGAAAAGTGGATTTTGTTACCTAAATTAAAAGAAAATGGGATTTTGATACCTAAAATTAACAGAAAATGAAATTTTGATACCTAAAGTTATAAAAATTGGCATTTTGTTACCTAAAATACCAAATTTGGCCGTTTTTGTTACCTAAATTGAAAAAACTTGAAAGTTGTTACCTAAAAATCAATTTTTTGATGGATTCGACTACAAGTGTTACCTAAAAAATCAATAATTATTGAAATTTCAGAGAAAAGTTGAGAAAGAAAACATGCTGAATCCACGATTCTTCAAGGAAATTACAAAAATTCGGCGCCAGATAGCAGTACAATGTGAGAAAAAGAGTATTTGTAATACCAAAAAGGACAAGGAGCTTGGATCTGACTTTGACAGATGCTTTGAGTAAGTTATTGTGGCTAAAAGTGGCATAAAAGCCCTTTTTTTTGGGAGTTTTAGGTCGTTTGTCGGCCGATTTTTGGCTGTTTTTGGGCTTTTTTTGGCCGATTTTAGCCCAAAAATTAATTTTTTTGATATTTTTTAAAAGTTTAACATCTTACCATTTCCAGCAAAGCCATAGTCGACAGCTTCTTCTTCAACACCTGCATCCAGTCCCGAGACAAAGACAACACCTACTACCTTCTCCTAGACCCATCAGTCAAAGTAAAAATCCACCCAAGCTCGGTCCTGGCACGAAAATTCCCGAAAATGTTTGTCTTTCATGAACTAGTAAAAACCAACGAAAACTACGCCAAAATGATCCACCCCATCAACGCCGAACTCCTGGTGGATAAACTAAAAACGGCGGAGATACCAGGCCTATTGGAACGCATCAAAGGCGGCTAAACCCTGTATTTGTTCACTTATTGTTGATTTTACCTTGTTATATACATTTGAATTAAAGAAATCTAACGTTGTGTGATGAGGATGTTGAATTTGATTCAGATAGAACAGGTTGTTCGCCTGGAAATACTTAAAAATTATATTGTTCATGATAATATTGGTGGTGGTCAAGGGATTTTTGTTATATTGTCGTTGATTTAAATGATATATTGATGGTTCCTAATTAATATTGTAACCAAGAAAGCTGTCTTACTATATTTAATAAGTTTGGCATATTAGAAAAGGTTTGACGACATTAAAATAGCTGTTTTTATATTACACTAGACATCAGATAGAGGTATCTAGGAAAACAGATGTATCTTTTGGAATTGTGCCATTTCTGAGTGTCTTATGAGTAAAATACGATTTTTAGACCATTGTTTATTTTTAGAAATTTTTTTAGGTTTCTAGAAATTTTAATTTTGATTAAAAAAACAATTTTATATTACACTAGGCATCTGGTGACGGTAGGCATAAAAGTTGATGTAACTTTAAAAATTTTTGTTATGGTGTTTTGAGTAAAATACGACGAATAATACTGGCCTTTTCCTTAAGATAATTTATTTTATTAAAAAATTGTCGAATTTTACAAAAAAGTTGATTTTTATATTACACTAGACATCAGATGGAGGTAGTTGGGTAAATTGATGTAACTGCTTGATTTTTGATATTATCAATTATGTTTAGGGTAAAATACGATATTTAGCATTGTCTCCAAATCAGTTTTGTTCAACATTATTGAAATAGCGAATTTTTCCGAAAAAAAATATATTTTTATATTACACTAGACATCTGATAGAGGTTGTTGGGAAAATTAATGTAACTCATTGAATTTTGATCGTATTGTCACTGTTTTACTTATAATGAACGCAAAAAATCCAGACCCATATTTTACATTCACAATTTTTACAAATTTGACAATGAACCCACAGTTTCAGGCTGTCAAAATGATGTCCGGCCGCATTCCCCAACCTCAAGATCCGGAAGAGCTGAACCGTCAGAGTTATTCGAACTTCCTCCAAATCCCACAAAACGCCATCAATCGAGACAACGTACTTACCTACTTTTGCGACCCCAAGAACCCCTTCTACGATAATCAGTCGGATAACGAGCAGTTGCGGATGCAACGGCAAAGCACAATGCCAAATGGCATTGCCTTCATTGAGGACATGCTGCCACAGTTAAAGTGAGTGCGATTTAAATTTGGTAAGATTGTAAGATATATGAACTTTCTGATGGCTTACGAGTCGTTTTGAGTTGATTTCTGTTTGTTTTGAGGAATTTCATGTTTTCGTGATGAGACCAAAAATTTAAACCCAAAAAAAAACGAAGTTTTAATTTATATTGAAAATTACTAAAAAATCCAATGGCGAATAATGTTTGTACAGACACTTAAAACATTTTACAACGTTTTTTAAAGTATTCAAGTTTTCGTGTCAAGACCTGAATTTTTTTTTGAAAATTAAGTTCATACTTGGAAGTACATGTAAAATACGTGCTTCAAACCTACGTATGCAAAAATTTTTTATTTTAGTCGCATGGTGAACGGAATCCAGTATGTTGTACATGATGGTCAGCCGCCTTTATTTGTAATACGAAAACAGCGACGGACGAGTGTTAGTCAATGTAAGGAGGTTTTAGAAGGGTTGTTGATGGCTTTTTGAGTACATAAAGTTATTTTTGACATGTTTTTGAAAAAATTTAAAAAAAAATTTTTTTTGAAATTTTATGAGATTTTTAAAAATTTGAAATTTTTACGAAAAAGATGGTAAGTATCTAATATTGACCATTTCGAGACCAACCCCTAGCCTTTTACTACGTCCTAAACGGCGTAGTGTACCAAGCCCCCTCCATCTACACCATAGCCCAATCTCGACTGGTCGGAGCCGTAGAACCGCTGAAAAAAGGCTTTACAGAAGCCCTCTCCTACCTAAGATTCAATGTGAACAAAGGCTACTATTGGGAGTTCAAGGACGGTCAAAAGAAGAGTGGCTCCAAGGAAGAGCCCCAAGAAGTACCAAACAGTCAGAAGAAGGAGGACGAGCCATGGAACACCAGAGCGACGCCATATCAACACAATAGGACAGAGATGCTGTTAGCCTATCTGAAGGAAGAGTTTTCGACCGAAAAGACGGAAAAGGTAGGCTGGAAGGAAAGTTTTTGTCATTTTTTGTTTTGTAAAGAAAGTTCTTGCCATTTTATAGTTTGGAAAGAAAGTTTTTGCCATTTTTTGTTTTGTAAAGAAAGTTCTTGCCATTTTTTGATTTGTAAAGAAAGTTCTTGCGTTTTTGGGTTTGTACTGAAAGTTTTTGCCATTTTTTGTTTTGTAAAGAAAGTTTTTGCAATTTTTGAAATTTCAGCCAAAAACCAACGGAACTCGACCAAACTCAGCGGCCGCAACCCCTCAAATCGGCGCTGCCACTCCTCAAATCACGGATAATGCTACGTTTTTGGCCCCAACAGCACCAATTTCCCAACCAATCTCTGGTGCTCAAGCCAATGTTGGCCTAGACCTGCCTGGAGTGCTGCCAATGTCAAACTCAAATGCGTCACATTTCATTGGAGCGGCCGTGAAACAGAAGAATGAAGCCATGGACACTAGTTAATCATCATTTTCTGTTTTTATGGGTATTTTGGGTACTTTTAGGGGTAGTTTATTGTACTTTTATAGACTGTGGGGGCTTTTTTACTGTATTTTTGGTAATTTTAAGGGGTGTTTTACTGTACTTTTTATGTTACTGTAGACTGTTGTGATAATCTACTGAATACTAACTTATTATCTTGTTTTAAATTTGACTATTCTGGGTAAATTGAACTCATTTCTTGATATTGTTGTACATTTTTTAAATAAACAAGTTATGATCTTAAAGTAAGTTGTAGCACTAAGTTTTTATCCTACCTATACCCCTACTCCCACTTTTCTCTTGCTCTTCCCATAGCCATATTCCTACCCTTACTCCCCTCCCCTATCATCATTCGGCCAAGCTCCGTACCGTCAACCCCTACCAGTACCCCTACTCTCATCTCGACTCCTCCCCGTTACCCTTACCCCTACAGTTAAACCTAGCCCTGCTGTTAGTCCTAATGTAGAAAACATTTTTTGGCGTTAATCGACTGTTCCAATTTACGATTCTTTGTTGTTAATCTACATGAAATTAAAATGTTCATTTTTACGTCAATTTTCTTTCAATTTCCTTGTTTTGTCATTTTTATTGTTCTTCCAAGAAATTTTTACTTTTCGCTGTTTTGGAAAGAAAGTTCTTGCCATTTTTTACTTTTTAAAGAAAGTTCTTGCCATTTTTTGATTTGTAAAGAAAGTTCTTGCCTTTTTTTTTAATTTGTAAACAAAGTTCTTGCCATTTTTTAATTTGTAAACAAAGTTCTTGCCATTTTTTGATTTGGAAAGAAAGTTCTTACCATTTTAAGATGTGTGAACAAAATTCTTCCCAATTTAATAGTTTTTTTTTGAAAATTTCTAGACAAGAATTCAAAAAAAATCATCGTTGAAAAATTGTGTTCTTATTATTTTTACGGTAGTTGAAAGACCACAAAGTACAATATTCCACCTTTTTTTTCTTCTTCTCTTCTCTACTCTACCCTAGCCTACCCTACTCTACCCTATCCTATCTTACCCTACCATACCCTGCCCTGCCCTACTCTAACCTACCCATCCTACCATATCCTACCCTACCCTACTTTACTTTATTCTACCCCACCCTACCCTACCCTGCTATACCATGCTCCACCCTACCGATTCTTGCTGCGCTCTACCGTACCCCCATCGCACCCTGCCTTATTCTGCTTTCCTCTACCTTAGCCTACTTAAAGTATCCTACTTTACCTTATCCAGGAGCACCTCATCCTACTCTACCTTGACCAAACCTGAGTTGCTTTACCGTAAATTACCCTCCCTCTAGGTTATTCATTTTCTTTGTCTCCTCCCTTTACCCCTCTTTCTACCCTTTCCTTTTATCAAACCCCCTCCCCATTTGACCTCATTATACACCTTCCTCTTTTATCAACCCCCCCCCTTTTTTTCAACAAGTATTTGCATTGAGTGATCTTTACTACCTTACACTTGTGCTATTATCTATAAGAAGTAGTCGATTAACGTCATAATGTTGGAATTTCCAAATTTTAAAGATTTTCCATTAGAAAACTTCCTGTAATTCAAGAATCGAGAAGAGGGCGGGGCCAGTAATTAGCGGCCGCTTTTAATTATTATTTTCCATTTTAAGATTTAAGGCACCGCTCCCCACCGTTCCGCCGGTTTTATTATACGTTACTCTTACTGTGATGCGCTTCTGGGACGTGCTGCTCGTCCTCGTCGGCACGCTCACCGTGCTGCTCGCCATGCCTTATCATAATGGTAAGTTGAGGGTGGGGATGGGTGGGTAGGGATGTAAGGAGGGGTGGGTTGGAGGAAGAGGTAGAGATTACCTTATCAAAATAGTAAGTTAAGGGTAGGGGTAAGTTACGAAGGGTAGACATGGTGAGGTGGAGAGAAGGGCTGGTAAAAAGGTAGAAAGGGGTGAGTAGCACTAAGGGAAGATAAGGACTATAATGATAATATAGGGAGGGGTAACAACGTTTATGGTGAAATAATCAGGCGGTGGCATAAGAGTAAGAGTAGGTACGATAATAAGGGTAGCAAAAACAAGGGAAGGGAGGGGGGGGATGAAATACAAAAAAGGCAAGAACTGAGGGTAGAGTAGGGCAAGGTAGGGTAGATTAGGGTAGGGTAGGGTAGGGTAAGGTAGGGTAGAGTAAAGTAGAGTAGGGTAGAGTAAGGTAGGATATAGTATCAAATTCTGGACACAAAAAATAATAACTTTTTCAAAAAAAATAGTAATAGCTTCTTTGCATTACAATCTTATCAAAACTTCATTTTTTTAGTTTTGGTTTCATTCTCTTTTTGTTCCTTTTGTAATTAGACTGACACAACTTTACGTCAATTGTTTTTACAACAGTCTGGCTATTTTAGGATCAAATTTAAAAATATTTGAAATCTAAAAAAAAATTTCAAATTTCAAAATTGTAAACAAATTTCTTGCCATTTTTAGTTTTGTAAAGAAAGTTCTTGCCATTTTATGCTTTTTAAAAAAAGTTCTTGCCATTTTTAGTTTTGTAAACAAAGTTCTTGCCATTTTTTTCCTAAAAAACCTTTTTTTAATACAGCAGCCTGCGGGTGACATTTTATACGCAAGTTTTTTCAGAATTCATCGGAGACCGTGACCGCCGAGACCTGGCCCAGCTGGAGCGCCTGCTAAGCCAAGTAGTTCAGATGAATCGCGCCTTCGATGGTCAGGCGATTCGACCGGGATAATCGACCATAATAACGCGAAAGACGACTTTAATTTATTTCGTAACGATCTCATGTTATAATAGACGACCGAACAATAAACGACTTCACTTGTAGTTGGGTTAACGTGTCATCAAAATTTAAAAAAAATAAGGCAAAATGCAATAAAATTAAAACTATTACCTAAAATGCCATAAAATGTCACCAATCGTGATGAAATGTCACAAAATTTCGTCTAACCAGCAAGCTACACTTACAAATTAGAAAATGTAGGTTAACTTAAAGGTATGCTGCTAGTAGATCAAAAAAAATGATTAAAAGTCAAAAAATGACACATTTATAAGCTTGAAACACAATGCCAATTTGACGGAAAATTCAAAACGTATTTTCTTGATCTCGATTTTCCCCAGATTTCCCGAACAGCGCGACTTAGTACTTTGCTGAAGATGTTATATTTACATGATCTTTCTATATAAAAAGTTTGAAGTCAATCAGAGCGGAGCAGGTCGGGCACCTTCCTTACCAGTAAAAATGCCAACAGGTTTAAAATGTGTTAAAAAAATTCTTAAAATGTCATAGAATTTAAAAAAAAGACTAAAATTTCATTGGCTGTTATTAAAAAATTTAAAATTTAGCAAAATGTCATAAAATTTCGAAATTTTTTTGAAATTTTGTGGCATTTACTATAGCCATGGTTAATAATGACTCAATACATGATGTTCAAAGCGCCATAACTACTAGCAATTGGACTGCCTAAAACTCCTCTATGTTCTAGATCATCAGGTAAAAGCATGCAAATGTACACATAACAAATTAGTGATATAACAAACGATGGTAATAGTGCTGTAAACAGAGAGCCTGCGTCTAACATTGGCAGAAACGTTGAAGTGCTGAAATTTTGTAAAATACAGTCTCGCTACGATAGGATCTTTAATTTTTATTTTTACGGTGTACCTTTGAAGTATAAGATAGTACGTTATTATTATAAAGTTAGTTTTATAACAAAACCTACATCACAGCTGATAAGAACCAAAAGATGGCACGTGAGTAGGCGACTCCTCGAAACAAAGCGTATCTTGATGTAAACAACTCTAAAGCTTGCATATTATTACGTTTTAAAACGTTATACCCTAGTCCTAGACCCAGCCCAGTCAAGCCAAACCAACAAAAGTCCAGACCAGCCCCGTCTAGTCCAGTCCAGCCAAGTCAATCCAAGACTAGCCCAGCGCAGCCAAGCCATGTCAAGACCAGCCTAGCCTAGCCAAGCCAAGCCAAGACAATCCACGGCAAGCCCAGCCAAGAAAAGCCTAGTTCAGCTCAGCCTAGTTCAGCCCAGCCCTAGGTTAGCTGGACTTCACCTAAGATGAGTGAGGAGAAGTCCAGCTCAACCCCAACCAAGCCATGCCCAGTTGAGCCTAGCCCAGACCAGCCTAGTCAAGCCCAATCGAGCCTATCCTAGACTAGCCCAGCCCAATTCTAGCTCTAGTCCTATCATTATCTAATAACCCTAGTCTTAGCCCTAGCCCCAGTTGATATTTATGTTATTTGTGGTTGTTGCTCTTTGATTTGTTATGTTTTGCCATTTTTTATGTATTATAATAATAGTTTACAATCTCAATCATCAGTTTATACCTATTTTTGCTATGGAAAACATTAATCATGTACACTAATGCTTGTACAACTAATACCAATACAAACACGCGTAGCACAATAGAAACAGTACAGCAGTACTAGTACTATCACACAAGTACTAGCTATGATCGTACCACAGTACAGTACAAACATAACAGTAAGATGATAGCAGCACGGTAACAACAATACCATTGTAACTTCTTGTAAAGAAATTTCTTGCCATTTCTCTCAACAAAAGTGTGTTTTTTGATTGTTGCAGCCTGCGGTCGACAATTTATACGAAGAATACATGTTATTGTCTTTTTTAGATTTGTAAAGAAAGTTTTTGCCATTTTTGATTTCTAATAAGCATACTGTCACAGCTGATCATGATCTTATAGTTTTTACAGCACGGTGATAGCTATACAGTAACAATATTACCATTGTACCGCCGACAAAATAACATTAAAGTAGTGACAGTCCGATAATGACAAGTTGCTTTGCCTCCTCCGCTTTTGTTATCATTGATTAGACCCATGATTACTTATTAGTTAGCAATGACGTTAATATTCTTGTTTTTGATAACAGTACTAGTTAGTACCTTTGATTGTATAACCACCGTCATACCGTACCTATGACATAGATTGTCACAACACGACAACAATCTTTTACTCAGTAACCCTACTGTATTTTATGTCACAAATTGTCGTTTTACCGGCTTCATTGACGTACAAAGAATATTCTGACTAACGCTTACTATAATATGTTATTATATAAAGCTTTAAACGCAAACAAGATATGTTAAAGTGACATTAATTATGATATGACACACGTTCTGCACAATATAATTATAGGACCAGAATGGCATAACATGTTTTTTTAGTACTGATACTTGGAAAAAAAAACATTACAGTACCGTACTATTTAGTATAAACTTTTCCTAACCTACCCTATCGTACCTTACTTTACCGTACCTTACTCTACCGTACCTTACTCTAACGTACCGTACTTTACAAACCTTACTGTAAACTACCAGTCACTCTGTCCCGCCCTGTTCTGTCATGCCCTGCCTTGCCTTGCCCTACTTTGCCATGATCTGCCCTGCCCACTCCTAAATTGCCCTGCCCGTACACTGCCCTTTCGTGTCTTGCCTTGTCCAGTCTTGTCCTACCCTACCGTATTATACCGTATACTACCCTACTTTACAATACCTTATCCTACCCTACCCCCTCTTACACCCCCCCCCCTCTACTGCCACTTTATAAGTGACCAAAAACCCACACCTTGTACTGCAAATCACATGCCTACAGTAAAATACCGAGTATTTGTAATACTAAGTTGTACGAACTTACCGCTAATAATACACAATCCGGAATTACATGGTACGGCCATAATACCAGCCAAAATTATAAACCAGAACGCGCTGGCCATGGCTTTGAATTCGGGCGAAGCGTCCAACGTGCTGAAGGCCTGAAACGTGACTTGTGATAGATATAGTATACAGTAAAAACTATACCGTACCTTACTATAATGTACTCAACCCTACCTTACCCTACCCTACCCTAATTACCATACCCTACCCTATACTACACTACCGCGCGATACCGTGCCCGACCCTAACCTGTTCTACCCTTCCCTACTGAATCCTACTGTACTCTAACATGCCACCACCGTACCCTACCCTACATTATCTTGTCTTCCTCTACTTTATTGTACCTTATCGTGACCTACCGTATCATACCGTGCCCTATTATACCGTACTTTACCGTGCCCTAAAATGCCATACCCTACCACAAGCTACTCTAAAATGCTATACTCTACCCTGTCTTAACCTACTGTACCATAATCTAAAAATACAGAAACATTTTTCATCGTATAAAATGTCCGCCGCAGCCTGCAGGCCTACTTTTTTCTTTGGAAATGCCTTTTTTTAGTCTCTAAACCTAAAATGTAAACTATTATAACGTATTATACTAAAATATGCATTTCAACACCCCTTATAACATAAAATGTTACTTCCATCCCAACATACCCATCATCCCCCCTCAAAACGTACCTGCGTTAGCATAAGTGCAAAAAACGCCGCCAAACAAATGCCAAAGCCGACAATTACCATCATACGTCTGGTGACACTCTTGTCCATCTGACTGGCCACGTACAGACAAAACACTTGTACTAATGGGTACAGCATCGATAGGACAGCTGATTTGTGTGGTGGTATATTAAGGTGGTTGAATATGACTGATGAGTAGGATAATATCACTGGTACACCGATTGTCTGAAAAGGTATAAATGTGAAAATTTGGGTAGTGGTAGGCAAGGGTTTTTTGAAGACGTTGCAACAGAAAAACTTTGAAAATTGTGTTTGGTTTTAAAGTTACGGTAAATTTACCGTACCCATCATTTTTCAAAATTTTACGGCAAACAAAACTTAATTTTGTCATAACTTTTTTTTTAAAATAGGTGCTAATTTAAAATTCGTCACAAATAACAACAGTAATATGAGCTACTACCACAACAGAAAACTTTTAAAAATATTTCAAAATTTCAAAGTTACAGTAAGTTAAACATACCCATATTACCAAAACAATAAATTATTTTTTCAAAAAAATCAAAACTATGTATTTTATAAAGCGTAAAAAGATACACCTAATCACAAAATTGTAGGTTCGTATCTTGTTTTTAAATTATGTTATAATAGCTGATAAACGACGAAAAATGAAAAAAGGTCGAATCCGCTTGAAAACCAAATTTTCCATTTTTCAAATTGCCATACCTTTTTTGATATAAAAGGTAACTAATCCAAAATTTGTAAAGAGACAGTATTTTAACTCCTCTACAAACGTCAAATTACAATTTTTTCAAAATTTTTTAATTTTTGAGTTTACTGTAGTAATACTGTATAATCTTATTTTTATTATATCCTGTTTACCGTGGTATCATGGCCGTATTTTACCTTGAAAACAAACTTAAAATATTTTTTTCAACCCACATCATTGGATTTTTTTAAATTGTCACCCTACCTACCATTCTAGTACCCATTACCGCAATCATTATGTCAACCTATATTAACCTACCGCATTGATGACCATCAAAGTATAAGCCAAGAACCTCGGGTTAAACAGCACGTAAGTCGACATACTCTCCACATACTCGTCCTCAAATTCCTCTTTGATCGGCTCGATATATAAGTCTCGGTACTTGTAATACAGTACACAAGCTCCAAACGATGGTAATGTCATCAAAAAACAAAATGTCATATAGTGAATACCTTTGAAGAATGGTAGAATCGAGGAGAAGACAGCACTGCCAGAGAAGATGACTGCGGCCAGGAAGAAGATTTTCGGCCGTTCATGATAACTGGTCATGTCTTTGATACATATTGGAGCTGATACGAAGCCTATACCTACTCCAATACCTGCGATGAAGCGGCCGAGGCAGAAGAAGATGTAGCTAAAAGTTACAGTAACTTATATTATATCATACTCTACCAAACCTTACCTTACCTCACCCTATCTTACCTTACCTTACCCTACTTTACCCTACCGTACCATACCCTACGCTACACTATCCTACCCTACCCTGCCCTACCTTATCCTACACTACCCTACCCTACCCCACCCTACCCTACCCTACCCTACCCTACCCCACCATGCCCTACCTTATCCTACACTACCCTACCCTACGTTACCCTACCTTACCTCAACCTACCGTATACTAATCAAATCTTCAGTACCGTACTCTACAGTACCTCTACAAATCCCCTCCTTAGAAAATCTCTACCTAGACCAAATTCTGCCGTATCTACCATATGAGTCCGCCCCCTAAAATATACCCCACCCGAAAATCTAAGACCATAACTAGAATCCGTCCCATAAAACTTGCCCCGCCCGAAAATCCCACGAAACTCAAAAACCCATCCCCTAAAATCTACCTCACCGTACCCAACATCCCACCCCCTGAAATCTACCCCACCCAAAAAATCTCATCCTACCTAAGAATCCACCCCCTGAAATCTACCCCACCCAAAAAATCTCATCCTACCTAAGAATCCACCCCCTGAAATCTACCCCACCCAAAAAATCTCATCCTACCTAAGAATCCACCCCCTGAAATCTACCCCACCCAAAAAATCTCACCATATCTAAAAATCCACCGCTTCAATAAAATCTACCCCGTCCAAAAATATGACCATACCCAAAAAATCCACCCCCTAAAATCTACCCCAAAAAAATTAATAAAGTTTACCTCGGCAATAGCTGCAACGCACATCCAGCGAACAGTAGATGCGCATTGAAGTCTAAACAATGTCGATTTGTAAAGCTTTTGTACAGTGATACGACCGAAAGTGTTCCGACCAGTTTCCCCAGCGGAAAAGTGGCGGAAATTAGAGATAATTGGAAATTAGTCAGGCCAAAGTGGAGGAGCGACAAGGCCGAGGCGGCGGCTTGGTGGTAAATTTGAAAAATTGAGATTAGAGCTACTACTATCGCTATTTTCATAGTTATATAAGGGTTAGATGGTTATGAAATGGCAGTTTTTGGGATTGGAATCTATGAAACAAGGCCTAGAATTTTGAAAAATAGCCTAAAATCTACCTAAAATATTAGTTTTTAGGCCTAAAATGGTAGAAAAACCTATTCTTCTTGGCTTTTAACCTAGTAAAGCCTAATTTTACTCATTTTCAACACAGTAAAAGGCCAGTTTTAGGATTAACAATGCAGTAAAAAATCAGTTTTTAAAATCTAAAGTATAGTAAAAGGCCAGTTTTAAGATTTACAGTGCAGTAAAATACAATTTTTAAATTTTACAATGTAGTAGAATACCAATGCCAATCTTTATGTAATAGTAATAGAACAATTAGAAAAGTATAACGGCCCAAATTTGAAGGAAAACTGAAGCGTACGCTCAGCTGTCAACAACATGCTTACAAGTCTTTCTTATTAATTAACTTGTATGAATTACACTGTGTTAATCATAATATGCGTTGAAGAAACTATGGCACATATAAATTGCACTGAACTTGAACATTTTTAGAAATGAGTCTAATTTAAAATGACATTTTAGAAGACTAGAGATACCCTTGATTTTAGGCTAAAGCCAGAGACACCTCTATAGATTTTTTTCTGTGTGGGGGGAAGAGGCAGACAAAAGAAGTGAGGGCCGTGACAAAAATTTTCTTTTTTAAAAAGTCCGTTGAAATTCAATCAACTAGTGAAAAAGTTACATAAAAATTTTAAAAGCTACAGTACACCTACAGTAACCCAAAATCACAATTTTTTTTGCTTTTTGAATAACTCGTCCTTAGGACTGCAGTCGCAAAAAAAAGATTTTTAAAAAAAATTTTTTACGGTCCGCCCCCCTCCTTTGACCCATGTTCAATTCTAACAAGCAGCTAATTCTCAAAAAAAAGCAAAATTTTTTCACGTAGACCCAATCCCATTCAGCCCTAGCAATGGCCCTAACCAAAAATACGAAATTTTTAAAAAATAGGTATGGAAATAAAAAAAATATATAAAAAACAAAAATCAAACCCAAATATTCTTGCAAAAAGCAAACTTTATTAACAAAAACTTAACAATTGTCAAACAAAAACCATTGTTGACATTAAACAAACAACTATAACAAAACACATTAAAGAACAAATATAACAACAAAAAAATCTAAAAACTAGCAGTGTTTCATCCAGATTAATTCAAAACTTTGAATTTTTTCCAGAAAAAACACTGATAAAAACAAAAAGAAACAACAAAAATATAACGTTAGACATTACTGTTACAACAAAAACAAGATTTTGAGTATTACTATAAGAGAGAATTACATTACTATAACATACTATGATTACAATAAGTAAGGACTTACATTACTATTATAAAAAGAAGAGAATTATATTACTGTAACAATACAATACGTTAGTTTTTACTTATATAAACTATAACTATAAATCAAAAAAAGAATACCGACGTCAAAAGCTTAAAAAGTAGAAACATATTACAATAAACTTACATTATAGGTTAACAACAAAACAAATTTTGACAAAACATTATAATTACTATACTATAACATACCAAACGGTTAGAAACATCTGAATATAGTAAATATTAGACACAGAATATAACAGTTAACTACTACAATAAAGAAGACAAAACTGAAACTTACCAATAACAAATTACTAAAACAAGGTCAAAACATCAAAGACCTATATAGAAAAACTTACAATACTTATATAAACAAACAAATATGATAACTTCAAGGCCAGACAATCATCAAAACAATAAAAATTTAAAAATAAACAATTAGGCACCATGAATACGATAAAAACTTTGAAAAAAGGTACATATACTTACTTTTCCCTATATTCGCTATAAACTAATGATAAGTTAGACCATACATCGATCATAATAACATATTGATCCAATTGGGTAATTTTAAATCCACCCCAAAAACGATAGTAATAATCCACGATCTACCCTAACAAATGCAGGTAGAAATCCAGCTGGTTCCATGATAGTAAAGGACCAAAAAAAAGCGTTGTGGATCTAGGCATTGATACGAAGGTTTCTGAGAGTCTCACTGTTGATGTATGCAATTCTGTCAGTGGTGTGGGTAAAGAAGCTATGGCTGTTGCTCGACGAGGTGTCTGAGGATGAGTCTGGTGGGGTTGGGCTGGAAAAGAGACAATTATCATATGATTGTTAATATTAACGTATTTTCTCATTCAAAGCGACATAAGTTGGCCTGAGCCAAAAATTCCATAGACTAAAAATCGGTCCAAAAGCCATTCCTAGTCCAACCTCGACCCCTTGGCCAAAAAATCATGTTTAAAGCCTTTTAACAACCAATCTCAATATTATTAATACCGATATGACATTTTAATATAAAAGTGTCATAACTTATCTCAGCGGCCTAGCCAGGCTTAAAAATTGGCCCAAAAACCATTTCCAGTCCAAGTCCAGCCTCTTAGCCAAAAAAAGTTAGTTCTAAACCTTTTCAGCGACCTATGTCTGCCAATACTAATATAAAACAGCCATTAGTGCGCACACTAGCCCACAAAAAACCCTACCTCGAGCTGACATAGGTCATCCAGTTCATTCTTCCTCGCTTGATAAAGCCCTCAGCAATGTAGATTGGAGCTGGCAGGCTGACGCTTCCGTTGATGATCTGATGTCCGTAAGACAGATTGTAGGTGATCTTCTGCAGTTGATCCATCGACAAGTTTCCATCGTTGTGAATCACGGCGTACTTTGGGATTCTGGCCGTTCCGAGTCGAGCGACGTGGCTCAGACAGTAGAACTCATTGACGACTGGAGAGACGATCTTGGTGTCCACAACTGTGCCACATTTCAGGTTTTGAGAGACCGAGTTTTGACCTTTTGGTTCGGATGGGATCAATTTCACGTTGTGTCGCTTGGATGGAACGATGACGGCAAAGGTTTCGACGCCGTTCTCTTTCAGAATCTGGTTGACAGCTGGGATTTCGTACTTCAGGGCCTAAAACAAAGTTATTGTCATTTTTTGTTTTGTAAAAAAAAGTTCTTGCCATTTCTTGTTTTTTAAATAAAGCTCTTGACATTTTTGTTTTTGTAAAGAAAGTTTTTGCCATTTTTTTTTTGTAAAGATCTTGCCATTTTTCGGTTTGTAAAGAAAGTTGTTACAATTTTTGTTTTTGTAAGGAAAATTCTTTCCATTTTTAAAAATTTTCAAAAATCCACAAAAAATTTTTGAATTTCGCACTTACCAATTCATACTTGGACTCAGGAAGACTTCCACGATACATAATCACGTTCTTTGGCGGCTTGCCACGGTTCTTGATGAATCTTTCCAGAATCTTCGACACTGTCGCGACCATGAGATCAATGTCAATGTTTCCACGAGTTTTTTGGAGTACAAAGTCGCCAGTGAAGTCAAAAGCTTCGTTCAGATCGTTGGCAGTGAAGCCGATGACAGCTGGATTGAGACGAGTCAATTCGGCTCTCAATGGGATCTGGTAAACCATCTTCTTCGCGTCCATCGTGATGCCAATGTAGAGGTCGTCTTTGCTCAGGTCTTTGCTAAAAAGATTTAAACTGTCCGGTACAAACAGAAGCAGTTCATTTTAGGTCCCGCCACGAAAGATTTGACTTGCAAAATCTGTAAAAAGAAAAAGACAAAAAATTGAGCTAGTCTAGCCCCTTCACAAGTCTAGCCCAGCCCATTACAAACCCAGTCCCAACTCACGTTGGAATGCTGTAGTTCAAGCCGCCATTCTTGATGTTAGTCTTGTGGATGATGTTCTCCATAGTCTTTCGCTTTTCGGGTCCAGTAACACCAGCTGCTTCCATGGCGGTCTTGATCAGGATGTTTTGAGTGATGATTTCGAACCTTCTTTCGTAGGCCTTGATTTCAGCTGAAATTTTAATTTTTTAATTTAAAATTCATATTTTAACAGCCTTGCTTTCGACCCAGACTCTCGAATCCGGGCCTTGTAGACCCCCCTTCAAATCCAGCTAAACCCCCCACCCAAAACCAACCCATCCTTTACCCCATCCCCAAACCCTTACGATGAACAGCTCTGTCCTTATCATTGGTCAGAATCACAATAAATTGGCATTTGGCCTGGAAAGCGCGGAAGAATAGGCTTTTAAAGTCCGCAGCCAACAGATGTCTGTCGTAGATGTGAATCTCGGCCGGTGGTTGCAGCACCATGCCCTTCTTCTTGCATTCATGGTAGTACTTTTGAGCGAACGTTTTCATCACTGCGTCATTTAACTGGCCTTCCGTGTCAATGGCATACAGAGCCCAGGTTTCGATTGTGGCTGGTCGGTAGTAGCTGGGGATGCCCCAGCTCATTTTGTCATAGTCAAAGACGGCTGCCTGCTTGGGGTTTTGGAGGAGAGTTGGGGGTAGCAGACGACGACCTGGGACCTGAAATTAGAAGTTAAAACAAAATACGTTTTACTCTTTTTCTAAGTCAAATCTTTCGTTGCGAGACCTAACATGAAGTCCTAGAGCTTCGTTTTACGCCCCGGTCTTCAAGCCCACATGTACCGGCCCGGCCCTTTTCAAATATTCTTTGGCATGGCCCAGCCCCTGCCGAAACTAGTGAGCCACCTTTTTGGTTTAAAACATAGAAAAGATAAAAAAAGTTATTACATGAATAGGTTTTGTGCCAACTTCAACTCCAAACTCTTTGTTAGCCGGATTGTCCAGTAAATGAAGAGCAGTAGCTGATTTGTATACCTTCTTCTCTAGGACACTTGGCAGAACAGCACAAATCTAAAAATATGACAAATTGATCTTCTCTGTGGCCAGTTTTTGCAATAATTTTTAAAAAATCACCCCCTGAAGAAAAAATTACTTTACTCCACCCAAAACCAAAAATGCAGATAACCCACCCCCTAAAGAATGTATTGATAACCCACCCCCGCCCCTGAGCCAAAAATTCCATTACCCAACCCCTACCTTGATCAAAACCGTCACAATCTCTGGCAAAGGCTCATGCATCCTCTGATTGTCACAAATCATAAGAAGCTCCATTGGATGGTAAAGCAGAGTCTTCTTCTTGCTTTTGGTGGTAACCAACGGTAGCCCGGGATGTTGTAGTGTGATGCCATACTTCTCCCAGTAGTACTGGGTTAGTCTGGTCGTGGCTCCATTGATTTCGATTTCCATCGATTCGGCGGTTTGATTGACGATGCCACAAATCTGCATTGTTCTGATGCCGCTAGCGGCGAGATGGGTTTGGTAGACGACTAAGCCAGTCAGCATGTTGATAATTTCGGCATGATTGTCGTGGACCATTTCTGGCCGACGGTAGCGTGGGTATGCGTTCAGGACCTTGCTTGTCACCGTTTCTACATTGTGGAAGGGGGTTCTTCTGGCTAAAAATTTAGTTTTCTATAATGTAAGCTGCTAGCTATAAATTCAGTTTATTTTTAGTGTTCAAATAATTCTGTGCCCTCTCACAAATTTTTAAGATTACATGCCCATCCTTATCCAAAACCCAATAAAAAGCCCCAATACCACCTTTTTAGCCACCTAACCTACGACAATATCAAAACATACGCATGATAATCATCGCTGGGCCTGGTTTCTCCGATCCTTCCAGGATCTTCACTGTTTTCTGGGCGCCAGCTGCGGTGTATGTGCCGAATGCTAAGTCTGGACATTCGCTTCGTTCGATTCCGTAATTTTGTGGATACAACATGTAGGTAACGTTGTTTGGGAATGGCACGTGGTTGTCTCTGAAAAATGAATTTTTGAATTTTTTTCTATTTTATTATACTGAAATAACATAAAGTGAATTTTAATGTCATTATCGAACACAAGAGCGTAGTAAATTATAAATTTTATAAAAATAGGTATCAATTGCCAATTCAGACCAAAACATGAACTTCAATACCATTTCCAACCTTTTAAATCCATATCCACCTAAAAACCGATAAAACAATTTCTAAACCCTTACAAATCACGATGAATTCCTTGATTAGTAATCACATCCAAACAATGTTCCAATGCCACAGTTTCAGACAAAGCTTTCAGCCCTTCTGGCGTCAACTCCATCTCTCCAGTCTGTCTCATATTCACAATGACTACTTTGAAAGGAAACGGCTCAGTAGGGTTAGTGTTCTCAATCTCAATGATCTTCTCATTCTGAAAAAGCTAATTTTAGCAAGTTCTACGGCTACTACAATATGATTTTTACAAAATTCCTTAAGATATAGCCCGGAAATTGCTCAAGCAAACATGTATCAACAAAATTAGCTCAATCCTCAATTTTGCCGCATAAAAACCAAAAATCGCTATCAAAACCTACGTTATTACCAATCTCCAACTTCCTCAATGAGTACAAGGTCTTTCTCCTGTCATACGCAAGTTCGTCTTTGTTGCCAAAGAACTGTGGAACCATTCGGATGGCGTAGTTCATGATGTTGATCGAATTTCTTTCGGCTTCAGTGCGAAAATAACTGAAAACAACAATATTTTTTATTTTATAGTAGGGAAAAGGTTGAAACATATAATCTTATAGTTTTAACTTGGTTTAGGTCTAAAGCATAAAAGACTAGCTTGTTTTAGATAAAAACCCAAAAACTTGATCGTTTTAAGCGAAAAACATAACTTTTCGTTAGTTTTAAGCCTAATTTCTAATATTACTCCTCACTTTCACCAAACTCTAAATCCAATCTCTTACAACCCCGACATAATCACTACAAACTTACTCAGCCCTCATATAATTGTTGACAGTGATATCGCGAGTTATCTGAGAAGCTCCTTCCATATAAGTCTTTCGATGTTTAATATCCAAATCGTACAAATAAACCGTCTTGTTCTCAGTGAATCGCATCGGAAAGATGTTGGTCTTCACCATCTCCTTGGCCGCACATTCCTTTCCAGGCGGCAGCTTCTTCGGCAACGATCCATCAGCTGGTTTTACGCCCAATTTGTCGCACAAAAGTTTGCCACTAGCTTCGTATCGGCTTGGGTAGGCCATCTTTTCTATTCCCTTTCGAATCTCCTCCATGGTTAGCTGAAATTCAAAATAAATTAATTTTAAAAGAGAAATAACTAACATAATATTTAAGTAAATACCTAAAACAATATAACTTAGCCTTAAAATCAAATAGCTGAACTAGACAATTCAAGACAATAACCGCCTCAAAATAAACCTCCTAACATAAAAAATTTATAAACTAAAAATTCAAATTACTAACACCTATACCAGGTTCAATATCTAAAACAATATCCCAAGATCTCAATAACCTCGAAATTCGCCCAATACCCCTCTGAATAGTCACACCATACCACTCTGTACATAAAACAAACCATGTAAACTTAAAGTTACGTCAAAAACCCATAATATTGATTAACAAAGGTTGAGACACCTATCACAATATCCGAGCTCAAAATAACCGCTGAACTTGATACAGAAAACCGAAATCAGTCAATCAGAAGCATAACCAGTCCAATGTAAGTCTGATAAGCAAGAAGAATCCATGACAAGTTATGAACAGGCCCAAGATAAGTACCAATACCTACTACAACATCCAAGCTGAAAATATAATGCCAAACCTGTCGGAACTAGTAAAATCGCAAAGCTTCAATCAGCTCAATATCCATCTGATAAACAATGAAAACCCATCAATACCTGCAACCTTACTCAAAATCCAGCAAAACTTCCAAATCCACCACCAAAACCTCATGGATAATATAAATTTACATAAAAACTTACTTTGATGAGTTAAAGTTAAACTTTCAGATGCGATACGTTAGTAAACCTCTCAGAAATCTTCTGAACCCGAGAATTGGTCTCAGTCCCATCGTACAATGGACGCTGCACCGTTTCTTTGGCGGGATTTCAAATTTTCCCCCCAAGTTTGGGTCCCGCCGCGAAAACAGGGTCTGCTTGTTGTTTGCGGGTTTTTTTTGAATTGTTTTGGATGTTTTGGTTGAAAAATGGTAAAAAGAAGTAATTTTGAACGAAAAATTTTAAAATTTTAGTATTTTAATTTTAAAAATTTAAAATTTTGAAAATCGGTCAATTTCCGGCCAAAAAAGTGTTTTTCTAATGAAAAATGACGGTTCTAGAGCATCTAGAGCTTCGAATACTCAGAGTAGGACTCGGACAAAAGGTTCTCAGATTATTAATCCCAATCCTATTCGTAAGTTTCGGCATTTTTTTCATTGTATTTTAGTTTAAAATGGCAAAAAAATTTTGATCCTCCTCCGTTTTTTTAATTATTTTTTTTACCATGCCCATTTTTTCAAAAATAAATAATTTTGAGAAGATAATCTATACTTTAAAATAAAAAAAATAAAAAAAATTACAAAAAAAAATTTTATCCGCCCAAAAAAAAATAAAAACTTTTTACCCCGCCCGAAAATTTTTTGTTAAAAAGGTAAAAGCCAGCCCTATTAATTAATATATGTACATTTAATACCTAAATTTTCAGCAATAGTCGATTCAGACCCATTCGTATGTCATCGACTGGACCTGACCTCTGACTATGACGATGACATTAGGACAGACGAGCTGATATGTTCGTATAACAATTACTCGGATGGAGAACTGTCGGACGAATGGAAGTCTGGGGAATCGACCGACAATCAGGATTTGGACCAATCTTCTGTGCTTTTGACTTGTCCACATTGTCATGCTAGTGTAGGCGTGGGTTGGGAAGGGGGAGGGGGGGGTATGTGTAATGTTGATTTGTTGGTTTACTAGCTTAATATATTTCAGGCCTACACCAAAGTTACTCTAACTCGGAATACCTTCATGACCAAACTAGCTATACTCTTGTTCCTATTCGGCTTTGCTACATTTGGCTTTGGCTGGTACATGATGATTGTGGCACTATGTGTTCCCGGCTTCTGTAGCGCCAAACACACCTGTCCGGACTGTCGTACCGTCATTGGGAAGTTTAAAACATGAATTTTTTGATTAATAAATGTGTTATATCTACTGTAATATGATGGCAAGAACTTTCTTTACAAAACAAAAAATGGCAGGAACTTTCTTTACAAAACAAAAAGTGGTTGACATCGTAAACTTGTCACCCGCAGGATGCAAGACTTAAAGTTTTTTTTTAGCAAGAAACAGAGAAACATTTTTCTAAAACTGTTAGGTAGTCTTACTAGCCCGACCTAAAATTAGCCCTAGACCAATTCCCAGCTCTGGCCTTACAAGGGATGTAACTTAAATCGCCCCTCGAGTTTAGGGCGAGGACCTATATATTCTTAAAGCCTTATGCCTAGCTTTATTTCTATCCTAAGAGCTTTGGCTCTAGTGTATGCGCAGCTTTGTGTAACTGATTTGGTAAAGGATTGCAAAAATTTTGCGCAAATGACATAACTTTTTGATATAACTAGATAGCCTTACTAGGAAACCGCAAATAATGGAAATCGAGTTATAACTAGTGGTATATATATAAATGTAGAGCAAAAAATTCTAAGACTCATGGTGTAAATTTTTTTTGCCAACAATCTCTAGTTTTTGAGATATGGCAGGTCAAAGTTTGGTTTTTCAAATACTTTTGTCTCATGTTCGCTTTTTGAGCGAGAAGCACAGGTGCTTCAATGGTAGCGAGCGAGTGAGCCCGACTTGGACTCGAAAGCTCCGGGGTTCGGTTCCCGCCGGCTTCCAACGGCTGAAAGGCCTCAAAAATGTTTTTTATTTTTTTAATTTTAAAATTAATAATTACAGTCTTGAAACTAAACATAAGTAACCTTTTTAACATAAGAAAAAAGAATATAACAAAATTTAAACCAAAAAAATTGATAAAAAAAGAAAATTTCAACAATATTTGTACATAACATTTGTATTATTTCACTTTCACCGTTATTGTGGACATTAATGTCATTGTCGGCTTATTGGTGGTCAAGGTGACGCCAGCTACTGATACCTCTAAAACTACTAGAAGAGAAAAGCCCTTTTTCCAAATTCTGTACAGTAAGTTATTAATGTTGAGAGACTTTGATAATTGAATTTTGGGATGGTGGAGTACAAGAAATAGTGAAGTACAAAATATTAATGTCCACCATACGGTGAAAGTGAAATAATAAAAATGTTATGTACAAATATTGTTGAAATTTTCTTTTTTTATTAATTATTTTGCTTTAAATTTTGTTATATTTTTTTCTTATGTCAAAAAGGTTACTTATGTTGTTTTAAGACTGTAATTATTAATTTTAAAATTAAAAAAATAAAAAACATTTTTGAGGCCTTTCAGCCGTTGGAAGCCGGCGGGAACCGAACCCCGGAGCTTTCGAGTCCAAGTCGGGCTCACTCGCTCGCTACCATTGAAGCACCTGTGCTTCTCGCTCAAAAAGCGAACATGAGACAAAAGTATTTGAAAAACCAAACTTTGACCTGCCATATCTCAAAAACTAGAGATTGTTGGCAAAAAAAAATTTACACCATGAGTCTTAGAATTTTTTGCTCTACATTTATATATATACCACTAGTTATAACTCGATTTCCATTATTTGCGGTTTCCTAGTTAGAGAAATTTTAAGAAACCGTATTACGTAACGTTTTCTTATGTAATATTATGGTTTTATATAATACTTGCCCCGATGTAAAACGACCCAACAAATGACTGCGAGTGTTGGGATTTGGCTCTATTTTACTGCGAGGCTTAACCAAAAAGTTATAAAAATAGACATGTTACAACTTTTTGAAACTTTAAAATACGAATAATTTTTAAAAAGGTATGTTTATATTACAATAACTAGTGAATAGCAATTTTAATTTACAATCTGAACCCTCTTTTCAATGGTCCGCCGTTTTGATAGCTTTGATAAACAGCTTGTTTGAGCTCTTGAGCTGCAGCTGGGTTCCTCTGACCGATCGCCTTCATTCTTGTCACAGTTTGCATTGGAGTACCGGATGGGGAGTTCAGTACCATCTAAAACATCTTCACAATTAAATTTTTTTTTTACAATTAAATTTTTAATTTACTAAGCCTAAGCCTACTAATCCTAAGCCTACTAAGCCTAAACCTACTAAACCTAAGCTTACTAAGCCTAAGCCTAGTAAGCCTAATCCTAAGCCTATTATGCCTTACTCTACTAAACCTAAGCCTACTGAGCGTAAGCCTACTAAGCCTAAGCCTACTAAGCTTAAGTTTTTGCATAAGCCTACAAAGCTGAAACCTAAGCTTACTAAGCCTTAAAGCTTAGCCTACTAAGGCTCTATTCTTGACTATTAAGCCTAAGGCTCCGTAGCCATAATTTTAATAACTTAGGTTTACTAAACAACAAGCCCTCATCAAGCTAAAACCTTACCATTACTTCCTCCAAAGCCTGTTTAGCATTGCCACTCAGCCTTGCATACTCTGGCCTTGTCTTAAATACTAGCATTTTTTGTTTGAACATTGCCAATCCCTGGCCGTTTCCAAATTGACCTCCTGCGCCTCCTTGACTAAACCTGGCGAACATTCCTTTACCAAATTGACCATTACCACCTCCAAATTGCCCCATACCTCCAAATGAGCCCATACCATGTTTACCGTCAAATGCCGATTCTTGTGATAAGGCAAAGGCAAGAGTAGATATCAACAGTAAGAATGACAGTTTTTGCATAATTTGTATATTAATGTAGGTATAGTACAAAGGTTGATTTTAGTGATAGTAACAAGTGGTATTCTAGATACGGCATAGTTTATATACTGGTTGTATTGTGCTGTGTTATGTATTTTGTGACCAAAATAAAGGCACTTTTGTCTTGTTATTGTGGTAAAAAGTGTTGAAAGTTAAGCGAACAGGTCAGAAACGTTTCTTCTTTTGTGGTTTTACAAATGTAAGAGGCTTGTTGCGTTCGTTAAATTGTCTTTTTAATTGTTTTTCTTTGATTTTGTAAAGGTTCGAGTGTTCTGGTTAACGTGACAAACCCTACCCTACCCTACCCTACCCTACCCTACCCTACCCTACTTTACTCTACCCTACCCTACCCTACCCGACCCTACCCTACCCTACCCTACCCTACCCTACCCTACCCTACCCTACCCTACCCTACCCTACTTTACCCTACCCTACCCTACCCGACCCTACCCTACCCTACCCTACCCTACCCTACCCTACCCTACCCTACCCTACCCTACCCTACCCTACCCTACCCTACCCTACCTTACCTTACCCTACCTTTCGTTGGATCTGACACTACCTTATGCTCCCGTTATTTTACCTTGTCCTCACTGCGTTCCCCAGACCTAACTTATTTTACTATGTCTTATCTTGTCCTATCTCATATTCTACTCTACCGTAACCTGCCCTTAAAGTAATATATATTGTGAGTTCGCAAAGGCTTTTGATAAATTTCGAAAAGTATCGATCTAACATGGCATAGCGACTATATTTGGCCGAAAAAATCGTATCGAAATTGACGGGTTTTTTTAATTACAGTGCCCTTTTTCACCCTAGTTTACTAAAGTCTCCCCTACCCTACTTTAGTGTACCCTATTCTACTCCAGTTTACCCTATATTATCCTACTCTACATAATCAAGTAAAATACGACGCCTTGAGCTTTCATCATTAACTAAGTTTTATAAACAAAACAAATGGGTTTTAATACATTTATTAAACAAATGAGTATCAAGTACAGTAAATACGACGTAAAAGTTCAAACATAATATAAAAATTAAAGTAAGTTACAAAGTCATTCAGTACTTCCAATTTTTAAAACTGTGGACCACCACCAGGTAGACTGAAGCCAGCGTTCCTGAATTCTTGTACCGCCGCTGGATTACTTTGAACCACGCTTCTTACTCTGCCAATTGTTTCTGGCATGCTTTGTGATGGAGAGTTTATTATCATCTGGAAATAAATTTTTGTATTTTTTTCAATTTAAAAATTTACATGAAATTTAACTTGACTTAAATTTTAATTTAAAAAGAAGCCTAAAATATAGAAAAAAAAATTATGTTTGCTGAGCCTTAAGTTAAATATTAGACCGTTTACTTAATACTGCGCCCCCTCATAAAAATGCAAAAAATTTTTATATAATTAATCAAAACGGGGGGCAGAATTAAGTGAACAAGCTAATAAATGGGTCTATCCAAGCATCCCAAAATTTTGAATTTATAGCCACATTTGCATGAGCTGAATCAAGTACCAACCTCAATTGGAATCTGATAAGTCAAAGAAATAATATCTCTCTTCTTATATAAAATGAAAACTTGTCTTTTGATTAGGTTTCCTATAAAACTCAAAGAGCGCTCTCTCGGAAAAGAAGAGAGCTCCTTTCTTTTCTCCCTTTCTCTGACCGCTCCCCCTTTCCGCATTGGTATCTCATAGATTTTGATAGTTTTTTGGTTTTATTTGGGAATAAATAGAAATTTAGGTATAATTGGGTTTATAATGGCATTTTTAGTGAATTTTAGTCTTTTTTCATCAATTTGTATTAAAAAACACAAAAAATTTTTTAAAAATTTTAAAAATTTAAATTTTTAAAAAATTTTGATTTAAAAAAATATAAAAATTAAAAAAAATATTAAATCTTTTTAAAAACTTGTCATTTAAACCCTACCCTAACTTGTTCGTAAGCATTCCTAGCATTTGGGCTCAATCGACCGTATTCCGGTCGCATTCTAAACGAGTCCATTTTTTGTCTGAATTCAGCCATTTTTGCCTGGGCAAAAGGTCCATTTCCTCCACCAAATTGACCGCCACCCATGCCCATTCCTCCGAAGCCACCGCCAAATGGTCCGCCTCCAAATTGTGCTGATACTAAGACTAGTGATGATACAAGCAGGAGTACTGATAGGGTTTGCATTTTTACTAAAAATTTTTTAGGAACACAAATTAGGAACACATATCACGGTAGAGGCACGTTATAATAAATTGCCTTAGCCCAGAGCTCAGAGCCCTAGCCCAAAGCCTTAGCCCAGAGCCTTAGCCCAGAGCCTTAGCCCAGAGCCCTAGCCCAGAACCCTAGTTCTAGCTCCACGATGGTCTCTTGTTTGGTATTTCATAGCGCCTTCCACAGACAGGCTTACCACAGTTTTACTCTAGTCCTACCGTAGCTCTACACCTGCATAGCTCTAATTCTCACTTTGATTTATAATAGATCTACTCTACCTTACTCTAGCTTACCTTAGCTTCGCCTTAGCTACAATTTGTAGCCCTTTTTAGACCCGTATTAGAGCAGGACTAAGCCTAAATCAGGCTCTGTTCAGGCCTAGTTTTACCTCAATTCAATTCTAAGCTTATCATGGCTTTTAGCCTTCTCTTTAAGTGCTATAAGTTTATCCTACCCTTTATCAAAAGGTTTTCCTTTGCTCATCTTCAACAAAAACCTCTAAAACTAAAGTAAAACTTTAAAATTTTAAAAAATAAGCTTATATTTAAAATTAAAAATCTAAGAACCCGCCTTCTTATAAAACTCACTAAAACAAGACTAAAAATCTATCTTCTCTTTCTTTATATATTGAGTATTTTCTGTGATTTTAAAAACTAATAGGTTGCCCTTAACTGTATTGCGTGTTTTGTGCCGAACTTTGGAACGTTTCCTCTGCTTTTCTCATCAAACCATAGTAAAAAAGTTCAGCGAACGTCTTCAAAGTATCTTCTTTTGGTTTTGTTTTCTGATTTTTTATAAAAATAGTTTGTAATCTGGCTGTATTTGGTAGATTGTGATAGGTTTTGTTACAGCAAGTTTTTGATTTGTAGGGTTTAGAAAAATAAAAAAAGATTTATTATTTTATGAAGGGCTAGAGTAGGATGGAAAGAGAAATGGGCTTGAGAATCGAAACTCCACCTGAATTTTAAACCCGGCCCGTTACCTTTATCTAAGGAGGCTTAGGGTTGGACGAGGGATGGGCCGTTATGGTTCTATTATAGGATAAGACTACGGTAAAGCATAGTAAAGTGGCGCGAGGTAAAGTAGGGCAGAATAAATCGGAGTAAGGCAAAATAAGGTAGGGTAGAGTAAGGCTGACGCTAGGGCTCTTTGCTCTGGGCTAGGGCTCTGGGCTAGGGCTCTGGGCAACGGCTCTGGGCAAGGGCTCTGGACTAGGGCTCTGAGCTAGAGCTCTGGGCTAGGGCTCTGGGCTAGGGCTCTGGGCTAGGACTCTGGGCTAGGGCTCTGGGCAGGGGCTTTGGGCTAAGGCTTAGGGCTGTTCAGAGTAAGTTAAGGTAAAAAATAACATTTATTTATTTAAATAAACCATGTATATTTTTATAATTAACATATAAATATTAAGAATGATACGTTACAAAGTGTCAATATCGACCAGACTTGACATTTTTACTTCCGAGTCTTCGAAATTTAATTTATTTTCATCATTTTCAGCTTTTGGCACCTTTTCAGGATCTTCAAAGTCGAATACTGGATTCACAAAGGTATCGGACTGAAAATGACATTAAAATTACAACATAAAAATATTTTTAAAAATTAAAAAAAATATTTTAAAAACTGTCTAGCGGCTGTACACACCGTATTTTACACTAAAAAGCAATTCATAGGCTATAAAATCTAAATTTAAACATAAAAATCGAACAAAAAGCGGTTCTTACTTCAACATGACCTTCAGCGCCCAACCTTCTATCGACCACTTGAGTGGTCGGTAAGTTAAGATCAACATCCTCATCACCACGATACCAAACCGTTTGAAGTGGCAAACGTCTTCGATTTATAAAACTTCGAAGTCTTTGATTCTTATGAACTTCGTACTTGAGTATACCAACTCCAACGACACTGGCAATGAATATTACTACCAAAAAGTTGATGAACTTTGCTGAAAATTGGAAAAATTTAAAATATTTTAAATCTTGTCAAAATTTAAAATAGACAAGGCTGGTCTGAAAAAATATTATAGACCTGCCTTTTTTTAACACTGAATTGATTTTTTTTTTTGTAAAATACGCTTAAAAAACGAATCACAGCAAATTTATCCACCCAACCTAAAAAGATCGAGCATTCCAAAATTTTTAATTTCCAGCCACATTTGGATGAGCTGAATCAAGTACCAACCTCAATTGGACTTTAGTAAGTCAAAAGAACCGGATCTCTCCTTTTGTTATATAAAATCAAAAGTTGTCTTTCGAATGGGGTTCCCCAAAAACAGAAAGAGAGCTCTCTCGAAAAAGAAGAGAGCTCCCTTCTTTTCTCCCTTTCTCTGACCACTCTCTTTTCGCACTAGTTTCTCATTCGTTTTATGAGTTTTTTGGTTTTATTTGGGAAATAAATGGAAATTTAGTTAATAATATGGTTTGTTATGGCATCTTGAGTCGATTTTAGATTTTTTGTACACTGCATTATATTTCGTAAAACTATTTTTTTTTATTTTCGATAAAATAAGCCTTACCAAAGAATGAGCTGGCTTTCCATTGAGAAAATCCAACTTCAACTCGAGTTGAATGGAATTGAGTAGGCGTTTCTTGGACTAAAACGAGGCGATATGCAGTGCAAAATAAATATCTTACCTTCTTGAACAACATAGTAAACTTCATACAGTAAATGACGGTATTTGTCAGCATCAAAGTTTTCATTTTTGTCCGGAATGACACTTAGCTAAAAAATGGTTACTGTAGTGGCTAGGCTAAAACTAAGGCTAAGGCAAAGGCTAAAGATAAAGCTAGTTCAAAGCTAGAATAAGGCTGGGCTAGAACTAGGCTAGAATTATAACCAGGTCTGGGCTAGTACTATGTCTAGTACTGGGTTAGAATAAGAATAGGGCTTCAATTGGGCTAAGAATAACGATAGAGCTATGACTGGGCTAGAATTTGGATAAGCTGGGACTAGGGTGTCTGAGCTAGAACTAGAGCTAAAGCTAAGGCCAGTGTTTTGCCGGACCGGTCCGGTCCGGATTTTCAAAAATTGCAAAATTGAAAATAACTTTTTAGCTTATGGTTTGAACTCTTAAAAAATAAATAACTTTCGTGAAGGTCCGTCTCATACAAGTTTCTCGCTAAACATTTGGACCGGCCGGACCGAATCGGTTTTGCCGGTGCGTCTGTGGTTGGGGCTTTGGGCTAGGGCTTTGGGCTAGGGCTTTGGGCTAGGGCTTTGGGCTAGGGCTTTGGGCTAGGGCTCTGGGCTAGGGCTCTGGGATAAGGCAAACACAAATTAATATTATTATAAATGCTACTTACCTGAAACAATGGCATTTTTCCAAAATCCTTGATTCGAATCAATGAAAACCCAGTATTATTATCTTGTTTGACTTCAAACTCTCTTAGTGCTTGTTGAGCACGATCATAATTAAAGTTTTGTTGTGAGAATGTTGCCATCGTTCCACATATGTCACAGCAATGACCTTTGGGCCGGATCGGCGTATCACAATAGTGATATGCATCTTCGCATTCTATGTAGGAACATATTTCTTGAAATGTCTAGAAATTGAGTCGTTATGAAATTTTTGAATTTTTAAAAATTTTTGAAATTTCAAAAAATTTTTTTTTTAAATTAAAAAATTTAAAATTCAAGCCTAAAATACATCAAAACCCCTATAAACCAACAATTTTCTGAAGAGTGGACTGCTGTGGTCCAGCTAGGCCAAAGTTCGGATTTTTGATGATAAAAGCGTCCGGGTTTGGCCATTGAAACTGATAAGAAGGCGTTTTTCGACTCGTCATGGTAAAGTTTTTGGCATACAATGGGTTAGTAAGTCGAAACACATTCTGACCTTCTCGAGTGTATAGGTAGTCGAAAATGTCATCTTGAGAAAATGTCTGAAATATAAAAAAAAATTTTGCAAAAAAAAATTTAAAAAAATTTTTTTAGATTACATAATCAAAAAGAAGATACAAATTAACTTAAGATGTTATTATAACTTGAATTATTACCTAAATTTCGATTTATTCCCCAACTAATACCAAAAAAACCCAATAATCAGTGAGAAACTAATGCAAAAAGAGAGAGCGGTCAGAGAAAGGGAAAAGAGCTCTCATTGTGTTTTCGGGAAACCCAATCAAAAGACAACTTTTGGTTTTGTATAACACAACGGGAGATTTGGTTTCTTTGACTTATAAGAGTCCAATTGAGGTTGGTATTTGATTCAGCTCATGCAAATGTGGCTGGAAATTAAAAATTTTGGAATGCTCGATCATCTGGGTCGAGCTGATAAAGAAGTTTTTGTTCTTCAGCAGAGCAATGTATTTTACACGGAAGTTTTACTTTTTTAAGATTATCTTTATTCTAGGCTTAGTTTTGTTTAATCTTAAGCTGGGCTTAGGCTTATCTTGTGCTTACTTTATTTTTAGTTTAAGCTTATGTTATGCTTAATGTTAGCTTGGGCTTATCTTCGGCTATTTGTAGGCTTAGCGTAGGCTCAGCTTGGGCTTAACTTACTCTTAGCTTAAGCTTATTTTGCTTTAGTTTAAGCTTAACTTGCTTATCTTATTTTTAGTTGAGGATCAATTTATCTTAGGCTTAGGTTTTTCTTACCCATGAGTCAAGTAAGTTTAGGCATATTTGACTTATATGTAAAAAACAAGTGGGTAGGGGGCAGGGTTGGACGCAGGGCAGGGCATGGGCCCTGTAACAGGGCAATTTTTTATTGTTTTTTGGCGCGCTTTTTTTTTAAATTTTTTTGGCTAGGCCAAAAAACGCAAAAATTTCTAGACTTGGGTTTTAAACACTGTTAATCCATTATACTTTATTATTTTCTTGATAACTATTACAGTTTTCAAGATATGAGTTTGGCGGGAAAACGAAATTCAAAAAAATGCCCTGTTGAAATGCCCTGCCCTGCGTCCAACCCTGGTAGGGGGACTTTTGGGTTTTTTTTACCATTAAGTAGGCTGAGGCTTTATTCACTTAAAACTTAACCCTCATACTGTTTTGTTATGAAAAATGCGTACTTTGTACGATGTCTGAAGCCGAAGCAAGTTTGTTGCCTTGTGAAACCAATTCGAATTTCAAGAAAGGTGTCAAAACTTTTTTCTTTTCTTTTTTTAAAGAAGAATCCCCCTCCCCCCTTAGACTATTGTTTCAAGCAATTCGAGCATAATGTTGGAAGAGGTTTCGCCTTACAAACTCAGAAACGCGGCCGACCGCGGATGATGGGTTTGAATAGGGAGCCGAATGGGGGTGTAGATAAAGTCATCGACCATGTTCGGTTGAAACATTTTTTTGTGTTCACGGCATGGCACGTACGTGGATGGGGAGATGTTTATGTTTTGACGGGTGTTTTTGGAATTTTTTGGTTTTTGGTTTTGATGACACTAAGTTATCGTAAGGTTGGTAGTAAAGCTTGTTTTTCTACATAGGTTTTTCTAAGCTCAAGTGAAGTAAGGTTACTCAGTCTTAGGCTTAGGTTTAGGTTTAGGCTTAGGCTTGAGCTCAGGCTTAGGTTTACTATTAATATAAGACTTAGGCTTAGGATTAGGCTTAGGCTTTTCAGATTCATGTTTAAAATACGGCTTGGGTGAGGCCATAGTAAGGCTATATATAGTAGGGTGGGGTGAAGCAAGGTAGAAGATAATAGAGCAACGTAGGGTAAGTTAGGGGAAATTAGAGTAGGGTAGGGTAAAGGATGGTAGGGTAGGACCAAGTAGGACCGGATAGGGCTACGTAAGGCCAGGAAAGACCGGGTAAAGCCGGTTATTGCCGTGTAGGGCCGGTGATGGCCGCTTATGGTCGGGCAGAGTCCAGTAGGGCCGGGTGGAGCCGAGTAGCTAGGAGGGTAGGGTAGGGTAGGGTAGGATAGGGTAGGGTAGGGTAAGGTAGGGTAGGGTAGGGTAGGGTAGGGTAGGGTAGGGTAGGGTAGGGTAGGGTAGGGTAGGGTAGGGTAGGGTAGGGTAGGGTAGGGTAGGGTAGGGTAGGGTAGGGTAGGGTAAGGTAGGGTAGGGTAGGGTATGGAGACTACAAACTTAATTTGTCATACCCTTTTACTGTAGCTCTTTCCAGTTGTTTTCTGTCAAATTTTATGATATTTTTGTTTTTGTGCCCGCAGCAAAAACAACTTGAAAATTTTTGTCTTTAAATATTAATAACATTAGGGGGAAGTCAATTTTTGTAAGACGTCTCAAGTTATTCTCGTCTTTGTGGTAAATCGGGCGTGGCCAGCTTGTGACAGTCGATGCTTGTTGCCTAGCCCTAGCTCTTCTTGGCAATTAAGAATATATGTGTGCGAGGGGGGGGGGGGGGGGGTGGACTAGTGTAGTGGGTTTAAGCTTTTGTAGGCTAAATTTTATTTTTAAAAGTCTCCAAATTTTAGGTAATTAAATATTTAATAGTCAACTTGTTGTTGGCTGGTCTAGTTGAGTGGCGAAATCTGTTTTGTCAACATATAAATATTTAGCAAAAGGCAAAATTGTAACAATAAGCTGAGAAAAGTGTGTTTATGTCTCGTTGTAAACGAAAACTTTGTACTATTACGGTTTTTTCTTTCAGCCTAAGCTTAAGACTTGCATTGTTTTACCCTTAAGTATAGAGTTAAGTTTAGAGTTAGGCTTAAAAATAGGCTTATATATGGGCCTTGTATTAGGCTTACGCTTAGACTTAGGATTAGGGTTAGGGTGAAGATTAGAGTTAGACTTAGGCTTAAGTTTAAGCTTAGACTTAGGCTTAGGCTTAGGCTTGGGCTTGTAGAGCCTGTTTCTTTCTATCTCAGAAACAGGCTCGAGCATAGGTTTAGGTTCATGCCTTACACTAAGTCTTAGTCTTGGGCTTAGACTTAGGCTCTGGCTTAATTTTAGGCTTTTTTTTGCTTAGGCGTAGGCTTAAGCTTAGATTTAAGCTAGGCTTAGATTTCTGCTTAGGCTTGTATTTAAGAGGCTCAGGCTTTAGGTTAAGTTTTAGGCTTTCACTTAGGCCTAGACCTGGCTTGCACTTACATTTAGGCTCAAGGCTGGACAGTACTGAACTTTTTCTTTATATGCTTTTATATACCTATACTTTAGTCTTAAGTTTTACATATTGTTTTCTCCGACTTCTTCCTTTTGTTTACCGTATTTTAGGCACACATCCATCTACATAACAAATTTTTTAAAAGTCGCACGACGAAAAAAACAACGTTTGTCTTACATACTAAACAGTCTCAAGAATACTAAACAGCACCAGCTATTATTTGTTTGAAAGCGAATAACCGTGCGAGTTTTTTCAAAAATATAACATTAGTTTTTGTTTCTTTTGGGTCTTAAATGGGTGCTTGGAAACTTGCGTATTCCATGGATATTCTCCAGAATTTATAATCATTGGCTGTCGAGGGTGGTTAATAGCCGAGAGACTTGTAGACAATGCTTGGGGACATAGGGGGGGGGGAGGAAGGGGTAGCAAGAACGGGGGTGAAAAAGAAGGGAAAGAGGGGTAGGGTAAGGTAAAGTAAGCTAACAGGGTGGGTAAGGTAGGGTTAGGTGGGGTAGGGTATGGAAGAGTAGGGTATGGTAGAATAAGATAGGGAAGGAAAAAGGAGATGAACTGCGTAGCCTTAATCCTAGCACCGGATCTACCCCTACCCTACCTTCTTCTGCTGCACATTTACCCTTGATCTTACTTTAGGTCTAACCCGGCCTTACATGTTAGCGTTCTCTCTGGCTTGAATTTTCCTTAACCCAAGCCTACCTTGCTCAATCAAAGCCTTGTCTTAGCCTTACTCTGCCTATTCGTAGCCCTATCTTAGACCACTTCTTGCTTACCTTTGCCTAACAGACGCCTTAACCTGGCCCTACCTAGCTCTGACTTAGTTCTACTTTAGGTTTACCCTAGTTCTATCCTAGCAATACTTGTTGGTCCGGTCCGGCGTCTTGGCCTGCCCATTGCTTACCTTTCCCTAAACAAAACCCTACTCTAGCTCGGCTTTACCTATATTGATCTTAATTCAAATCTACCTTATTATAAGCCTTATATAACTGTTGTGTTTCTTTATTCTAGTCTATCTTTGTCATAGCTTTGTTTTATCTTATTTGATCGACAAAAGGAGCAAGTTATGGTTAATTTTTTGGCCTAAACAGCCAGCTCGACTTTCTTTTGGGTCTTCGAGTTCATGAGTGTCGGTCCGGTCCGGCCTTTTTAAATTTCTTTTGGTCTAGCTCGGGGCTGGGCCAAGACTAAATGGGGCCTAGAGCTCTCTTTCAAGCTTACTTTCTATTAGCTTTGCTAGAATTTTTAAAAAAATGAAGATTATGCCATTATTTTTTTACTTTTTATCCTTTTTTACTACTCTTACCCTTTCTTCTTAATCATTACCTCAATTAGCCAAACCATATTCCTAGAAGCCAAATCATTCCCAAAAACTTCTGAAAACAGCGGTTTGTTTCGACTTACGACCGATGCCAAAACCTTCCTCAATCATAACTCTTTATTCGACAACTGTTAAAGGACGTTTTTGTCTGCATACGTTTCACATGGAATTTTTAGAACGTTTCGCAAAAATTATGACAAAGCCGTTTTTTGGGTTCAGTTTACTGATGTTTTCAGTCCAGGTTTAGAGTTTCCAAATGTTTTGTTATTGAAATAGGGAAAAGGTTACAATTTGGTGAAAATTTGTTACTAATTTAATTGTTACTGTTACTACATATAGTTTATAGGTCTTTATAGTATTTAGTATAAAATAAGACTGAAGTATGCTACAACATAGTTATTGTAAGACTACAATATCACTTTAAGGCTAGGCCTTAGCCGGTAAGTATAG